GACTGAGGGCCTCGTTCTGTCGACGAAGAGCCTGTCAGCGAAGCCGCGCCCGCATCATTACGACCTGGCTCCCTACTTTCCGTCAACCTCGGCAAAAACAAGGAATCACCACTCGAATCCGTCGACGATTTCGTGAGGGGCGTTCAGGTTTTTGGACCTCATGCGGACGTTTTGGTAATCAACGTGTCCAGTCCCAACACTCCCGGATTACGGTGAGTCGAAGAGAAGCTGGTGATCGTGATTATTCCTGACTGTTTGTGAAGCAACCTTCAGAAGCGAAGTCATTTGGGTGATCTTCTTGCGGGTGTCGTTCAAGCGCGCAACGACCTGCAGGCGAGTTCATCGCGTAAACCGAAACTTATGCTCAAGCTCTCGCCTGATTTAACGGCGGACGACGTGAGGGAGATCGCGGAGGTCGTCCGCTCCAGTGGTGTGGATGGCGTTATTGTTAGCAATACCACAATCAGCAGGCCGCGGGGCCTTACCCACCGTTCGTCTCCCTTGACGCTGTCACTACGTTCTGTCACTGATGACGACCTCCTTGTCTCCAGCCAATAAGACCGAAGCCGGCGGACTGTCGGGACCGCCTCTCAAACATCTGTCGCTGGCCGTCCTACGCACCCTCCGCTCGAATCTTCCCGAGTCCATACCCATCATCGGCTGCGGCGGCATCACCTCAGGGGCAGACGCGCTGGATTACGCCAGAGCCGGAGCGAGCATGGTGCAGATCTACACGCACTTTGGATACGACGGCGTTGGCGCGTGTCGAAGGATCAAAGACGAGCTTTCTGATATCTTGCGAAGGGAAGGAACCACCTGGAAGGAGGTCGTTAGCGGAGCAGCTTCCGAGGCGAGCCTGAAAGCGGATACAAACGAGGCGAAGGAGCAGAGTATGCAGCAATTGATAGAGGAGGCCGAAGATCTGTGTAAGCTCTTGGATAATCTCACCGGGAAGCTATAAGCCTGTACGAAAAATCTGACATCTTCCTCTCGTTGTGCTCATGTTCCAATGTCTGCAATAGACGGAAATGTTTGCATAGTGGAACGGTGTCCTACTCCGAGAGCGTATCCACAGGATTGTGCAGAGAGACTTGGCCTCGAGTCTAATCAATATGCAGCACATCAATTTGTTCAATCTGATCTGTTGTTGAGTTCATCTGACAATGTCAGTCAGCATAGTAGACATACACGGACGTATGGAGTCAATCGCTCACCTTCATTCCAATAACACGACCCTCGTCGACGAGGATACTCTGATACTCGTACTGCTCTCTACTTGCTACGTAAACATATGGCAGCAAGCTCACGATTGGACATTTCCAGACGCTTGCAGCATGCAGCACGTTCCGCTCGGTCACGGCTCGGGTTCGATTTGCTAGTTCTCTTACCTCTGAACCTACGCTTTTGTCGTGTCGCTGGTTCTCATCCTGGCTATCGTGATCTTCATCGTTCATGCCACTCGTGGTGTATGTCGCGTCCATTAACAGTCCGGCATTCCATCCGTGTGACTCTCTCTGTGTCTCCGTCAGTTCATCGTCACTCTGCTCTCTCCTGCGCCTTTCGCGCTCCGTCCGCTCGGCCAACACCCGCTTCTCTGTCTCCCATATGAATCGCTTCACCGTCAGCGGGTTGAAATCAGACACGTATATGCACGCCCTCTCGTCCGGCTCTCTGTCCTCGGGTATATTTACGTATCTCTGACCGCAAGTGGTTGCGATCCAGTGACCAGGGATATCTTCCCCCTCAAACCAGCGAGTGCGTTGCGGACCCCAGATGCTCCATGGAACAGATGGGTGATCAGGTGCGGCTCCGGTGTGTTCGCGGCCAGTGGCCAAGCTCCCACGGACATATGGCTGAAGTCCTACTTCGTGATCACGGCTTGTCGTCGTTGAGGGAACGAAGCTAGGCCCGTTGTGTGACTGCATTAGTTCGCACAGCGCGCGCCGATGGACTACAAATGCGAAGGCCATTACAGGCCCGGCCAAGGGTATGCCGTACGGACCACGGGTCCGTATCGTCCGGTCCTGGAAGAAGAGTTTGAATATGACAATGGCGTTTTCGGCAGACGAAGGATGCAGCGGCTGGCCTTGATTGGGGGGGAGCGGACGATGACGGCCCCCCGGCGGACGCGCGACGGGGCGCGTGGGGATTCGGCTCCCCTCTGCAAGTTGACCGGACGAGTCGCACGCCCGGCTGCAGAGGCGGGAGCTCCAATGAGAGGATCGGCTTTATTTCTTGTATTGGTTCGATCGGGGCATGGTTGGACGTCCAATCCGGAGCCGGGGAGAGCCAGGGCATACATACGATATCGAGACAGTTGGCTCTATGATTGGGCAGCACGATCGTATCGTGCGTTAGTAGGGTGAAGCCTGTGTAAATCCCCCGGCCTGCGTCCGCCCTCTGAAGAGGATCGTAAGAGGCAATCCGCCAACGACATGTATGCACGTACCATGAGGAGATCTCCCGTAAACCAATCGTACACGACCATCTCGTCGCCTTCGCGATCCGGAGGATGTAGAATAAGTAAGATGATCAGCTGTCCGATGATCTCGATCCGGATTCTGTGATTTCCTGCACCAGCGCGACCGAGGTAGAGGACGGGCTGACGGGCCAGAGGGTGGGATGCGCCAGTGGACAAGCTCAAGAGATGCAATCGGAGGACCCAAAAGTTGGGCGTGCCAGATTGAGTATGATGGATTGCCGAAGGCGATGTCGTATCGAGAGCACTATGGCGGAGTCAGTGTAATTTCAGGATCATGAAAGAGATGTAATGAAGGCGATGAAGAACGCACCGAGTAGCAATCACGATCAAGTCATGTTCAACGACGTTGAGCCCGACATCGATAATTTCCTCCCCGACGTCAATCCTCTTCCACTGAACTTCCTCGCTCGGCGTCGGCTTGCTAGGCAACCGGACATAGTGTATAGCCTTAGTGGTAGTTGCGGAGTCTCCGTCGCTCCACCCGGACTCTCCCAGAAGGTAGACGCCGGCGGTGAGATCATATATACCGCTTGTGCGATGCCCGACATGTGATTCGGTCGTCCCTGTGAAGTGTAGCTTGGACCAATTCTTCTCGCGTGTGCGCAAAGCTCGGAGACGCGAAGCGACGTGATCGAGGGTGGGCGACTCGTCGGCGGGAGTGACTGCTGCAAGAGAGGCTTGGAGTGCGTATTGTACACGTGGTGAGGTGGTTATGATGGCGCGGAGGGTCCGGCATGTGCAGACGGTAGCGAAGAGCGAGAGGTAGGAAAGCTGTACGAGAATCTCGATAATGATTTCAGGCGGCAGAGATAACAAGCCTGGCGCCATGTTTGATTTTCTCAAAATTGTCTAGTGTCCTACATGCTTCAGTCTTTGCGTCGCGAGTTGCTCGGGATACGCTCAATCGCATACCTTTGATTAGGCGAACTACCCTCCAGGCTCCACGCGAGATGCGATTGATGGTCGCGGGCGATCTTGCACAACGTTGAATGTCGTTCGGCGCAATCAGACGCAACGGGTATCTGGAAGATTCTTGGTGGTTGGAGGAGCAATGACTTGAGCGCCGACACGCGATTGTGCAGGATGCATCATGATCAGTGGCGTTGACTCGAACTTGCTGCGGTTGGAGTATGGGTATGGGCGCTGGGATATCTATATCATTCACGTCATCCACGAACCAGAACGTGAGCGGATCCAAAACCGAGAATGTGCCGGTGATGGCTTGATTGGTTGACGGTGGACTCAGCCATGACGAAGCTCTCTGGGCGTGGTGCAATACTGCAAAGCATACGTCTGTAGAGATATCCAGACCGTCTTTCATGTTCGCTTGACGCATTCAACGTCAACGTGCAACAGAGATGCCTGATGTCCGATTAAAGATGATGTCTACATTGGTCGGATGCAGGGAGGTGGAGATCATTTGCACCAGATTCACAGGACCTCAGGTTGGCGAGAAGGCGAGGTCACGATAAGCGCCCGTGTGGCACAGTGTTTGGACGTGTGGTGGGTCAAGCGGTCCTCTAACTCTTTGTCCTTGGACATTATTGGCCACATTTCTGTCTATTTCCTCGTCTCCGCGTCAGGCTATGAACCATGATGCCCAGGATGCCGCCATGGCTCTGCTCGATCTTACACACCAACCTGCGCCCAACCGGTCCCGGCGAGGTACCATAGCCTCTTTGTTGAGCCCCGCCCCGGATCCGCCACCGGTCGCGTCGTCCTCGAAGACACGGATCGACTCTCTGCTGCATATCGACACTACAACTACCGGCAGGCCAGTGCTCACACCCGCGTACTATGAGAGGAGAACGGAGGGTATGGAGGAGGGAGACGGTGCCGAGGGATACGACTGCATATGCCGGGTACCCCAGGAAATCGGCTCGTTCGGCGTGGCCTGCGACAAGTGCGGGCGTTGGTGCCATGGGGTATGCGTCGGGCTGCTTACTGCACCGGCGGAGGACGAGGTATGGAGATGCTGGCAGTGCGATCCGTCGACGATAGACCGGGTAATGAAAGCGCAACGAGAGCGGGCCCGCTTACGAGAGGAAGAGGCGAACAGACAGCGGGAGCGGGAGATGTTGGAGAGAGAGGGAGACAAGGTGCGCAGGAGAGGCAGCCCCGGCGTCGAGAGGAAGCGCAAGGTCGGCGCGTCGGATGGCAGCGGGGCGGGCGTGAAGCGGAAGAGGAGGAGCTCAACGTCGGTCGCACACATAACGCCTTCAACGTCGTGGGCTCCGCAGACGCCGGTGACGACCGTCCCGCCACCGCTACTCGAACCGTCCACGTCCCGAACGTCGCAGCAACCACACCCTGCTACCGAGGAAGACCATATCGACATCGACAGCGAGCCATGGGCGTCCTCGACCTACGTCCCCATCACCAGCGATATAATACCATATCAGGAGACTCGGGATCTTCTCAAACATCATGCACAACGATGGCGCGGCATGTCTGCTCTCGAGCCGCCTATCGAGCACCCGCCGGACCCGTACCGCTATCCGTACAGCACGACCCCGGTTGACGTACCTTATTCCGCCTTCACGAACCCCCCTCCTACGATCCTACATCCCGGGAACACCACACATCCTTCCTCTACCTCGACATCAGCCCGGCCAGCGCCATACGCCCTCCATACCGCCCAACCGCTCCCCGCATCCACTCTCATCACCCCTTACCTAAGCACCATACTCCCTTCCGCCGTCTACCTCGCTGATGAACTCAACGGCTATGCACATACTGGCTTACCTCGAGCTCACGTCCATCTCGTCGGGCCCCCGATAGACGTTGCCCTGGATGCTCGCGGGACAGGCAACCAAGGCCGATGGGTCAGAAGCGGTTGTCGCCCGAACGCGGTGATAAGACCCGTTCTTTGTAATAAGGGCAAGGGCAAGGGCAAGGAACGCATGCGTGAGCATGCCATGGACCTTGACGAGCAGCCAGCTGAGGCTGGAGCGAAGGATGACAAGGACGAAGAAACCTTATCGTTCGCCGTATTCGCGCTCCGCGACCTCAAAGCGCACGAAGAAGTCATTCTGGGTTGGGAATGGGACGATGGTTGTGTCGTCCATAAGCTGCCGGCGTTGATAGAACGACCATGGACCTTTCCGTACGTGGCTTATGTTTCAACTTGCGCCACAGGACGATTCTCATGCATACATCAGCCCTCATCAATTTCGCCGCTTGCGTGATCAAATGTCTATGATCGTCAATACGCTTGCGTCTTCATTCACTACCTGCGCATGTGGCTCGTCCGCGAAAGACTGCGCCCTCAATCTCATGTCCTCCTTCGTCGATTCTCCAGGTCAGGTCAACCTGGAACGTATGCATGGGTTCCCGTTTCCGGATACGCTCGACCCTAGAAAACACGTGGAAGATCCTGGTGGTGGCGACCACATCGACCTCGGTCCTCTCATCGGCAGAGAACGCGGGTTTCGAACTCGAGAGCGTGTTCCATGGTCCGGCGGCATCGGCGGCGTCGAGATGGTCCCACAATCCGCGGCCACGACTCCTTACGGCGAGCCTGAAGCTCCTGGCGGTCGGCGGCGGCACGGTAAGACGAATAAATTGCGCTCAGATCATGCCATCTCGCTTGATCGGGGCAATACCGTTAACGAAGTTGCCCGTGCTTTTCGTTCAATGCAGAGCGAAACGGTCGATGAGTCGATGCTGCCTCCATCTCTGAAGCGCCGCAAGTTCGATCCCAGCGAACACGCGTCTCCGAGGAAGGGGAAGGGGAAGGGGAAGGATGTGGAGGAATGGGACTCGTCGGTTGGAAAAGCTGAGAGACAAGGCTACGATGATGCGGATGAAGACATGGAGGATGCCACGGCGCAACCCGAGCACGAAAAGGAAATGCCGCCTCGTTTACGGAAAGGGTGGATCCGCGACAGCTTGGACGCACTGCGTGAGGGCACGCGCTTAGGTAGCGTTACTTTCGACCAGCTTCGTGATGACGCTGTTGGAGAGGCCGATGCTTGGAACTCGGCAGCGGACGAGAGGGCAACACATAGCGCAGCCGGTACGAGAATCGCTTCGTTATCTTTTTTCGCTCCAGTCTCAGTATTATCCACAGCTGCTTCTCCGGAGGTCATTACCTCCCCTGAGAGATCCATTCCCACTCCTGTTCCTCGTTCGCCTTCCCCAGCTCCCACAGAAGACACGATCCCTCCGCATGTCGAAGCCAGCCAAACGCTCGCGCATGTGGCTCCGGATGCCGCTCACGTCCACAACCATGCACCTGCGATAACGGGGCCTGTCCTTTCTCCCTCGACCCGGTTCTCCAACCTTTCCCTTGATAGTCCACTGGCCCCTCCAGCCCCAACTCCCCGCTCGTTTGGCCTCGCCAGTCTCCTCAACCCATCACCGATGCCAACCAGGAAGCCCACACCGGTTGCTGCCGCGTCTCAGTCTCCCCGAATAACAACCCCGCCTCCTGTCATTGAAGCGCGTTCGGAGCCGGAGCCTCCCTCTTCTGGCTCCCCTACAGCCTTGAAGGGCGTTACGGATAGCCCGTCATCTATGGTTGTCGACGAGGTGGATGCAAAGCCTGCCGATGCGTCAACGGGTGGTTCCCATCTCGTCAAGGATACGCCGACCCCGCCTCTTGAGACGCCCAATGTGCAGATTGCCGAAGTTCTTGAGACACCAAATGTGCAGGATGACACCCAAGTTCCGCCTGTCGACGTGCCCATGGACGATTCCGCAGCACCGGTCGCTGAATCAGGCCGTCGTCCTGATGACGTTTCCTCCGTGCTGGCTCAGGGACACCCCGAGCGGTCGTCTCCATCCGAACTGGTGATGGATGAACCGCCTGCGGCCCGTGCCTACACCGACCCGCCTGAGGAGGCAGGTGAAGCCGCACTGCAGGATACTCAATCCGACCCGGGCATGGACGTTGATGAGGTCGCGATCGCGGTTGGTGAAGACTCGGTTTCGTCACTTATCGATCCGAGCCCTCTTCCACATGAGGGACACGAAGCGGTCTCAGGCAACGAACCCTCTGCAAATCGCCGACCATCCCTCGACCATGCGAGTTACGGACGCGAGCCAGTAGCATCCGAGGAGGCGCTCGAACTTTCAGCCTCCCCCGGAACTGCACAGCTGCCGGACTTCCAGGCTTCCAATAGCGATCATCCGGAGCCGACAAATGTTGCACCTTTGGACGCGTCTACTCAGGTGGTTCCCGAGCCATCTTTGCCCTCTTCGCCTCCTGTAGATGCCACGCCTGCGGAAGCGAACCCTCAACCATTTCGCGAACGCACTCCCCAGCCCATCCGCGAACTCACCCCCCAGCCGGTTCAAGAATCCACTCCACCGCCAGCGGATGCGGGTGCTCCTCAGGCGATTCGCGAGCCCACTCCGCCTCCCGCTCCTCCAAAGAAGCTGACGCTCAGGGACTACGCTGAGCGTAAGAAGAAGCAACAGGCCGAAGCTGAGGCGGCTGCGCGCATCGCTGCCGAAGCAGAAGCCGAGGCTAGGACGAGGGCAGAGGAGGAGGCCAGAGAGCAGGCCGAACGTGAGGCATTGGAGCGAGCGGCCACGGAGAAGGTAGTAGAGACTGTGCCAGAAGCGCCGGCCGATCCAGCATCTCCGGATACCGAGCGGCCAAAGGAGAACGGGGTCACCGAAACGCACCCACACGCAGTCGTTGATAGTTCAGCATCTGATCTCAAGCTCCGGTCACCCGCATCGACAGAAGGCGACGCGCATCTTCAGTTCAAGCTCTCTCTGCCTAAAGACGACCTCCCGCCTAACGGCAAGGAGGTATCGAACGGTGTTGCACCTTCCCATGTGGAGCACGTTGGATCTGCCAGTGCGGACGGCACTCCTGCACCTTCCACCCCGGTCGCCGATGTCGCGTCGTTGCAGCCTAGACACCCCTCTCCCGAGATCGAAGATGATCGTCAGTCACTTCAGGCTAAGATCGAAAGCATGGATCATGACTCCGCACTTCTCGGACTGAGCAAGCCACGCCCACCTACCGCTCCATTGAGTGAACGTCAAGCGCAGCAGGGCAAATTGCCCACTGAACCCTCTTCGCGGTTATTCACGTCCGACGGGCCCGCACCTGTGCGTATACGGCGACCATCTATCGCTCGTTCGCATGAAGACGGCGAGATCACTAACTCGCCTCCTGCTCCGCTACCGCAATCTCTACCTTCGGCTCCTTCGGCGCCTACTGCAACAGTCAAGGCGAGAACACCGCCGACGCAGCCGCGCTCTTTCCAAGCCTCGCCTTCTCCCCTTCCACGCGCTGTCCCGTCCTCGCCGCGGCGAAACTCGCTCTCGACGGTATATCGCGATGGCCCGCCGCCGTTGGCACCAACCGGGCCTGCCATCAGGCCGCCTAGTGGACCTAGGGCGCTGAGGGGCGGGCAGGGAAGACCGCCTCTTCCACCATCTGGACGGCAGCTCGGGAGCGGGTTCAATCCGCCCAGTGGGCCTCGTGGATCGGATCGCGACAGGGACAGGGACAGGGACCGAGGAAGAGATAGGGATAGTGCGTGGGGGGATAGGGACCGCGACCGAGGCAGAGATCGGGGCTGGCATCGAGGACGTGGAAGGGGGAGCGGTTGGGCTTGATGTGATTCTTTCAGCGCGTGGATATGTTGCAGTTGTGCTTGTGCTAACTTATCTCCTTCCGCTTTGTTTTCCTGGTGTTTCGCGCTGCGCTCGTACTTATATCCTACATTATGTGTGCCCGACGTGTATTCTTCTCTCTCACGGGTAGTCCCAATGCATCAGTAAACGGACAACGGAACTGTCGGTCTCCCTGCGAGTCTGCACGAATGCACGGATGCACATTACGCGAATTCGTATCAGCTCATGTATGTAAGATGCTATTGAAGATGCAATGCTGATGCAAACGAAGGAGTATGTAGGCTGGCCTGATGAATGGAAGGTATATCACAAATGGGAAGCCTCATGATAGCTATAGCGTTGGGATGTCAGGCCCCAGTGCATCAGACAGTGCAGCGCGCTGCCGAGCTGGTGTTACGTTCGCTAATGCCTGAGAAGCGGGTGGTAAAGCACGTCAACTTTGGAGGCTGCATGAGAAGACCAGAGAAGTATTGGACGCAAGCAGGGCCAGAGCGGAAGGGTTTCGTAACACTGAGGATTGTTCAAGGCTGTCTGTGCAGGCCAAGAGTGTCGTCGCTTGTGATCGATGAGGTAAACTGCGTGACAGTACTTGTTGTGAAGACGCGCTCGCCGTGAACGAACCACGAGAATGCGGAAGAAAATCGCAGCATGGTGTGGGCGCGCATTTGCATTCTCTCAAAAACCCGTAACAACACTCGCAAGAGAGAGAATTGTTGTCGCAGCTGGCAGAGGATGAGGGGAAACGCACCCCGCTACGAGACGCCAAGAAGTTACGTAAGCGGAGAATGATGGGGAGGGTGTGATGGGGTTTCTTCCGCGACTTCTGTGAACGACGACGCCAAGCGCGGCCTCAAAAAGGGGGACGGCGACGATGCCTGCCCCAACGCCCGTCCGCTCTTCTCACCACCACACCACCGACCCAAGTCGCCGTGCTCGCACCGCGCATCCACTCGCTCTCCGTATCCTCGCCGTCGCTCCGTAACTAATCTCAGTTCTCTATCGACCACCGTTTCGACATGCCTCGCTACGCCTTCACCTTCGCCCTCGCCGCATCGGCCGTGGCTATCAGCGCCAATGCGCAGGCGACCTACACGTATACCTCTGGCACCCCGCTCGCCAGCAAGGCCTTCTCCTACCCCGACGGCATTGTAAGAATGATATCTCTATGATTCAACCTCCGTGGAATTAACAAGTTACTTGACAGCCCTACCAAGCCGACCCCGACAATGGCGTCCGTGGCACTCAGTCCGGATACAACCTTTGCAACTCGACCACGGAGGGACAGTCCTCGATGTGCCAGACGGCATTCATCAACTCCATCGACGGTTCGTGATCATTTTACCCTTCCGTGTCTTAAGGCTCATCATCGCTACCAGACTTTTGCCTGTGGGCTCCTCCTTCTGGTCCTGACACTATCGGCGACACTGAGCACGAGGAAGTCGCGTGGTGCACCAAGCCCGGACGTGGAACTCGTGTCATCCCCGAGGGTGCCCTTCAGGGTGTGCAGTTTATGAAGACCCCCGACTATCTCCAGGTAATTTCATTGATCTTCGCTTTCGTCGTGAATTCGACTGAGACTCGTTCAGGTGGTTGGCTTCATTGACCAGACCAAGATCAACATCCCCTCTGACGATGGCGGAGGAGAGCTTGACCCCCATGGTGCTGACTTCGTACGTGTCTTCCGTCGTCGTAGATCTGGCGCGCGCTCATAGACCATGTAGCGTGGTAACCCCCTCGGCGGTCTCGTGTACACGACCGGCTTCCCTGCCTCGAAGGGCGACAACAAGACCTTCATCCAGGTTATCGAGTGGCACAAGTCCGTTCCCACTATTCCCGTTCTATGGTTCGAAGACACATTGGACTGACGTCGCTCCTAGCTTCATGGGTGGCAACCAATTCTGCTTCAAGATCTGCGACCCCGCCGGCGCGCACGCGGCCGACTATTGCCAACACATCTACGACCGAATCGGCTGCATGTACAACGCGCCGAACAACGCCCAGAACGGGACCTTCACCTCGTGCGAGGGCGACAACCAGGACTTCCCCGGCGTGTACACCCAGGACGGCCAGGTGATGACCTACACCCAGCCGCCCGAGTCGCTCGGCGCGATTCAGACGATGCCTTACACCGCGCGCGTTCCCGCTTCCAGCAACTGCGCGACCTATTCGAGCGCGCAACTGTTCGCTGCCGCTACCTCCACTGCGTGAGTCGCGTTTGCCTTTGTCTTGACCTTCTTCCCTTACCTTCACTAGTGCCTCTGGATCGGCGGCTGCCACCGCCAAGGGCTCTTCCACCGCCTCCGGCTCTGGCGCTCAAGCGTCTCAGACCAACACAAGCAGCGCCGGCTCCCTCGCCGTCAGCGGAGTAGCCGCCGTAGTTGCTGCCGTCTTCGCCGCCGCAGCGTTGGCCTAGGCTGGCTCTCGCGTTGTGGGGAACGGACTTAGCGCCTCCGCACGCATCATCCAACGGCATGTAGGTCGATGAGATGGACTATGGATTGGATTAGACGGTGTCTCGCGGACGCGGACTCGGACTTCACGCTTTCATTCACACCTTTACGCACACCTCCTATGACCGCGCTCCGGGAGTGTTATCGTAGTTGGCCCTTAGCTTATCATTCGCGTCGGTGCGCGAGCCAATATCATATGTTTTCCAAGACTGGTCATATTTTTCGAGTGCGACCAGCAAGTTGTTCAATCGTGGGTCGTCGTCCCCGTGGACCGCGGAAAACGCCGAGCGAGCACGTGCGGCTGCGGATGCTGAACTTGGCGGGCGCTCCACCGACGGACGTCAGTTTCGCTCGCTCGTCATCTGTGTCCCAGCCCCTCACCGATTGGATTTAGCCATAAGTATCCTCGAGAGCTACGAACCATGTCCTCAATCTCTCCTGACTGCCGCTCCCTTTCCTTGTCCTCCATTGACCCATAACATCTCACCAACATGATCGGCTCTTCGAGTTGTCGTCTTGTAACGAACCTGCTTTTGTTGGCAAATTGCGCCAGCTTTGCACATGCGCAGACCTTCGGGAGGCGTAGGCGCACGGGCATCGCCGGCGGAGCTATCGCTGGCATAGTTATCGGTACGTCTCTGATATCAAATCTTATTTACGCCCGTCTCACACCCTGCTAGCTGCACTCGCCGTCATCTTCCTTTGTCTCCTATGTTCGGTCTTCCGGCGACGTCGCCAAATGCGATTTATGTCGCCTATGGGCGCCCCACCCACGGGATATAATGGCGCGCCAAGCGGTCGCAAAGTCGGCTTCATGTATTTCCCGAATCGCACTGGACAGAACTCTGGTGCTGGAATGGCAGAGGCCGGGATGGGAACCGGCGCTGGCTACGGTCATAATAACCCCGGACATGGTACCTATGGTGGTGGCGGTGGTACGTTGCGATCGCTTTTGCACTGTCTGCGGTGTTCACCTTCGTTCGATCAGACCGGATGCAGATGCCGCAAGCCGCACCCGCGCCCGGCCCTACGCACCCTGAACAGATCAACATGCCTTCCCCACCTCCGGTTTACCAACCTACCAACAAAGGATATGCACCAGTATGTGATTTCCCTCGCGCGTACTGTCACATTCGCTTACGCCCATCTTACAGCCTCCCGGAGCGCCTCCCGCTGCTCACACCCAACACGAATATGCTCCCGTATGTCTTCTCTATTCCACGCTGCCACCGCGCGGCGCTCACTTCATGTCATAGCCGACTGGTCCTCCCCCGCCCAAAGCTTGAGCACCTGTTCCAGACTTCCAATGTGACATATGGTATGACGGATGTCATACTGTATGAAGCAGTGCGTGTAATGATACGCGGATACGGTTTATGCTGCCGCCGTGAATAAGCAACTTGACCTGAAACGCACGATAAACTTAAGGACGGCTGGCTAAACACCATCCGCGTGACGGTGGAAATACACCGATCCCCTCGCTCCGACTCCATGACCGTTGACTCTTCGCTCTTCAGAACTGAATAGGCGAGCATGCCTGGGTGCGTGACCTTGTGAGTTAGAAGCCGTACGCATGTATAATTGTCAAAGCCTCACCGTCTGGATACAGACCAAGCTCCCGCAACAATCACCCGAGCTTACGCAAGGTTGATCGATACTGCCACAAGCTTGTGTCGATCGAGCCAGCGCTAGCAATGCAACCATGTACGCGATCGAGTATGACTGAAACTTCATGTCGACTTCCGCTTGGAGTCAGTCCCCATTCTCAGACGAGCTCGGTCGGGTTTCCTACTCACCAAACGAATAGCGAGGAGGGGATAAATAAGGGCGGCTACGAGGGCATCAACAAGAATGCCGCTCTTATAGAGTGGACGATACGTCAACGATAGTTGTCGCACGTTTTGCGATCTAAACCTGGTTGATTGCGCAGAACGGTAGTGGGTCGTATGACAACGGTGCTCCCAGGGGTACTTATTGCTTCCAGTACTGGCTGAAAGAAGCATAGAACGCAGCGTCCCGGAGCGTTACCCATGGTGAAGGCAGTTACCAGATCTGACTCGTGGTGATCTTGCATATTTAACGCTCCTTTCCCCTGTTTGCGATACGTTCGACAGTTTGCTTATCATTTTGATCGGAAAGATCCATGCAATCCCCCAAGCGGCACTTGGGTGAGAACCACAAGCTGTCTACTATGCTCGTTCTATCTTACTATGGTGCAGACCTTGGGCTAGTATCTCCGTTAGCTGGACATAGACCCCACGCAAGAAAACCGAGCTATCCTCACCCCGGTCCCGTTGACGATACAGATACGGTTTCCGCAACAGTCCGACGATGAACTGCAAGCTTCGCCCACTGCTAGGCAAGCCTGCGCACTCCCGGACAAGAGGAGTAGCACGGCCGCACACGCCATCACGTATAGTTGAAATTTCATGTTGATATTTGTGTAAGTTTCTGTTCTGAAGTTTAACAAGTATGAAGAGTTTATCAGACGCGACTCACGAACCGTGTGGAGAGCAGGGGACTGTTGAGACATTTGTCACCAGCTCTCGCTCCTTTATGTAGCGCCGTGAGCCGGGCACTCCACATCACCCTCACTACTGATCCGCAGAGATGCACCGAGTCGCATGATAGCAAGGCTGATGCAACACTCATCTGGTCTCCGTTGCAGTGCATTTCACTCTGATAAAGCTGTGATGCGTAGCATGCAACCATCGTCGGCTATATTCCTGCATACTAAGACGCCACGTCGGACCGCAGTGACTGATGTACGATTCTGATCGCCGGAATTCTCTGAAGCAGGTCATGAGACCTGACGGTAGGGGTACGTTAGGGCGTGTTCAAGCGTTTGACGCTGGTTGACGCTGGTTGAAACGCCGGTCTCCTAGAGCATCTGCAAAGCAAGGTGATGCTGGTGCGATACGACTGTTACCATAATGAACCGCTTACGATCTTATTCGGTGCATGACAAATATTTACTTCAACCCGCAAACGATGAGCGTCTCTATTAGCTCACAAGGGACGCATACATCATGCGGGGCGGCACCTGGTCCCGCTATGAACTCGATGAGGATGCGGACTATCCAGGAACTGCATTGGTGGAGCAGACCTACACAAACGAGCGTGAGTCTGATGACGCAGATATCGTATCATTCTACATGAATTTCTCTTGCTGCTCTGCCCCGGTGGGAGCCAAGCTAGGGGTGTCGCCATAAGGCTACGGAAGGGTATTTGAAAATTGGACGTGTACTGAGAGCGTCAGAGGATTATTGGCGCAATGGTATACACACGACTCTGATGCACCATGATTGTCGTGACTTTGATTGATGTGATCTCGTTATAATTGTCTAAGCATAAGTAATACCGCACCCTTCCAACTTCAACCGCTTTGATTCCTGTCCGTTGCCTAAAATTGAGTATCCGATACCCCCCGTGCAAATGAAACATCACAGACTTGAAGAAGAGTTCATGGTCAAATTTATCATGGCACTTCTCCTATCTTTCACCATCATGCACGACGGCAAACAGGGTATTGTTAGGCCAGCCGTAATTGCAACAAGCAGTCCATTCCCGGATCTCGGACATTCATCTGGATCGTAAATTCGAGTACAAAGAATTGCTATTTGTAACTGTTTGCGGCGAAACAAGAGGAAAGTGCCGTAAGTGTTAAATAGGTGTTAAGAGAGACCGCATGCTATCTCCCGCCGTGAGGAATGCAGGGCTGTTGACCTCGATACTTGGCATGAGCAAACAAAACATGAGAAGGGGAATGTCGCTGGAACCAATGCCGGCACATGGGTGACTCGCACACAGCAGTGTCGGGACATTGTTCACCTGAGATAATCGCAGCATAAGCAAGGAATCAACATTTGCTGAAATGGAAACTATGGGCAACGAAGTCATACACTCACAGACAGACATCTCGAATCGGATCGGGGAGGAGCAATGTTTGCAAGTGATCTGCCGTGGTTCCGTCGGGTTGACTGCAGTGATTCTGTTGAACCTTGGAGCTCGATAATCAGCATGAGTATGGTTCGTTGATACGCAATCGTGTCTAACCTTCGATGTTGAGGAAGAATTACCGATCTGGAAAGGTAACAGGACGGGCAAAATGTACACCGACAGTCGCAGCCTGCCACGCGTATATATATCAGCACGGTCTCTCGTTGATTGAGTCACGAACACACATTCCCACAGTTTTCCCGACGCCCCGATACCACATCCGTCGCATATTCCCTGAACAATGCCGTAGGATATGAGATCGGTGCCATGTGCGGTATAGGCCGGCAGCTTCATGAACACATGCTTCGGGTGGAAGAAAAATGGGAAGCATCGCATGCAAATCTCGACATTGTAGCAAGTACGGCCTGCGGGCTCAGATTAGCTGTCAAACCTCACCGTGCAGAAGGTTGAAGTGCATGCTACGTACATCTGTACACTTCCGATCTGCTGTTGAGCGGCGCCTTGCATGAATCGCACATGCTTGCCCGGGACCTCGTCAAGAGATCGGGTTCTGGAGCGTTCGAAGCAGCACGAGAACCAAGTCGGCGAGAGCTACTGCAGTTGCCCATCGGTAAAGGCGCCCAGCGTACCATAGAATGCACGTAGGGGGGATGAACTTGAATGTCAGTGATACAAGTTGGATTGCGGTGTGGAGCAATAATAAGGCGTATTGGGCATCAGCTCAAGCTCGAGCCTCGATAATCTGGGCTTGCTGAACCCATAAGAACACATGAGAGCCTCGATGCCTCATGTCTTCTGTGTGCGCGTGGCGTGCTGTGTTGCTGGTAATAAGCTCATGATTGTGATCGAGACTCCGCTGCAGATGCAAGCATTCATGCAAATTTACAGCACGCAAGCGGTGCAATCAGTGACCGTCAAACACGAGATGTGAGCAAAATAACCACTCAGAATACAAATGTGGTAGTGCCGTGTGTGATGATCGATGTGAAACGCGGTTTAGGAGCAATAAGCGCCGAGGAAGCCGCCTCGAACCTGCCGTTTTACACATTCCTATGCCACGAATCGAAGCGCGACACCATACGCATTCCGTTCAGCATGGTAGGAGTGAGGTGCATACCAACGATGTCGACATCCAATAGCGCTGCAGCTTGGCCCGAATATCAAGCAGCCGGAGCTCTTCCGCGGCACATGTTATATGGTGCAGACATACTATCTCACGCAATGGCAGCGCACGAGGCTGAAAGATGGCCATTGTTCATCGCTTGGAGTATACAGCAGAGGAGTCACCGTGGGAGGTCCAGGTACTTGCCAGAACCCATGAGGGTAAACGCGGACGCACGCAGAGTCTAGCCAAGGAGCGATTTGCCGAGCCAGAGAGCGGGCCCGTACCATATGACACCGATGTTCAGGCTATCAAAGTACAGTTGTCGAACTTCCAGTGACCGGGAGCATGGCCCTGAAGCCATGAATAGCAGCCCGGGTTCTGGCAGACGACCGTGTCAGGACAATGAGAGCCTGTCGCACAGTTAGTCAGCGGATGCGTCTGGACAGAACGAAGACGTACAATCCCACAGCGAGTTGCGTACTGGGCCATTGCAGGCTTTACACGACAACGGGAAGGAAACGGACGGATAGTGCATGCTGAAGTAGCGAACATAACTATTGCAAGCGCACATGAGGGAATATCCTGTATAAAATCGAGGTCATATGCTCACGACGTGTGTATCGGATGTTTCTGGTAGCGCAAAGGGAAGCACGAGTGGCAGAAGGCTACAGCGGAGCCCGTGCATTCAGCACCTGTGGGACAACGATGAGAGCTGCACGGTTCGAAGTGAGGCGATCGATGCTCACACATCCAATGGAGACCACCCCACCCGTTACCACATCCGTCACAAATCCAATGAGGCATCCCATTCAAGACCACCTCTATTTCACCGTTTCCGGCAGCAGGAACTCGGACAAAGGCATGCCGCGGATGGTGTAGTTTCGGGAAGCACTTTTGGCAGGAGTCGTAATCTGAGCATCCGAGACCTAAAAACGGAGGAAGTCAGTAGGCGATCTGGTAGATGCATAGATCACGAGATGCGTGACGGAGAACAACACGATGAGCGAAGAGGGAATCAGCACGGCTCACATCTGTACCGATCCGTCTTGGTATATATCTCCTTCTTACACGAGTCGCAGCTATGCCCGGTGGAGGGTCCCTTCGCTTTCTGCCTCTGGGCCTGGATGATCTGGAATACGCCGGCGCCAGCGTGGACGAGGCCGGAGGGATCGATGGTACCCGCGACTCCAGTGGCCAAGTTGAGAAAGGTATCAGCCATCGCAGGAAATCGTGGAGGGATGAGAGATGGCAAGCGCTGCAGGTTGCCATCTCCTGAGTCATATGGATTGCGAGGATAGCAGACACGCTGTCAATCGCTTATGTTCCGACTTATCAAGTGACAAGATTCAATGGTTTTCGAGGAAGGGCCGCAGCCTCGCTAGTACACATCTGAGCGCGGCGCGAAGAGAGATGCTACATCCAGCCCAGCTGATCAAACGTTGGGCTTATAAGTCACATTGAGAACGAGTGAAGGTGGACCGTGGTCGACGTTCGACCAGGTTCGTTTATTTTTAGACGTATGTATGGCTATGCACCCTGCACGTGCCCTTCGTGATTGCTTTTTTCGCAGGAGTCCTGGGGCAGCTTTAGCCTTTTCCTCTTACTGTATGACTCCCTTTTTCGCACTTTCAGAGACGGGTCGAAACGCGATATACTGAGGAGGCTCCATTGACTGCATGCATGACTGCATTCTTCTTACCATTCATCGCGCGATCGCGCCCTACGAGTGATGCGGAACACTTCGGACCAGTTCAGTGTGGCAGGACTCAAGCCCAGTGACAGTCGGTAAAGAATCTTCTTGGTTGGTACGCGCATCTCCTTCTGGTCGACATCGCTGTGAGGCGGCCTCGTGTTTGGCCGGCTTGTGACCGGTATTATCAAAGACATGGCATACGCTATCCGTCAGTAGACGCACACTACTATTTACTGCTAATATTACCTCGTGTTTGATCAGCCTATCGAGCCCGCCCTCGGGTCTCTATATTCGATCGACTGTGCGACTGCTGGCGCAAACTTGTGGGCGTACGCACCACGCTCAAGTCGGCCAGCAATATGCACAGACTCCCGATCAACATCCATTCAAGCGCACTTGCGTTATCTCTGGTCATGAAGCTTACCGTCGATGGCATAATTTCCGCGTCTCTGAGGTGACGAGCGTCAGCAAAAGAGCTGCTGATCGTCGGCCTCTGCGGTGAATAATGGGCGCAAAGATTGCCGTCGGCCTTCCCGATTCGCCCAAGGCCGATCCGAGAACTCCTCCGAGGTGCATGTAAGCGCTACGTGGTCTAGTACATCGCATCGCACAAAAACATCCGGGTCTCCTATCTCACCGCACCTCGCGCTTGTCCCAGCTTCCCATCCGATTTCGTCGTGCTATCAAGCGCAAAAGTACTCCAAGAACCCGCACAACGATGTTCTCTTTCCTGCTACCGCCGAGCCGCGTTCACTCCAGCCGTCGAAGCGCCGGCTTCCAATGGACACAAGAATCATTTTCCCATCATCGTGGCGTCGTCTCCTCTATTGCGGGCTGAACATGGATCCACTACCCCGTCGGAGTTCAGAACTTCGAATGTAGAGAATATGTGCTCTCGCCTGGACTCGAACGCGGTTGTGTGATCCCCAGCGCGCGCAACCTATGGCGTGTGCGTCGTTCCAGCGTCCTCCCCCTTCCACAGCGGGAAGGAGCGGGGCCAAGCGCGGGATTCGGTGCGTCATTTGGACCTCTCCTCCCGTAACTCCTTGTTCATGCGTCCCTTGCGGAAGCGCTTCGGCGTTGCATTGTTGCAATGCCGGTGCGATGGTCCGGCCCCTTATCGAACTTTGCGAGCACACACGAGCGCGTGGCCGGCTTCTCGCAAGTGACCGGCGGTGCGATCGGACAGAGACTGTCACGCGGGCTACGTTCTCGTCGAACGAGAGGCTGCTTGAGGACAAGGCCGGGAGATGCGGCGGACGAGGGTTCGTTCGTGGTGTGGATGGGAGCTGCCGCGGAGATATAGGCAGAACAAGAGGCGGATCACGGTTTGCTTTGCCGGTGAATGAACTGCTGTAGGTGACGGGCTATTTCGCTAGGTTCGTTCGCGTTTGGTTATGCATGACATGCCCGTCTTGGAGACGGTTTCATCACGACCGCTGCCGTACCGAGCACGTCCCGGCTGTCAACCTGTGAAACAGTCCACAGACGCTGTGGGGCCGATCTCAGCTGATCCCAGCGGACGCCGATTCCTAAACTGATCCCGACGAGGGCGGATGGCGTTGTGGCGCGGGCGCGGAAATCGGACAGGCACAGCGCGAAGCGAAGTTGGAGCAAACCATGGTTGAAAGTTCGCTGAAAGGCCCCGATCGATAGTGCTTTGGATTCAACACGATCGTTGATTAGATGGCCGGTGTTCTGATAGTGTTTGATCTGCTTCGACACGCGCCAAGATAGCGTTGCCGTTCCCTTCGCGAGGGGGGACATTGAACGGACAACGGTGCGTGAGTCTTACGTCAACGTTCAATGCGGCTGTCTTCGTCACCTCTCAGTATTCCCCGGACTCGCTCAGGACGCAGCCGGTGGGTCAGACGTCCTCAAGTCTGAGTCATTCATCCCTTCTTTTCGCCTCGTGAACTCCCACCCACCCCGAAGCGATCCGCGATTTTCGGACGGGTGTCCATGCGAACACGGCAGGCTTGCGACGGGGGACATGGATAATATTATGCGATTTCGGCGCGAAGCGCACGGTCCATCGCGCTGGAATCGCAGCACCAGCACCCGACGCTTTAATCGGACAGAAGTCGTGCGCTCCCGAGACATTTAACAACGGCCATACACATTGCCTCGGACACTATCCCGCCCCTAACATCGACCCTCTCCATAATGGACGGCTCCAATACTTCCAAGCCCAAGTTCCGTGTCGCGATTGTGTGAGTACTCCGAGGCGTTGACTACCGATCGTTCTTCTCGCAGAGGCTAAACTGACATGGGCTTCTGCTCTTCGGCGTTTCGTCAGTGGCGGCGGCGTCGCGGGTCTCACACTCGCGCTGACCCTCTGCCGAGATCCGAACATCGAAATCGACATCTACGAGGCCGCCAACCAGTTCGCCGAGGTCGGGGCCGGCATTGGGCTATGGCCCCGCTGCTGGCATATCCTCCGCCAGTTAGGCGTCTTCGACGACGTTGCATCCAAAAAGCCCGACTTCGTTGGCGACAATACTCCAAGTGAGTTCAAATATGTACTTAACGCCCGCCCCTGGACACGCTAATCAACAATTCTAAGCCCCGGTGTTCAGATTCCGGAAAGGTGATCAGTCAAGGGGTATCGACTTTTGGGACATGAGGACCCCCGGTACGGTTGCGAATTTCAACACTCGAAAGTTTCTTCGCTGACCGCGCCACAGGCGGCCTTCTGCAGATTCACCGCGCCGACTTCCAGTCCGCGCTACTCGCACACCTCCCATCCGGTCCCAATTGCCGGAAGCACCTCTCTAAGCGCCTCGCCTCGTACTCCGAAACGTCACCCTCCCCTTCCTCTCCCGTCACCCTCACTTTTGAAGATGGCTCGATTGCAGCATGTGATGTTCTCCTCGGTGCCGACGGTATTCGCTCCGCGGTCCGTAAGCAGATGTGCAAGGAGTTGGGTTTGGGCAGTGGAGACCCCGTCTTCAGCGGCAAGATTGCCTTTCGATGCTTAGTATGCACTGAGCAGCTGCGAGCGATCGCGCCAAATCACCCGTGCCTTAGCTCCGGTATGGAGGTGAGACATTCGCTCTGCGTCCCTGTTCCTTGTCTGACATGCGCTCGTCTGTTGCAGTTTGTCGGAGAGAACGGTGTACGTCACCGCTTGAATTTTCAACTCGACTCAGTATGACTGACTTCCTCTACTTATGAGAAGTTCATACTATGCTATCTCATAAACGGCGGGAAGACTGTCAACTTTGTCGCGTTTTCGTTCATGAACGAGCTTGAAGGCACGCGGCTTGATGGCCCACCGGTCCGGATCGGTACAAGAGAAGAAGTGATGCAGCACTTCGGCCACTGGGATGCGGACGTTCAGGTGCTCCTCCAGGTACTCAGTCATACAAACCGCCATTTCGATTAACCATAGACTAACATACGTCCGTTGTACAGTGCGTTGATGCACCAAAACGATGGGCAATCGAGGTATCACCGACATTAGAGACTTTCGTCTCTGGGCGTGTAGCTCTCCTCGGCGACGCTGTAAGTTCCTATACTCATTTGCATACTCTTGCTCACATCAATGACCAGGCACATGGTATGGCCCCGTTCCAAGGGGCGGGCGCTGGACAGGGCGTCGAGGACGCTTATCTACTTGGCACGCTCCTCACGCATCCGTCTGCCTCCCTTGCCTCACTTCCCCGGATACTCAAAATCTACGATGCTGTACGCAGGCCGTACGCTCAAGAAGCAGTTCGCCGCTCCCGCCAGGCGGGTATGCTCTACACACTTCGAGACGAACAGTTCCGCGATATCGGCATCCTGGCGAAGCAAAACGGACGCGCGGCGGGACAACTGGGCGCGAAGCTCAACGGCCTGGCGCATGCGATATACGACATCTGGAAATGGTGTTGGACGACGACCCTTGACGGGGACGTTTCGCGGGCGATTGAAATGTTGCGAGCACAATGACACTAACAACTCGAACACTGCGAGTGAGATTAGGACAACACTAAATACTATTCTGGACGTACCGCATGTTTTTGGATATGATGTGGTTACCGGGAATTTCTTCATTGTCCCCTTCGTATTTGCTCCTCCCGCCCATTGGCGCGAGTTGTCTCCAGGCAGCACTCCGGAATTATTGACGATCCCCATTCAATGGTCAAAATATCATACCACCGTCAAACCTGTCACCAGCGTTAGTCTAGTCAGCGTAAGGCGAAACTGAAGCCACGTTTGTGGTCTGCTTATGCAACCTCAGCCGTCCATCGCCGCGAATCAACGATCTGCATAGCAGGATACCTTCTTGCATGTGAGTGAAACAGTAGTTTATAGTACACGATGTCCCATCGGCATAGAAAGCACAGAGTTTACAGAAGTCCATACCTCTCCTCCCTCAAGCCACCTCGATCCCCTTGAAATGTACCCCGGTCGCGGTCAAGGCATCCTTGATCCTTTCCATTCCCCAGAAAACCTTCTCTTCTTCCAGCCTCCTGCCGACGACCTCCACTCCAACGGGTAGCCCCTCCATCTTCTTCGCGTCATACATCTTCCACGCGCCCTTGGCGATGCTGTTCGGCATGCGCTTCCACAGATCGCGCGGGACGGCGTCGAGCGCAGCGTCGACGTTGGTGACAGGCATGACGCCCGCAGAGTAGTCGAGGAGATTCCACAGAAAGGTGTACCCACAGCTACAGAAGCCGTCGTACATCCCTCCGGCGGGCACGGCCGGCGCCGCGTTGGGGACGCAAAGAACGTAGTCGACGTTCTTCTCCTTCATGTACTCGTACCATTCCGCCCTGTAGCCTTCCCTCTCCTTCACCAACCCCCAGAGTTCCGGCGTAGTCGGTCTGTTCCACCTCTCGACTAGGCCCGCCCAGATTTCGTCCTTCCAGACGGTCCTGAGTAGCCAGGCGTAGACGCGCTTGATGAATGCAGGGACGCGGAAGGCGAAGAGCATACGAGCCACGCCGGGGTCATTCCACTCGAAGTATGAACGGAAGAATGAGTTCAGAACAGAGCAACCATCGTTGTTGAGAAGGATGGATGCGGCACGAAGGCCGCGGTAAGGCGACGGCGCGTCCGAGAGGTTGATGATTGAATCTCCGCGAGCAGATAGCGCATCGACGGTCAGTTGCAGCGCCCGTAGACAAGCGGGGGTTGGATCCACGACACCTGGAGAAATCCTTGAGGCAGGATATGGTAAGAACGAGGAACGAACACGTACCATCTGTCCACAGTACGCCCCACCGGATTTCGCGCTTCTCGTCCTCCATCTCCTTCTTCACCTCTTCACCTCTCCAAGGGATAGGATGGCAGCTGTGGTCGTATGTCCACGGCTTCATGTCCACGATGCTTTTTAGAAAGTATCCTAGATCTTCCAAAGTGCGAGTCATGGGTGAGTACCTATCGCGAACGCGGAGTTTAGATCGGAAAAAGGTTTCGTCAAGGCGTCATACGCACACCGCAGGAACGCCTTCCTGCCCGGGCATCGTCGTCATGCACCCCGTGCGAGGCATGCGGCCGGTGCTGCACTTGATGGTGTATATTCCCGAGTAATGAGAAGGTACCCGGACGCTTCCTGCGACGTCCGTGCCTATAGTTTAGGCGTGTCAATGTCATAATCATGAAGCAGAGCAACGAGCGAGACAGCATCGTTCGGGCCTAGCCGCAGCAGTGATGTGGAGGGAGGTCACTTACCTATGCCAATGCGGCTTCCACCGAAAGCAAGCAACGCAGATTCCCCTCCAGTGGAACCGCCTGGCGAGTATGCCTTATTAAAGGGGTTCGAGGTCCTGCCGAATACCTACAAAGACAGATGTCAGGCTTGTGTCAACGCAGTGCATGTAAAACAAGGAGATGGACGCACGTCGTTGGTGCTTTCGAAGCTGAGTAGTGTGATGGGGATATTTGTCTTCACGAACGGGACGGCCCCTGATATACTTATGGTCAAAAGAGTCTTGTCTCGTGAAAATGATGGATCTCACCAGCATCCTTGAGCAGCCTCACAAGTGCCGCATCCTTCTTGAACGGCTTGCCAACCAACTTGGAATGCCCCATGCACGCATCATACCCGGCCACGCCAGTAATATCCTTGAGGCTGACTGGAACGCCGGCAAGACTGCCTTGGAAGTTGACCTCGGCCACTCCACCGCCCTTCTTCGCACTTGCGATCAAAGCCTCGGCGCGCCCGATCATCACCTCCGTCAGGCAATTAGTTTCCTGGTGCGCTTCGAGGGCACGTTTACCGTAAGCCTTGAGTACGTCGCTCGCGCTCCATGCCCCGGCCCGAACGTTGGAGGCGGTGGAAGCAACAGGTGTGTTAAGGATCGCGATGTCCGAGGAGGTGAGAGGGGTATGGTATGCTGCTGGAAGGGAAGCAATGGCGTGCTGACGCTCTGCCTGTTTGAATCGGCTGCATGAAGAGTCAAATTATGGTCAAATGAACCTCAATGCGATAAGGATATGAGTCCACTCACCAATCGCGCCGATGGGCGAGGTATCCTAGGAAGAAAACCATACGCGTTCAGTCACTAGTCAGGATGAAGAGCACGGCGGGGTTGGAGACAGGTCAGGATCCATGCCACGCCCATGCGATTGATGTATGTATACAGAGCCCTACGGGCGCCTGATAGCAAGGAAGAATCGAACAACCACGGGAACAGAGCCTGAGAGTCATCCACCTAGAGTACACAGTACGTATGCCGTCCTATGCCGTCACGGTGTCCGTGCTAATGGCGTGAAGCGTCCAATTATGCGTCGGTGCATGTCTAGGCCATGGACGAGTCGATAATGATAGTACTGCCGAGCGGGTTCTTTACAGCAGAACAAGAGCATACCATAAAGGACCAAGAGCATCGAATTCAGTGGAAAGAGGATTGTACACGTGATTAGTCAGTACACACATATATGGGCGCCACCCCCTATTCGAGCGTTGGTGGCGACCTGCCGCTACCGACAATCGTCTGCTGCCCTTCACTCGTTACATCGTTGACCGTCAGGAAAACCGTGGCAGGCCCTGGCGGATACACTCTTCCATTTGTAGGCACTGTGAACGTCAACGAATCGCGGGCGGATGACATCTTTGCGTCCATAAACACCAGGCGTGCACCGGAGTGGAACGAATGGGTGGAGAAACCCATGTCCATGAGCGATACTAGACCCGGATCGCGTCAATTGCTTCATAATTCTTCAGAAATTCATGATATGCTTACCCTGAATATTCTTCGCGGCAAGGTTCCTCGGGATGGTAATCGGTACGGTTACGCTCTTCCCGAATGGGATCGTCTTCGGTAGTTTGCCGATCGTAGGTCGCTCCATCTGCATGAACGGAGGGTCCAACGTCTGGACTCTGAACTCGCTAGGGAACTTCAGACCCGGCTTCTCTGTGAAATTGCCGTTCGGGTTGCTACCGGCGATGTAAAAGTTGCCTTGAGGAGTAAGTGTCACTGTCGAGTGGTACATGCGTGCTATGTCGGTGTTCGGCATGCCCCTGTTGGTGAGCCTCTGGCCCAGAGGAAGGTCGGGGGTGTAGAGGGAAGGCGTTCCAACGTGATGGTCCGCATTCGACTCGCCGACAGGGTTGGAGATGGAGTTGATGGCAGGGAAGCCCGTGCCCGCGCCGTTTATGAGGAGTATTTGACCGTTGGGGAGATGCAGAAGCTCGGGCATTGTCCGAGCTTCAAGCATATGTTCGACTTCCCAACCTTTGGCGATGCCTTCCTCCGTAAGCGTGATGCGGCTGCACTGTGACGAGGCGGGCATTTGCGAGGACAGGTTGCTAGGCGGGTGATCTTCCGGCGTGATAGCAGTTCCACCGCACACCAAGACCTGATGACCACTGTCAGACCTGGGATCACGGAGCGAACGGATACTTCGTACCTCAGGGGTGTAGTTTGGAGGCGAGAGAGGGAGCAAGATGGCCGATCCATCGATCGGATTGGTAACGCGAACATTGTTCGGTATGTCGGGAAGTTTGTTTCAGTGTGCGTCTCGATGTCATATATAATGGTCTGGTTGCCCGCAATCATGAAAACGCGACCGTCAGGCAGCGCGAACGCTCTATGGAAGACATGAGTGTCTACATGAAGTTCCAACGAATCTATGTATTACCTTGGGGAAAGGTTTGCCGGCAGGCTCCTTTCCAGAAACGCGGATGGTCTAGGCACACCACCATCTTTGGGCGGGAAGAATTCGAATGAGTTCTGCGGGGCGGTGTTATAGAAGAGCACGCCAACATTCGAGCCTGGGATACTATGAGTAGAGAGCGTGACGAGACATTTCTGAGCTTGGACTTACCACCGATTATCATGAGGCCGCCATCAAAAATACGGATTGCGGTGGTATACCAGCGGGGTACGGCGAGTGTAAGATGCTCAGGATCCTCGAATAGAGTGCAGCCTTCTCCGGTGGGAGGCTCGCAAGGCTCGAAGATGCGGATCGCATTCAAACCAGAAGCAGCGGCCGGATTGGGGGTATCACTCATCTCGACTTGGGAGCCAGCTACACTGACCTGGGAACCATTAGCACATTTCATGTATAATGCTTCCCTCATCTAAAAGGGATGCATACCATTGACCCATTGCTGATCATAGCGCCAGATGCGCAGAATGTATTGGAGAGTACCCTAAGAGGTGTCGCTGTGTTCGTCTCGAGATTCCACAATGCGCCCCAGGCCGAGTGGTTGTTGATCTGCAAGGGGTCATTGCTTGCCCCTATGAACGCACGACTGTGTCACTTTGCGTAAAACATATCGAGCTAATCATCCCAAAACTCACAGTCAAATGTTACGACAAGCGTAGGAGACACGACGACGGCTTCCAGTGCCACGATACCCGAGTTTCCTTTGAGGTTGAATGACCATTGTGGCGAAGGCGATGCCGCAAGGACTAAGACAACTCCGTAGCATAGTACAACAGAAAGGATGGTGCGCATGGCATGAACTAGTCCGTCCATCGGCCGGGGCGAAATGCGGAGGCAAGGCGACGTGGGCAGCTCATATACGTCTTGCGCATAGATGCGAAGGAGAGCGGACATGTCTCTGTGAACGTACGTCCTCACCCAATGTAGCAGAGGCCTTGGCCCGCAGTCGTCTCCGTGTCTGGGGACTATGTCTCATACCCGTAACACGAGGTCAGCCTGCATAAGTTGATTCAGGATCGGCATTCGTCACAGTAGCATTTTTCTCTCACTGGACGTATAGACAGAGCCTATAGCCGAGCATCTGCAATCCAATGCTAGGGGTATCCCAGGCTTAGCCTTTGAATATTCGGGCGGCATGAGCGATGCGAGCCAAGACGAGACCAGCTTCCGCTGTTGTGGAGTCGTAAGCAAGTCGCTTTCGTGCTGGCTGTCTTAGCGAAACAGAATTGCAGCCAGGAGTCGATGCCGCCCTGCGAGACCGCGATGACAGGTACCCGAGTGCCGTTTAAAACGAGGTTCGTTGAGGTTCGTGGTGTATAGGGCAGTACGCTGGTTTTTCTGGAGAAGCAAAGATCGAGGATTCCCATGCCGAGACCAAGGCCCACGACGACTTCGCTCTGAGAGTGGCCCTGTACCATCTGATCTAGCGAGAAGCTCCCAAGGCGGCGTAGAAGAAGGCAGCACAGGTTCCTCAAGCTGGGCATGTATAGCTACATTCAGGCTTGGGCAAGTGTGCAAGGTACGCACACACCCATATCTGGAAAGGAGTGGGGTCGTCACACGGTATCGGGTGGAGGAGACTCGAGATGTTCTCACGAAACCAGTTGACATTGACTCCGAGGGAGAGGAGAGCGGCGTTCAGTCAGCATTTTTGAGTCTTGCAGCTAACTTACTACAGACATGGCTGCAAAAGCTCGCATACAGGGCCTTGTCGCCCCCTCGCAACCAGTCGAACTGTAGAGTTGCTTGCCAAGTACGGATGTCGCCGGCTGCCTCGCAAGATCTGTCTCCTGCTGGGAGTCGCCACCAGATCCGGCAACGCATGGAGGATGCAGTGCGATCGGTACCGTTGTACGTAGGCCCATCATTGGACGCCTCCAGCTTGATTCGCTTCCGTCGTGGTGGGGACAAGTCTGCGGCAGCTGGTAGCACGGGTTCTTCAACACGGGACGCCTGCTGCGCCTTCCTGCGAGCCGCTCGAGACCAGGTATTCGCGGCAGCGTCTACGATCAGGATCTTGCACGTAGATAAACCACGTCCAACAGAACCGGGATGATTTCCATCGAAGCCGCCACAGAGGGAAGTAGCATCGAACGCGTGGACTTCCAGTCCGCTAGTTTCTTCGAGCGTCTGACGCAGAGCAGCGTAGAGGCGCGTCAATTCCCGGACTCTATGCTCTGCCACTGGTTGAGCATCCTCATCTGGAGAGCCCATGGGTAACGGAGTGAGCTGAAAAGTCTGCTCGGTAGTGTTGCGCCGCGGCAGAATACTGCTAAGCACAGCGTTCGGATGAGGAATACGGGCAACGGACTAGAACCAGACATAGATGAACATAGCAAGTGCATATTAGCTTGTATCGCTCAGAGATTTACATGCGAACGTACATCAGGTAAACGCGTATTTCCGAACGACCAGCCGACGGCCCACCGACGAGTTTGACCTTGGACGAACTCCGTCAGAACATAATTGTCAATCTGTGGCATTGTGTTGAGTATACTGCCCAAGAACACGAAAAACAGAACCGGTGCAGCCTACAGTATGTCGCCGAAGATGGTCCACAATAGCGACCACAGACGATAGCTTTCCTAGCATCGACGTGTACCAGTGGCAGCTAAATCAGAGTGCAATGTGAGTGGTCGTACTCTGCCATATCTCGCTGTCACTCGCCGTGGCTTGCCAATGGGGATATGGTCCGAGCTCGCTGGATCGCCCTGTCGCTCAATCTGCACGCTCTCGTCGACCATTCTTGAGACGAAAGCGACTTCCCCGCCCGGCGTGATCATCTCGTTTTCTCCGCCGGTGCACACGGCACGCGGTCCCTCTTCCTTCGTCAGAGCGGCGGACGCGATCTCCTCCTCCGAGGCGTAGAAAGGTGGATTGCACAGAACGAAGTCGCATTGGTCCCTAGCAATAGCGTAGTCAGATCTTGCAGGCGCTCGACATCATCACACGCAAACTCACCATGCCGAATTCGCATATGACGATGTCACATCGTCAGTGAAGAGGTGTGAAAGGATGGGGCCGCCTGTCTTGGACTCGACAATACGTATTCGGTCGTCCAGCCCGTTAGATTGGACGTTTTGCCTTGCATAGCGCAGCGAGGTTTCATCGACATCCGTTGCGATGATATGCCACTCCGGCGACTTCAAAGCTTCGTCGTCACGACTAATTCCCGCATTTCTGCCCTGTGATGCAAGGATACGGTGCAGGCGACAGGCGAGCAGCGGGTATATGACTGACGCTCCAGTACCACTGCGTACTGTGTCAAGGCGGTGGTCCTACGTTCGCATGTCAGGCACGTACACGTCTATTCCTTGAATTTGGGATAGGCAGAGCGTCCTGCTTGGATCAGTACTTGAGATTTCCATATTTGCCATGTAGGTAGCATAAACTATATCTCGGATCCATAGGACGTAGTTCAACCTGTTCGGAACCTTTCCGTGTCGCTGTATGAGTCACGCATGCGTTCTGCTACGATCCCAATCACTAACCGGTGGACATAACCTATCAAGTGGAAGATGTAGACGAAGGCCGAAATCGCGATGTAGCAATGCTTCGGTTAGACGTCTGCCTTGAGAGGCGCTCAGACTTCGTTCACGCTGGACGATGTGGGAGACTGTGGAAGATCGGCTGCACCTTTGCGAGTTCTCGTCCTTGAAGTCGATACTCACCCCCGACGAGGTCTTGAACAAGCTGGGGGGTCGGGGTAAGTGTGTTGATCGATTGGGTAAGATGTCGATGCTCGCCATTCTCTCAATGGTTTGTACGCTTCGGACAGCTGCAGGAAGTCCGGGGGCACACGATAGGGATTGGCAGGATGCATAGTGGGTCTTCGCAGTCCTTCAAGTCAAGGATAACCTATGCATCAAGCGCATGTATCGAGCTTTGAAGGCGACGCTGCGCGTTGAAGAAAACGCGATGGGGGAAAAGGATACAAGTCGCCCTCCAATCAGAGCCGTGGGATCGCAGCCCTTCGACATGTGATCGGCTCAGGAGGGACTTATTTCTTTGCAAGCATCTCCCGCCATGCATGCTATCCTCGAACTTGTGAACTCGGACAAGCTCGCTCTTGGGAAACCGCTGGTTCGAAGGTCTGAAAGCGCTCAGGATATCACGGGCGTACGTAATTTATTCCGCGCTCCTTCGGTCCACGGCCCCAACTACCTCATCGGATTCAGAAGGCGGCCAGGCGTCCGGATGGTACCCTCGTCATACGTTCAGACCCGTCACCACGGGGCACGGATAACGCGGTGGGCGCTGCCGCTGCCGATTCCAGTATAGGACGCGGATCGTCCGCTCTGTCCGCAGAATCAGGCAGAGAGGTCTAACGGTTACACTTACCACACCCGCGCATACATAGTACTCCAAGTCCGCGCGTCCGCACATCAACGATGGTATCTTGTTTTGCAAAGCGTACTGGGAAGGTATATGCGTTGGGTTAGGTGAGGGTACAATCGCTTAATGACGCTCCCGCAGAATCGGCATAGTCATAAGCCTCGTACGCGCAAGTTGCCAGGTGCTCCAAATCCACCATCGCCAGACTCTGGCGACGCCGTCCCACCGGTTCATCCAATCATTGCTGACGGGAAGCCTGCATCGATACACCAATCCTCAGGTTCCTCTCGGTCACCGACGAATATCGGCGGGATCTTCGAGAGCAGGACGGAGAAAGCGGTGGGCGGCTTGACGTGCAATTGCGGGCCACAACCCTCGCGGCGGCGATGGTTCGGGGACAACCGCAACTTTTCGTTCTTCAGATGATACTACCCAACCATACCCTACGTATTTCACGAATAACGTGAGCTAGAGTACCGGAATGCCGAGCAGCAATTTGTATCTGCAGAGAGTGCCGAAGGCCGACATGAGCAAATGACATGACAGAACTCGGCAGAAACATCGACACCGTCGTCCCGGCGCGCGCCGAGCGTTACGTCATGATGCGAGCGAGGTTGCATATACGCGACCGTAAGGTTACTTTGCTCTCGACTTTCTCTCCCGTAACACCTCTCCTGCGACTCGAGCACACGACACGACACATACACGCAACATGCTGTCCGCGATCCGAACCGCAGTACGCCCGACGACGCTCCTCGCGCGCAACGTCGCGTCCATGGGCATGCGCTCGAAGCACACCCTGCCCGACCTGCCGTATGCCTACAACGTACGCGCATCTTTTCTTCCTTCTGCGCGAGGGTAGCCTCTATGCAATAGCGGTTTTGTTCGCTCGAAAATCTTGGGAAGAGTACTTACGAACTCGCCTTGCAGGCCCTCGAACCCTACATCTGCGAGGAGATCATGAAGCTGCATCACAGCAAGCACCACCAGACGTACGTCAACGGGCTGAACGCTGCTGAGGAGGCCTACGCCTCGGCGTCCACGCCCAAGGAGCGCATTGCCCTGCAACCCGCGCTCAAGTTCAACGGAGGCGGTGAGTTAACGACCATAGCGATCCCCCCATTCGACGTCTAGTATGCTCAATGGACTACGGCAGGACACATCAACCACACCCTCTTCTGGAAGAACCTCGCGCCCGCTTCCGCAGAGGGCGGCAAGCTCGCGGATGGCCCGCTGAAGCAAGCCATCGAGCGCGGTGCGTGTACCTTTTTTTCCCCCTTCTCTTCCCCATGCATGGCCACTCATGACCACGAACCAGACTTTGGCTCTGTCGAGGCGATGAAGAAGGAGCTGAACACGAAGACGGCCGCGATCCAGGGTTCGGGCTGGGGCTGGCTCGGGTACAACAAGTCGACGGGCAAGCTCGAGGTGGTGACGACCGCAAACCAGGACCCGCTGATCTCGCACGTCCCGCTGATCGGGATCGACATCTGGGAGCACGCGTTCTACCTCCAGTACAAGAACGTCAAGCCCGACGTACGTGCACCCCCTTTTATCCCTTTCACGTCGAGTGGGACTAACGTTTTCCTCGACGATGGATGCAGTACCTCAACGCGATCTGGAACGTGATCAACTTCAAGGAGGCGGAGGCGCGCTTCTTGGAGGCGCAATCTTAGATGGCCCGAGCGCATAAGTACGCCCGGTCTTGATGAACATTGCTGTATTTGTATAGTGGACGAACACAGAACTGCTTCTTCTACAGCACTGGCGCGGGCCTGATTGCGCTGCGACGAGTAGTGTATTGTGAACGGGCTATCGGTGGACTGAGAATGAAAGTTAGCAGAGTGGTGAGAACGACGAGCGTGCAAGAGGAGAGAAAGGAGCGCTGCGTCTTGCGTCTTCTGCCCCGAAAGCTGCTTCTGGCACCCATGCCACTTCGGAAGGCCGCCCCGCGCCTTCTCGTCCTCTGATTGTGGGAGCCGCTCCGTATGGTTGTGATGGAAGTCTCGCGCCGCCCTGTACTAAGCGTACCGATTGCAACATATCGCCACTCGTCCCGTCGGCGCTCGCGGTCGATAGGCAGAAACGGTGCCGTCCCATACGGACGGTGATAACGCCGAAGCGTCCGCGACTGGACGTGGCGTCCAGGGAGTCCTCCGTCGGACCAGAGGGGCTGATAAAGTGCCGTGGGCGCCGGCGAACGCCTTCGTCTGAATTCTTGGCTGCGTGGGTGGGACGTCTCTGCCCCCTTCCGTCCCTGGCTGAGCCCGACCCCCAGCTTCTTCTCGGCGGGATGAACGTTATCCACCGTGCGCCCAGATAACGTGCCCCCCGTTATAAGCTATACCCCCCATCGTCCCATGAAGTCGAAGCCGTCGACTTTGGACGCATCCTACGCCTACTACGAGCCCCTCCGCGACTGCGATCGAGACGAGGGGATAGAGCTCGACGATATGGCCTACGACCTCGACGACAAGGGCTCGCCGAAGCTCACGGACGAGAAGCACCATCCGGCCCACGCCGTCTCGACGAGGGAGGTCGACACCGCCGCCGCCCTCGTCGCCGGGGACGACCTCGAGCTCGACGAGGCGGAGGCGTTGCGGGTCCGGTATGTGCTCCCAGGAACTTCGGCTCCAACGCCCGCTTACTTCCTTTGCTTTGCTCGCAGAAAAAAGATCGACTGGCACATCCTTCCCATGATGTGCGGTACGTCCCGTTCACCGATCGCCCCTCTCGGACGCCTCTCTGAACAGAGCCCACCCTCGCAGTCCTGTACTGGATCCAGTTCATGGACAAGACCACCCTCGGCTCGTCCGCCATCCTCGGCATCCGCGAAGCGACCCATCTCACCACGAACCAGTATAACTGGTACGTCGCGCATTCCCTCGCGCCGCATATATGCGCGCTCACGGATATACCGCAGGCTGGGCACGATCTTCTATCTCTCCTATCTCGTGCGCACCCATCTCCCATCTCGATTCCACACGGCCTCGTCTCATCTCCATCGCGTGTTCGCAGGTCTTCGAATACCCGCAAAACCTCGCCCTCCAGCGCTTCCCGGTCGGAAAATGGATGAGGTACGACTTCCAATGCACGCCCCTCCTTTCTGCCATCACCGCGCTCATACTCGCACCGTACTCGCCACCCCGCAGCCTGAACATCCTCACGTGGGGCATTGCCCTCGCCGCCCACGCGGCCTGCACGTCCTTCGCGGGCCTCTTCGTCGTGCGCTTCATCCTCGGCATCTGCGAGGGCTCGATCACCGCCGGTTTCATGATCGTCTCCAGCATGTTCTACACGCGGCGCGAGCAGACGCTCCGCGTCGGCTACTGGTGTGAGTCGCCGATCGGCCTCCTCCGAGCCTTTTTTTCCCTCGACTGATGAAACGCGTTTGGGACCCAGTTTTGATGAACGGGACGGGTGAGCGAATCGAGGGTCCGCTCCGAGATGCACTCGACTGACGACGAAACGTCGTCTCTCAGCTCAAATCATATCCGGCTTCATCTCCTTTGGCGCGCTCCACATCCACACCAAGGGCTTTGAACCCTGGCAATGGCACGTCTCTCCTCAGTTCCACACTCCGTGCTCGCGCACGCTACTGACAGCGCGCTCGCTGCCAGGCTGATGATCATCACCGGCGCGCTGACGCTGATCACCGCCGTCACGTACTGGTTCCTCTTCCCGGACTCGCCCACGAACGCGTGGTTCCTCACCCCGCACGAGCGCGCGATCGCCGTCGCGCGCATCAAGGAGAACCAGACCGGCGTCGAGAACAAGCATTTCAAAAAGGAGCAGTGCGTCCCCCCTCGCGGCTCTCTCTCTCTCGTCTTTTCTTTTCAACCGTGACTCGGGCGGCGCAGGATGATCGAAGCCTTCACGGACCCGAAGACGTGGCTCTTCGCGCTCTTCTCCGCGCTCGACAACGTGCCCAACTCGCTCACGAACCAGCGGCAGATCATCGTCGCCTCCTTCGGCTTTTCCAACCTGCAGACGACCCTCCTCGGCTGCGTCGACGGCCTGATCGAGATCGTCACCATCTGGACCGGCGTCACCCTCGCCGCGCGCTGGAAGGACGCCCGGGCCTACGTCGGCGCCGTCTACTTCCTCCCGAACCTCCTCGGCGTGCTCCTTGTCAACTTTTTGCCGTGGAGCGACAAGGTCGGGCTGCTGTTCGGCCAGTGGTTGACGGGCGTGGGCACGACCGGCTTCGTGCTCTCGCTCTCGTGGGTCTCGTCCGTCACGGCGGGGCACACGAAGCGGATCACGACGAACGCGATCATGCTCTGCGCGTATTGCATCGGCAACGCCGCGGGCCCGTTCATGTGGCAGGCCAAGTACAAGCCTAGGTCCGTCTTTCCTCCCTCCTTGCGAATCGTCGCGCATTTTTTTATCTTCTTTTTTTTGACGGCTGTGTAAATCTTTTTTTTTATTTACGCAGAAACCACGTCCCGTGGATCGTGATCGGGATATGCTACGTGATCTGCCCCTTGCTCCTCCTCGCGCTCCGCGTCCTGCTCAAGAGGGAGAACGAGCGCCGGAACGCGGAGCCGCCGGACACGACGTACGACGACGTGTACATCGAGGAGGTCACGCCGGACGGGAAGACCGTCGAGCGCAAGGTCGCGAAGGTGCGTGGGGATATCGGAGCGCTTCCCCTGCGCGCGAGAGGGGGCGTGACTTCTGACGATATGCGGATTCGCGTTAGGCATTCCTCGATCTGACAGACAGGGAAAACCGCGACTTCAGGTGAGCTTTCTCGCGATTTGACGTTGGTTTTGGTGCGGTGGAACGGCGTACTGACGGCTGTCGGCAGATATGTCCTGTAAGAGGACATGGCAGTGGATCGGTCGACGAGACATGTATGATATTTGACGCTCCGACAAGATTGTGTATCCAAGCTCTGTGGAGCTCTCGAGGCACCGGGTCGGACCGACAGTGCTGGCCGAGCCAAGTGCATTGCTTGTATAGGATTGCCATAAAGGCACTTCGCGGCGTTGCTATGGGCGCTCGTATAGAGCACCTGCGTTGTTCAACTTGTTGCTTGTCGTGTCTCGTTGGTGCCCGAAAGGCCGTATCGGGATCACGGGCGGTGACGCTTAGTCATCTCAGTCGCCTTGTTTCTCGCTTTCGCTGTCTATCCAGACTCTCCTTCGCCAAGTATAATTTAGACGGGCTTAAGATATTGAAACAAGGATTGCGCTGTTCATTGCCTCACGAATATCGCGAGAAGGGGACTTTAGAAAGAAGGAGTCGAGTTAACGATTGGATTGATGGATGTTGCGTTCTCGTCATCCGGGCGGTCGCGCCGAAGCCGATGTTTGTGGGTCCAACAGCCATCTCCTCATTGTCAGTCTTATCTGTACACAACAGAGGCTCCTGTCGTTGCTCAGTGGAGTGCGAGTACAACGCTTACCATCTTTCCTCGTAGCTGCGGCCTGTGATAACTTGCAAGTGTCTTGACTGGACCCACAACTGTACGTTCCCGACCCGTGTGGACGAGCGCCTCATTTTCGGATGACAACGTCCCTTCCCAAACGGCGTGAAGGTGCTTCTACAGCACGAGGGTGTATGGCAGTGGACCCTGGAGTATATATTATCGCACATACCTCTCCGAGAGACCCCTCATCGCAACCCTTTCGCCATGACATGGATCAACAACTTCTTGACTTCATCTCACCTTATCACTAATGCTTCATCCGGCTTCAACCCCTCTTTGTCATGCATCGTATTCAATCTGACCCATGGTTTCGCCGTCGCTCACACTGGATGCTCGGAGGCCTCGACGATGGATCCTAGCTACGACGCGCTAGGCGTCTCCCTGATGAACGTCACTGGTCTGAACGTCTTCCCCACTTTCTTCCAGCTGTACTGCATGAATCCATCGGTATGATGCACAAGTTTGGCTCGCACATTTCCTGATAATCCGATTGATCTGGTTCCAGTCCGATGACGGATGTCCCTACGGTGCTTGTCCGAATTCGGACCTTGCAGGTCGGTGATCAAGCGATCCGATCCCGTCTTGTTCGTCTGATCCCAGTCTATAGGTTTATTTACACGGATTTCAAGTACGTTCAATACCTTCGTCCCACCTGGCACTACGTTCTCTTACAAAGCTTGTGTTCAGTCTACATCACGTCGATCAGTGGAAGTAGGTCCAAATTACCCGTATATTCTAGCAGAATCTTGCTGAAGTAGCCTGCCTTATCATTTCAGCGATAGTCACCGACATCTCTCGTGATGATGCGCAATCAGGTGCATCCCCTCACTGTAATCCCGTTCCATGATCTCTTACACCAACCTGCTCCACAGCATTCTGGTCTCATCTGTTCCTTGTCCTCGCTGTTATGCTCGCAACGATCGTGGGGGTGATCCAACATCAGATCACCGTCATTCACTACACCATCTCTATCCTTCTATGCCTTTCCCCGCTGTTCATGCGCATGATGTTCCAGTACTTTGTAGCTCGCGACAACGCTCACAGGGTCCCCGCCAAGGGGTGGATCCGCCTCCGGTCGGCGTATTTCGCACACTGGAAGTTGTTGACATGGAAAAAGGATCGCGTTCTTCTTTACTTCATCTGCGCAACGTGGTTGGCCTTGTTCGGCATGATCGTGATGATTATCATCCCCGAGTACGATAATTTCGCGCAGCCGACATGTCGTTCGCGATTTCCCTTGGTGTTGGCACTTGTCGAGATGGCTGTTTACTTTGTCTTAGCGTCAACAGTATTCATGGGGCTGTACTAGTCCGTGCTTGCATCATCCTTTCCGACAGTCCGCTGACCATATTATAGCTCTGGACCCTGGAAAAGCGTCGCTTCTACTATACGCCCCACTGCATTCAGTATCTTCCTGTTCGGGATACTGCATGCGCTATGGATCGCAGGTGTGGAATGGTCCGTTTGGACGTCCACAAACGACGGCCCTTTTGTGCCATCGATCGGTCAGGTAAGCACCGTCTATTCTGGGGTTGACCATGCGGCATGACGACTCACGAGGATGGCATGCTTCTCTCTAGTTCCTATCACTATTTACAGCGCTACCGGCCGTGTACTGCCTGTACTGTACGATCAAGAAGACGTGGCGTTCCAGTGAACAGCCAGAATTCAACATGGCGGAGATCATCGCCGCCTCTAAGAAGAGCCGGCTGCAGCACTACCATATGTTGGATGCGTATCATGCGGACCCACACGCACCGAACGCTGGGGGCCCGCTCGTGCAGTATCTGCTGAAGAACGTAGAGGGGTTTGCGGAGATGAAGAAGTGGGAGCAGATCGACAGGATGGATATGCTCGCGTATCGAAAGCCGCTCGAAGCGGACACGCCCACGCCCTCGAACCCGCATGAACCGCGGTCGAAGCCGGCGGAGGCGGTGGGAGAAACCGGTCAGCGTCAAGAAACCGGTCAGCATCAAGAAACCGGTCAGCGTCGAGTCGCAACATTCATCTTCTGCGCGCTGACGATGGTACCCTAGCGCTTCGCCCACAGAATTCGGAAGACATAGTGATGGCGGCAATAGGACGCTGTAAGCATCAACTCGCAACATTCAACTTCTGCTCGTTGACGATTGGGTTTTAGCGCGCCCGCTTTCAGAAGTATCGAGCGACGTCGTAGTGATAAAGCCACCGGAAGGATATAGTGAGCAACATCCCGCAACATTCATCTTCTGCTTGCTGACGACGGTGTTATAGAGCGCATTTCACACATGTCGGGAGACAAGATAGTGATGAAGCCACCGGAAGGAGATAGTAAGCAACACTCCGCAACATTCATCTTCTGCTCGCTGACGACGGTGTTCTAGCGCGCATTTCACACGTGTCGGAAGACGTGTCGGAAAATGTGTCGGAAGACATAGTGATGAAGCCAATGGAAGGAGATAGTAAGCAACGCTCCGCAACATTCATCTTACGCTCGCTGACGACGGTGTTCAAGCGCCCGTGTGGCACTCAGGATCCAGTCCGCGACCATGGTTCAGCGGCTGGATCGATGGGGCGGTGTTCAGGAATAATCGGTCTTATCCGCACGTGTAGAATGTCGGAGCACGAGACTAAGGTTTGCAAGACGGAGTGGCGTGATAGGGATGCGCATCCAGTAGGAGAAGAGCGCAGATACTGGAAAGTCAACGGAACAGGAAGGTTGCATGCAAGGGTCTGTGACAATGGCCTTCGAAAGCTATACTAAGAGTAATGCTTAAAATACTGCTTACCAATCTGTCGACCATTCTTGGGTCAGCTGCATGTCCGAAACACTCCGGGTTCCGATGGCCGCGGCGACGTTGTCCGCTGCGGTAGATGCACCATAGCTTGAGGCACCTGCATGGTCACGTTGACGACATATGCACCCGTGTGCTATTGGATGGCTTGCGAAAGTCATCCATGTAGGATATCGGAAGGACCTTCGATGATCAACGGTCACAGAACGTCAGAGTCGGTCTGCGGTCGTGAATGGCGAGCGTAGAATGGCATGCTTTCAACACTTGAAATTGGGATTCGAATGTTTAGCTGAATGTGCAATTGGACAAACGATATTGCTTGTAAGGGCTCAAAGTACGAGTAGAAATATATAGAGAATGTTCTGACGAGTTGAGAAACGTCCAGCTCGAGCCGAGTGGTACCGCGCGCTGCCCGACCGAATCGCAACACTGTGAATACACGTGACGTCATTTCTTGCATCCCGCTTTGCTCGCGACGACGGTTCCCCCTTCCTCCTTCACCAAACGCCCAAGCTGGAGAGACTCAGTCCGAATTATCCGTGATGACCCTCAAAGCTGTGTCCAACAAATAACCTGCGGCCAGGCACATCCGACGCTGTCTACTCCGACACCCGACCGCCCATGACCGAGTTTGGCAACCGACGGCCGTGCCCTCTCGTGCTGCTCGTCGTCCATCAAAACGATGACGACCGTCTCGAAAGGCAGCGCTCGCTGTTTAAGAAGCGTCGGGAGAAGCTCTGGTCCTCGTGCCTTCGCCTTCTCGTTCTCGGAGACGTACGAACATGCGCTGCGTCGCCTTCTTCCTCCCCGCGCTCTTGGCCGCTGCGTCAGTGGGCGCGTCCTCTGCGCAGAGCGACGCGCTTGCCGTCTGCAAGGAAGTCGCGAACAAGTTTTCCAAGGCGTCCGCCGTATTTTACCCCAGTGCGTAACGCGTATACCGCGTTGTTCTAGCGCGTTTCCTGACGCTTTTCAACGTGTAGACACGACGGAGTACACCTACGATGTCACTCTCCCCGCCAGCTGGTTTAACCGTGCCAACGCGACTTGCGTTGTTGAGCCTGGCACCGACCAGGATGCGGCTTTGGTCGTGAGCGTTCTTTTACCTGGCATCTAGTACCCGTCTCACTAGCGCTTCCAGTTGACTTCGCTGCGCAAGCACCACGGGGCCGAGTTCGGTATAATGGGTGGTGGACACAACCTGTACGCTAGCCTCTGGTTCGTTAGATATGATCTTACTCACTATGACGCGCTTTTGCAGTAACAAAGGCTTCTCCTCCACCACCGGCGTGCTCATTGCGCTCACCCGCTTCGACGCGATTACCATTGCCCCCAAGGCTGGGGACAACAATCAGGTCGCACTCGTTGGCATTGGCGCCGGCCTCACCTGGGACAAGGTCTACGCGACGACCGTGCCTCAAGGCGTGAACGTCGTTGGTGGCCGCTTCGCTACCGTCGGCGTGGCGGGCCTTTCGCTCGGAGGTGGCTACTCCTGGATCTCAAACGAGCATGCGCTCGCGTCGGACAATATCGTGCAATACACCTGGATCTCGCCAAAGGATTCCTCGATTCACAACGTGACCGCCACTAATCTCCCCGACGTCTTCTTCGCGCTCAAGGGCGGACTGAACAACTTCGGTCTCGTAACGAAATTTGTGACCCGCGGCTACAAGCAGACGAACAAGGTCTGGGCGGGCACGATCTACACCCAGCCTGGGCATTCAGACGAGGTCGCGGAGGCGCTAGCGGACTTCTCGGAAAACAACACGGACATAAAGGCGCAGGTAGTGGGCACCTTCGCGCGCGGATCGAACCAGTCGTTTGAGGTCCTCGTGCTGCACTACAACGCCGAAACCCCCGAGCCGCCCAAGGTCTTCGAGAAGTTCCTCAGGTACGCGCCTACCTACATCACGGGGAATGAAAGGCTGACCTTGTCTTTCATTAGCTTCCCCCGTCAGAGCCAGTCCGAGTTCTACCTCCGCACCTTTGACAACTTCACTTCCGCCTCGCTCGCGACGATCACCTTCCTTAACGGTTTCCGCACGCGCTACTCGACCCTCGCCGTCGAGGGCCACCCTCTCTCGGTCGTGAAGGCATTCCAAGCCCAGCGCGACGCGCTTGGCCCCTACCTCGAATCGCTCGACTCGTCCTTCTTCGGCTCGTGGACAGTCGAGCCCTTCGCGCGCTCCTACTGGGACACCGCCGTACCCTCCGCTGCGCCGCACAGCAAAGACCACGTGCTCTTCCCGCCGAACCTCGAGCTGACCTGGTCCAACTCGTCCCTGGACGAGCTCATGTTCAACTCGCTCGCCAATTCGACCACGACGCTCATCAACGCCGCGCTCGCGGCCGGACAGAACGTCTCGCGCCAGATCATCTATCCGAACTACGCCCAGCCCCAGACGCCCGTGGAGGAGTTCTACGGAGATAACCTCCCCCGTCTGAGGAAAATCCGCCACACTGTGGACCCGGAGAACCTCATGTACCGCGCTGGCGGATACAAGATCTAAACCGGACGTGCTGTCTCCCACAACACGACAAAACGGATTGCTTTCGTTTTTATTCGCCTAATTATTGTAACACTCAACACTACTTGGCATTAGTTAACAAGCAAGGTTCATAGTTAATCTTCCTCAATGACGCATTATATCCAATCTATTGCTAGACACTGAGAGGCGTGACGTTTAAGAATGAATTATGCCCAAGGTATATAAGAAAGCGACTACCAACCAAGAACCAGGAAGAACAAGAAGATAGAACCGGCACAAACACCGCACACAACTAGAAGATAAAAACCATACAGACGCTGCACACAGCAGCAACCAACATCGTGAACGTCGCCGTACGCAATCCATACCGAGATTCAGCACCGCTTGCGTGCGCCTTCTTGGTCGCAGATGGCGCGCCCGACGAAGACGAGGTGAACGTCGGCGTCGAGGAGGAATAGTCCGCCGCGTCCTGAGCCTCGGGCGTGAGGAACACGAGCGCAAAACCAGGCGCGGGGACCTTGATCTGGCAGTTACCGCCGGAGCAGGAAACAGACTGGTAGTCTTGGTCGCCTTGAGGGACGCCGTTAGAGACATACCCGGAGCCGAAAGTCTGTTCAATGATATGATCAGTAATGGACGTCTGACTTGAACTATATGGGAGCAGCGAACCTGGCCTGCCCAGGTGAAGTTTCCAATCTGCGAGACGCTGGACGCGGCAAGGTACCTGGCGTCTCCATGTCAGCTTCTCAAGCAAACGGAATGAGTCTGTCGAACCCACTTGACTTTGACCTGGTCCTCTGATATCCCGGTGACCATCGCGGTGTAGTCGCTCACACCGCTCGGATCCGTGATGAAGTTGAACAAGGCGAGGCGCTGCGGAGTGCCGTCTTCGTAGATGCCATACGCCGGAGTGTATATGCTCCCGTTGTTGGCGTGCAAATCGAGTACTTGGGATTTGTTGGACGATCCGAGCGCTTCGGCCGTAGCCAATGCCGAGTAGTAAATTGGACCGACGAGCCAGCCGGCGTCTGAAGATTGAGGGGTGGATGGAGCTACCAATAGAACATGTCATCATTGTGCCCGATCCTTGAATGACGATACGGACGCGTGAATGGCTGATACACTCGCTCGTCAGCAATACGAAGATAAAGATATGCAGGGGGGCGCACATTGTAGAACGCGTCCTGCCCACCGATGTGAAACAGAGCGTGTGAGAAGTTGCCGTAGGCCATCTGCAAGGCGTAGTCCAAACCCCAAAGCGCAGCACCGAAACTGTCGGAGACGCCCTCGAACCCGCTGCAGGTCGCAGTGTTCGTCTCGAACATGATGAAGGGCTTTGCCGCAGCCTGCGCGACAGCCGTGGAAGGCGTGTAGCGCGCAACGAAGGACGTCGCGGCGGTGTGGTTGAGATAGTTCGGGAAGACCGTCTGGGCGTCGCGGGGATGCGGGACGTTGGTGCACGCAGTATCATAGTATCTGTAAAGGAGGCGCCAACGTGAGTTCGTATCAGGGCCGGTATCAAAAGCGCTTTCACCTTTCCACTGAAAGAGCGCCTAGATTCGCCGAAAACCTAGAAATGAACCCGGTGTCCCAGACCTCCTCGGGCGTCCACCGAGATGACACGCTGGGACCGATGAGGGTCTGTTGATTGCGGCCCGACAGCTGGCTGACGACGGATCCAAAGTCGTTCGCGTAGTCGCTTGGGCCGTAAGTCTGATGCATCGGAATGAGTCTCTTGCATCAAGGACAGGAAGACACGAACTGATCCACGCAGATGATGGTCCGCGTACAAGTCCGGTTCGTTCCCAGCTTGCAGTCCGACGAGATGATTGCCCAAGATTTCTTGGCCCTTCTCCGCGATTTGTAAACGAAAATCGGAGGTATCGTTGAAAGGGATGCCTAGAAGGCTGCGATAAGAATGGCACAAGACAGCTCAGCCTGACCGCGGTTACCAAGATACCAGTTAACGTTGACCAAGGTGGACACTTTCGCCATCATGTTGAGTATCTCGGTGGTAAAGAACAGCGGGGGAGTGCTAGTCTATGTGGATTATGAACATCTGCGGTGCCTTCGAGTGATGAACTCCCACTCACGGCTCCGGATGAGTCATCGACATCGTTGTCCTTGGAGATGATTTGACCACCAGGAAGTCTATCGACCAAGGTTGCCGTCTCCTGCGTATTGCCTCCTACCCTGACGTGTACGGAGCCTGCACGACGCACAACATTGTCGAGCAAGCTCAGAAACTGCGGCTTCATCTTGATACTGTGCGCAACGCTTCGATGTTAGTAACGGAAGGTGAGGACAAGACATGTATCGCGTACGTTGATCTCCCGACTGTGGTAAACGGAAATCAGCCATACACTGCAAGGAACAAATGGATCTGCGAGGGCCACTTACGATGTTGGTTGATCACAGACAATTCGATGGAAAAGCCGAAGAATGAGCCGCTCTGCGGTATTGAAAGACCGTTTGGGGAGTTGGACAATGCTACGGTGAAGGCATTTGAGAGAGGCGGATCGGGTAGGGGAGGAGGAACGAGCTCAGAGCCGGAGGTGGCGGCATAAACGGGACCGACGGAGAAAAAGAAAGCAGAAACCAACAACGACAGGACGCCCAAAGAGGGCCAGGAGCTTGAAGCCTCGTCCGTATGTTTCATGGCGCGTCGCCGGTGAAAACAGACTCAGGAGCGTATCAGATGGATGAGGGAACTTCAGGACATCGTCGACCTTTATACGAGAGCAAGATGCACTGAGACGACTTTGACTCGCGGAGGGACACCCTCGGTGAGCGCTCGAGACGATCGAAGACTTGCACGCTCTTGCATCGTCTGGCCGCGATGCCAAGAGGGTCTTCGCTCCTCTAACTGGCTGGCGATGTTGCGGGCGCTCCTTCAACTACAAGGCGTGCCTGGAGGATGATCGATTTTTACTGCAGTCCGGGAGGATATAAGGTCCATAAGTGAGACTTGAGAACAACCGGATGTTTCCGTTGATTATGATTATGGATGTAAGGAGACATGGGCGTAGCGCTCAGAGTCATTCTCCGTGCCTGTCGGAGGTTGCCCCCGAACTTCACCCACGTGCTGCACCCTGAGGCGGTCAGTTGATCGTTTATGTACCTTGATTAACAACGAAATGGCATGTACTTACATAGTTGAATATAGATCACGCCCGTGCTTCACAGGGACGAAGGAGAGGGTACTACACAAACACTCATCCAATTATTCAAGAGTAACCCTCCCTCATCGCCGGAATCTGGCTCCATCAAGCGTACACACCCGTGAATCTTTATTGTACTTATAAGTAATGGTACATAAATGCGAGGTACATAGAAGCCAATATACAAGAATATACGGCGGATAGGGCGTCGTAGCGTTAATCATGTCATCGGAAGCCGTTCACGAAATCGTGCGAAAGGCCTGGTATACTCACACTACTTGTGCGACTCCGTCAGAACTACTGCCGACGTCCAGACCTAGCGTCTTCGGGCTTGGATCAGGGGTTTCAAGTTGGTGATTCTCCGATAACGATGCGACCCCCGCTGATGAAGCACGATTCTCCGCCATCGCCGCCGCGTGTTCCGCAGACCGACTGTGCTGAGTAGACTGGCGTCTCGTCTCCTCGCGTAATCGGTCAGACCGCTCTGCCGTGACCCAGGATGCGACATCATTCGCTGCAGTCTGCGGAGAGGATCTATGACCAAGCAGGTAGCCTTGAAGCTGCGCCGTGGAGAATTCGAACTCCGGCAAGCTCGAGGCGAAGCTGTCCGCCAGAAGGGAGATTGGAAGGTCGCTCAGCGAGTAATCGCTGCCTGAGACCTTGGGTTTTCCGTGGGAGAAGAATTTCGTGAACAGCGCTCGAGCCTGTGCACGGGATGCAAGCCTGTATTCGATTTTTCGGTCAATCCGCCCTGGGCGGGACAGGGCCGCATCGAGGCGCTCTGGATAGTTCGTCTGTAGCCTGAAATCAGATCACCAGAATTGCGGCATGATTTCTTTGAGACACGTACCGTGGCAAATACCACCAATCCACCTTCGTTCCCAACGCCGTCGAGAACGTTCAGAAGACCGGACAGAGTGACTTCACTCTTCTTCGGCGCCGCGATTGATCCCGTTGCGGGCTCGTGGATTTGCGTGCTCCGAACCTCTTCACGCGAAGGGAAGGCACAATCGATGTCCTCGAGCAGCAAGATGGATCTCGGCGGGATAATAGATACCAAGTTCTGCAGCTGCCCGTCGTCCATGCTAAACGCTCAATAGTATCAGCAGCTACAGGGATAAACACAGCGATTGATACTAACTTGCTTGAAGAAAGCGTCAGAGAGTAAACTTCGAGGCTCAATTCGCCCGCCTGTTACAGAAATGGTTAGACCTTGTCCGTGAGACATCAGAACAATACGAACAATAGCTTGGACAGTAGATGCTATGTGAAGAATGATGTCAACATGAGTCAACGGAATGAAGGCGCGATGCTTACTCTTGCCCGTACCAGGACTACCCCACAGAAGGAATCCACGGTGATACGATATACCCACAATACGATACCACTCTTCGGTCTCGGGACGTAGAAACTCGCGAACGTCAGCGAGCAGTGAGTCGACAACGTCGTTATCGAAAGCCAAACAGTTCAGAGGTCGCTTTGGGAGTGTCGCTACGGCGTTCCACGTTGACCTCGGGATTCCAAAGTTATCCTGTGGAAGAGTTCAAGTCGTGACCCACTCCCGCACATGATGACTCACGGCCGCACGGTGGGTGTGAACAGTGATTTTCGCACTGCGGCTCGCTAAGTATCGATTTCTCGCTTCCTCGACCAGCGCGCATAAAACGGCCATGTCCCGTGTAAACAGGACTCTGCGCGAAAATCACGGTCAGTCCGTGCGCATTACCGGGGAGCCACGGATAAAAACTGACGTCACGCAGAGCGTAGGGGATTGTTGTTGCTCCCCCCACCACTGGTTGCGGGTTTCTGAAGTGATATGTTGTACCTGAATCAGGCGACCACGCCATTTGAGCAGGTGTGGCGCAGTCCATCGAGGGATATAGGCAGCGTTAAGGCCTTCGAGATTCGCAGGTGTTTTACCGATCTTCTTGGAAAACTTGGAAAAGACGTCGAAGTCCCGTGTGGCGCGCCACAGACTTTGCTCGGCCTTGCGCATATAACGTCAGACAGAGACTCACCGGGAATTCGAAAGAATCGATGGTTTACTGACCAGAAAACTGGTGACCCATTCATGGGCTGGATCCTGAGGCTCGAAACGTGCCGTGACGGACGAATCTAGACGAATGAACACATGAGTGCCAGTTGATAAAAAAAAAGGGAAGAAAAATCCAGGATTCACCAAACGACAGACGGTCCATGACCCATTGCGAAAGGCGACGAAAACTCTCAACGATTGCGCCGAGTAAGAAGAGCTGGATGCTGTCCCGAACAGCAGAAGATGCTAGCAGCTTGGGAATGTTGATGAGGGAAGCCATGGTAGCGAAGGTAGGTTGGGTTCTGAGTGAATGGTTGTGTCCCAGAGACCTTATTTATCCCAGGTAAGAGCAGAGCTTTCCAGCCGCTCCGAAATGGATAATACAACTCGATCTTTCGGACGTGGCGTAGTGTTGGACGACCGGACGCCATTGAGCACCGTGAACGCTTTATTTGGGACCGTCCGGTAGCCGATCCGTGTCGGAGATGAACCTATGCTGTCCCGCCTTGCCCAGATGGCGCTGCTGCTGTGATGTGTGCGCCTACGAGCCAAGGCGTGCGCGTCGTGGTGCCGTCTTCAGCTCGCCAATTTAGACCAAGTGGGCCAGAAGAGGGCATTGTAATCAGTCCACACAAGAGGATATGGCGGTACGCTGTGCAGCCTGTTGTGCATACCGCAAAACGCAGTCGCGCGGTGTAGCAAGAACAAACGCAGCTCGGTGAGCTCAAGTTCATGTAGAAATCGAAGATAATTGCACGTCACATGATCGCATCTTCCTACCCTGACGACGAGACGACAGGAACTGCACGAGGTTGCACGCTGCTATCGAGCACCTCCGAGGCGCTGATAGTGTTGTTGGAGGGCGAGCGTTCAAACATTCATGTCGGACGCATCTCATTCATCCCTGTTCATGGGTGAGTGTCTGATTATCGGCTCTCACCGGAGCACTGCATACCATCATGCGATCGGGCGTGTTTTCAGGATTGACATCGAGGATAATATCCACAGGCACAAGCAGCATAGGGCCACTCTAGGCTGAGGGCTGGTTTTGCGCGACCTGGACATTCGACTCAGAGACGGAGACGGAGGTTGAAGATTTTTCAGCCTCATGGCGAAATCTCGCATACTTACTTACGCGCGCCTCACACGAGATGGCATGTGCACCAGCAGCACGCGGCAATATTGCGGTGCGTCTTTCACCTGGTTCCCGACCATATACCGCATTCGGTGTTTCGACTGCAGATTCCTCCTCCGATGGACACGCTCATCTATGCTTGAAGATGGTATGCCTCCATCGTGCACGGAGATTTCCAATGCATAGTTGGCTGTGATTGGCTGTCCCGACATCGTTCAGTGCCTACCGTGTTGTACACGACCTACTCCAACTCCAAAGAGCGACATGACCGCCGGATAATTGTAACCGATGATCTATACGTTCTCGGTGATGTGCATCCGCGTTCGCCCTTGCGTCAACCAATACCCTAACAGCAAGGCCCACAATGACGCAAACCTCAGGCATTAGGATGTGCTTCCTCTCGGCTAAACTCTGTCATTATGGTACTGTACGGATCCGAGCATATTCCTAATCCGTCGCCTGACTATGTCCTTTACCTTCGTAGTGTTGCTATGTTCCGAGACGGCCCGCCTCTCCAAGTACTATAAATGCCTCCGCCAGCCTGCTGTACGCATGCAACTGCGAGCGTACGTCCATTTCGCGATGCTTTCTCTTCTACTTCCTCTGCTTTCCGCTATCACACTCGTCAAAGCGCACGGTTATGTGCAAGACATAGTGATCGGATCCACTCATTACTCCGGGTATCTGCCGTACACCGGTACGTATCGCGAACTGGCCTTTGCTGTATTGAGAAGACTGAAATGAATTGAAAGATCCATACTACAACCCTGTTCCCGAGAGGATCGTTCGCCAGATCCCCGGCAATGGTGATCCGCGCTCGCCTATGTCGTCAATCTCGCTGATCAGCTCTTCCTTTTAGGTCCGGTTACCGATCTCTCGCTCATCGAGTAAGATCCGGAACAACAATGATTATTCGTAGTCGGATCTCGCTCAGTCGATTTGACGTAGCGTCCAGTGCAATGGATACACTGATGGCAATTATTATACCGCCCCTGCGCCCATCTATGCGACAGTCGCCGCAGGCTCTCAACTGCACTTGAACTGGACGACTTGGCCAGACTCGCATATCGTAAGTCGCTGTGGAGGACCTGTAGGCTTCACTGATGTATTCGTGGTAGGGTCCTATGATCACGTATGCGATGAAGTCTGCCCTGCCGCCGGCCCTAATTCTAATATGCGTCATAGTTACATGGCCAAAGCTCCTTCGGATATCACCCAATGGATGCCGGGCACTAGGTGACGCTTGTAACGTGTAATTTGGTACAGGTCACTCACCGTGCACAGCGAAGTGTGGTTCAAGGTCGCCGAATCTGGGAAGACCTCGGATGGGAAGTGGGCTGCGACCGACATCCTGACGGAGAATGACAGCATCTATACATTCACAATTCCCGCTTCTTTGGAACCCGGACAGTACATCGTCCGCCATGAAATGTGCACATCTCGTTGCTTTATCCGGCGTTGTCACTGACAATATTCTTCCCAGAATCGCTCTTCATGCTGCGTACGTGTATCCAGGCGCACAGGTTTATCCTTCGTGTATTCAGCTTCAAGTAACCGGTTCCGGGACGAGCTTCCCCACCTCGGACTACCTGGTTGCTTTCCCTGGTGCCTACACAGCGGCAACGTACGTTTTTGTTGGTCCGGACGGATCAGTCAGCTAATGCTGTCCTAACCCTAGCCCCGGTATTGTCTACGATGCGTACACCAGTGAGTTCGTTGAGTCCGCGCCAGATATAAGAACTAACCTCATGGGTGACAGACACTAGCGCCTATCCCATTCCGGGACCTGAGGTCTGGTCGGGTTGAATGCGAGATATGGTGTCCTGTACAGGTTTATCGCGACTAGTACTTCGTAGGGTAGGGTACAGATCTCAGCCTCGCACCTTGTCTGTTTTCGCGATATCGCAATTAGCTGCAATATGATCCTTCATATCAGAGTCGGACATGTTAAGACGCCCTTTCATGTCTTGGTGTAAGTTGCCTCCCCGGGCCTCCGCGTGGAACGCGCCTCGGAAGTAGGTACCCATCTCGAGTCATGAGTCCTTCAAGTACGATGTTCTTGAAACCAGTACTCGCAGGGAGGTAACTTGTATCAACGATGCTGCGCGCTCACAGCAGCAACCATGAAGTATCACGGAAAGCGTGGCACATAGGTAACTTGTAGCCGCGGACGGTGGAACGAACACGGTCCGATGAAGATCACGTGTCTACGCCATGTTGTCTCTGCTGGCGACCGCCTGTCTTTGTATCTGCCGGATAATCTTGTTTCTCGACTTGTGTGCGCTACGGTCTCCAGGATTCTCACTCACTCATTGTAATGCTATGGCTTTGTGTTACGCGTCCTCGACTTGCTTGAAGATCCTGCTTCTGGCACAATAAGCCATGGTGACAATTGCGGCCAATTTGGAGGCGACTTGATGATCTGCGCCCACTGCATTCTTCGTTGCGCACACACCGTAGCCCGTAGCAACTCGATGGATCGGTCAACTACAACGGTTTGCGACATACGTTCAGATTCAACAAAATGTCGACTACTTCTTCTGCCCTCAGCGCCTTTGGTTCCGGACTGCGTTGTAGGCGCTCAATTGAAACCATCGACGTCGTTCTTCGCGAACAAAACACCTTCGCGACGTTAGCCATACAAGTATATATGTGTGTGTTCCTCCTCGCTGGTCAACAGTCCTCGCAGACGGTTACGAACGGCCTCCCTTCACGTCCGGCACGACATACGCCCATAATTCTCCACGCATACGAACTCTAGACTAGCCCATCTCCCATAGAACACACATGATGTGCACCACCAACTATAAACACTGCCTTGGTTGCCAAACAGTCACTCCGGAAATCATCGCTTGCTCCCATTGGCTACGATGCCGCTGCTTGGCCCTTGCTGGTCGAGGGCCGATGGGCCGATCTTCGAAACGCCAACAAAACACTCCTGCATATAGCAAACGTGACTACGACTACTCTTCGTCTCGTCGGCAACCTAGTCCGACCTCGACGAACTCCTCGATTTCCGCGACCTTGCCCCAACGACAGAGGTCAATGGGATACTGCAAGAACTGCACTCGGCAACGCAAGGCTGTTGCGGCTCCTATCAGCCGGCCTCGCAAGCTTGCTGGGTCGCGAGGGCGGAGGTAAACGTTTCTTGCATCTGAGCCCACAGTACGTTCCCGTGATGCCTATACATACCAAACGCCGCTGATAAGATCTTCTAGTGATATTGTGGCGCCCGCCCTCCCTGCCTGCAGTTCACGAAAATGCGCCCGGGCTCTCAAATATCCACAAACCCCGTCGGCTGCAAAACATCATATCGGACTTGACCCTGTCGCCACGCATGTTGGCTGTAAATTACTTAACACAGCATCTGTACTACTACCCGCACGACCATGATCATGCACGCAATGACTTGTAATGTTTACCAGATGATGTACTTTATTGTTATATTATCGCTTGCACTACCTTCATGACTTCGTCGTCTTTACTGCATCTGAGATTTGCTACATGTGTCTTCCATATACTTACACACCGGTGCGAACAATTTCATCTCCGACACGCCGGCTCCATCTCCTGTCCAGCCTGCGACGTGAAGGTGCAAACGCGTCTCGCCCAGGGTCCCCCGCTGCCTATCAAAACGTGTATCTGTATATTAGGTCACCGACCGGTACCGGATGTGCTCATCTCCGGTGAGGGCTGCTGTACTACAACAAGTACCGGTTCCAACCCTGTCTTTGCCCGACCTAGACGTCCCAAGATTTTGCATGATGGCCTTCATTCAGTTAGATAAGCAATGGGCGTGATGCACAAATGCATTCAAACAGGGTTCTTCCACTTCTCAAGTCTACAGGAGTTACTCGCTCGGTACAACACTAGTACAAGCAGAGTCAAACCACCAGATTCCTAGTAATCCCATGCCGTCTGCACAACCAAAACCCAAGCCCATATAAATATCAAATATCGACAACGAGGATAGACGCTTCACTCCGGCGTGAAATGTACCGTTGACGTCGTCTGCACGTCTCTACTTGATTCTTGTTCTCTTTTGCTCTTGTACTCGCTGGAGACGCCGTAAAGCAATTCATCGTCCTGAGCAATGTGCGTTTCCTGGTGAACGTCGATAGCGATGCCGTTGCCATTGCCGCGATGTAAGGAGCGTGCACGTCCGAGCTCCACGTCGGGTTGCTGGACGTTATCACGCATACCGGCCACGAACCGGAACGGGTTCCGGACTTTGCTGGTGGCGCGCGACCGAGAGCGCGAAGCGGAGCGGTTCCGAGATCCGTGCGTCGATGGGTTGAGGGTGACGCGTTCGGATAAAGAAGTAACTGGGGAGAGAGAGTTCTCGCTAAGTGAGATGAACGTGTGCGTGAGATCAGTAGCCCTTACTGATGCGCTGAGAAGCGATGGAGGTTAATGCTACATTGAAGGTAAGGAACGAATTTGACCGAGCTGGGTCCTGCATCAATAGTCAGATGCGGGCTTTGCCGCGCGAAAATAAGAAGTACCTTGGACAATAGGAACGAAACGTTCAAGGCATGGCCGATCATGACGATCACAAAGTAAAAGATGCCGCTGCGAGACGCAACATGAGCATGCGGTGAGTGACAAAACATTGAACACGACTTGCTCGGAGAGGAGGTACGCCGAAAGCCCAGAGATGCTAGAAGAACAGCAGAGTGACGCGTAAGCCTCAACGTGGCATGGTCCGAAAACGAAGCACAAACCCTTTCTCCGCCTTGATATTCCGTATCAACCGGATGGAGCAAACGACGAACGCAACAATATCAAAGCACTGGAGACGCGTCAGTTGCCACGCTAAGGGGCTTACGGACGAAACTGGTCGCACCATGTTGGCGAGAGCGAATGTCCATTTTTGCCCAAAAACGGTATGACCAGAGACGGCGGTGCATGATCCATTCTTGGTCGTGGGACTTTGGTCGAAGAGGAAGCCGTACGAGAATATCGTGGTGGGTATCATAATAATGAGAAGCATGATAAGGATTTTCTGTCAAGGATGTCAAACACCGTTAAGCTGCTGTAGCCGGCAAAACGTACACGATTGCGAGCCCAGATAGCCCACGTCCTCCACAATAGTACAAAATTGGTGACGGTGCTCAGCACTGCTCTGAACGCTCCAACTCTGGGTATTGACGATGGTGAGGTTACGTCGGAGAGGCGTGGACAGGCGTCACTTACATTGGAATGAGTTGTGCACATTTTGAGAACGTCCAGCCGTGAAAGTATATGACAGTGGCTGATATCACGGCTGCCATTCCGACATATCTGTGGTTCATAGTGAGTATAGGAAGAGGTATGCTGTTCCTGACATACCTGGCAAGCATGAACAGGATGCATGCATGAGACGGCCGGAGGGCATTGTGCTGGCGCCGGAGGAGACGAATCTCGCTGGAGTCCGGTGAGTACAACTCGACTAAGCCCGGGTAAGCGCAAGCCCAAACCTGGGAACGGTCACCAGAAAGTCATAGAAGAATACCGAGGCCGCGACGATGCGCAAATAAGTCTAGAAAAAAGGTCAAGGAATGCGCTGCACCAAAGAGCTCCTGAGGGTCGTACCTGCAGCGGGACGACGGCCTCAGACATCCTTAGTTACGGGGTGAACAAATCCGACCTCGCGCTCCAAGCGGTTTTGTGCGTTTGCACATTTCTCGGCAAGCGAGAAGCTGTGAGAAGCCGATATCCATGGGAGATGGATGTGGGACCACGACCCGAAGGCACACAAAATTCGCGCGGTAACCAGCTGTTCGCCGTTTTCCGATTGGAAGCCCTGGCCAGGAGCATGAAATCATCACGGCCGACAATCTTTCGAATTGGCGACCGGGCTTTGATGGGGTGCGGCGTTGAAGCGCGACGCCGCGCACGACGAGGGTCGCTTCCGAGGTGCGCACGACGAGGGTCCCTTCCGAGGTGCACACGACTTGATCATTCTACATTATGCACTGACAGTTCAGCGCCGTCAGCAGTCAGCTGCTCTCGATCAACGGTTGCGCGAGTCGCAGGAAGATGAGAATATTCTTGGAACTGTTGGGCGATTTGCGATGAATTCGCAAGAATTCAGTCAAGGAGCGAACAGAAGTGACCCTTGTGAGAACGCGTTCTGTGCGCGATCACGTGTGACTTTGCGGATCGCGGAGGAGAGCAGTGGAGGAGCCGCGAATTCCGTCCGAGGCTGGACTGTCCGGACACCAACTGCTACGGACCTGGACATCGGTGCTTTTCGCGGCAAGCAACTACACTGTTGCACCTGGTTTATGTAGACGATTTCCATGGTCTTGAAGCTTTGAAGCTTGAAGGCAAAGGCATCGAGAGCGACGTGAGAGATCGACACAGCCGCTTCTTACTGGCCTCGATCAAACGTCCAGTGTCGTCCTGCTTCTCAGCTCCAGTCCATCTCTCACCCTCTTTACGACCGATGTCGTGGCCGACCGAATTTCGCGCATATCTGGCGGGAACTGTCCGAAGTCGGGCGTGTGCATCCCCGGTGACCCACTTCGGAGGAGCGTTACTCCCAAAGCAGGACACTCCCGCCCATCGGATTCGTGGGCACAGACTTGAATGGGGATTCACGCTCGGGCCGCTGGCTGGATCTCGCGACAGGGGACTCGATTGCGATATGCGCATCAGAAGATTTGCGGAAGCAGGTTGTGCATCCAGTCCATGTGCTGCGTCGTAGCTCAAGGTTCTTCTCTGCGCATCGCGACACCAAAAATGGCTCACACAAATTTGCAAGCCATAGGTCAGCGGACCGTACGTAAGACCATCCCCGCGTACCTCGGTGCTATGTAGTCCAGGTACACCACCCAAGGTACCCCCTCAAGGTTGGATCGCTCACGTCGCGCAAAGTCGCGTAAATGTCATCGTCGCCACTGGGAGCGTTGCTTTGGTTCCGCAAAAAAGCCAAGAGGGACCGGTTACTACGCCTATCGCGGTCCAGCCATCAGACTCGGCATGCAAGAAGCCTCAGGAACGGCGAGATGGAGCTAGAACTCCCCGCACGCGACGGGAGGCACAAGGAGGCACGAACCAGTCCCGTAAACGGTATTTCTACAGGCGTTGCCCACGCTAAGTCCCCCACCTCTCCCCTGCGCTCAGATCCCGCGCCTCTTTTCGCATCTCGAGATGTCTCCGTCACTCAGCGCAGTTTCCCTCACGGCCCTTGTTGCGGCTGCCCAAGGAGTTAGGGGCGCGTACTACCCCTCCGCGAAGTACGCAGCGCTCGAGCATCTGCTGGTCGACTCCACCGGCCACAATGCGAATACATTCTACAAAGCCGTGACGCCCTGCGGCAATTACGTCTCGGAGAACAGCACCAAGACGGGCAGGGTCACCTCTGCGCAATGGATGCGAGTTGCCTTCCATGACTTCGCCACCGCCGATGTCGCCGCCGGTACGGGAGGCTTGGACGCAAGTATTGTCTTCGAGTACACTCGCCCAGAGAACTCGGGGCAGGCCTTCCCCGACAGCTTCAACTACTGGAAGTACTACGTCGGCGCTCAGACGAGCTGTAAGTCCCGCTCTCTTTGGCTGTTCCTTGCCATGACTGACATTGACGCGCCGGGCTAGTTTCCGACATAATCGCGTTGGGCACGGTCGCCGCTATCTCGTCTTGCGGTGGGCCGCAGCTGGTGTACAGCGCCGGTCGTATTGATGCGACTGCCGCCGGCCAATTCGGCGTCCCCGAACCTGACGAGGGCCTCACCGACACCCTTGCACGGTTCGCCGGAGCGGGTATATCGCAGACCGATGCGATCAAGCTCACTGCCTGTGGTCACACGGTTGGTAGCGTTCACCACGCTGGTTTCCCGCTCGTCGTCGGGACGGACGCTGTCAACGCCAACAACACCCAAGGCGGCATCAACATGGACACCACCGGTACCACCTATGATAACAGGATGTAAGTTTCAACTTCTTTGCGGCAATCGCTCTCGCTGACCTTCTCCGTTTCTTAGTGCGCAGGAGTACGTGGCTGGCACGACCAAGAACCCGCTGGTCACGTCTTTCAATGTCTCCCAGCGCTCAGACTTGCGCCTGTTCTCTTCCGACAATAACGCGACGATGTCCACGTGGGTCTATTGCTATCCCTGCTAGTGCAAATCCGTCCTGACCATTGGACGCACAGATTGGCCGAGTCGAGCAGCCTCTTCGCCTCTGAGTGCAAGCGCCTCACTACGCAGATGCTGAACACCGTTCCCAGCGGTGTATCCCTAACCGAGATCACGCCCATCGCCGTGAAGCCGGTCAATGTTACTCTCACCGTCAACTCTGCGGGAACCGTGACCTTCTCCGGTGCTATCCGCGTAAGTAGCGAGTGATGCGATCATCGTGCTATCCATTCACACGTTCGATTTATCCTAGCTTCTCGGAACCCAGTTCTCCGCCAACTCAGGACGGAAGGTCACTATCACCTATACCACCGCGGATGGCAAGTCGACGGTTACCGTGCCCGCTACGACGTCGTCTTCCCTCGTCGGCTCCTCGACCTACCTTGGCGGCGCGGCGACCTACTACTACGCTTTCTCTGCGTCGGTCAAAGGCTCAAGCGGCATAAAGTCCTTCGTCGTCAAAACTCAGGAGAGCTCGAAGGCTGCGGTGCGGACCTCCGGCCCATTCACCTTCCAGGACACTGTTGCCTTCCTCCCTGGCTCCACCAGTGGCAAGGCCAACACCTCCGCGCTCACCATCTCCGGTACGCTCAGCGCTGCCGTCCGCACAGACCGCAAGGTGAAGAGCGTGGAAGCCGTCATCACCGTCCCGCAGCCGCGCGACGACGGCGTGCCGAAACCGGCGCTGGCGACGTACACCGTCCCGCTGTCGTACGTCCGCACGCTCGGCAGGTCGAGTTTCGCACTCTACCAGGCCTCGGGTTCGACTTCGCTCCCGTCCTCGCTCAACTACACACTCGCTGCCCCGCTCGCGGCTGGTGCATCGTTCGACATCGTGGCGACGCTCAATGACGGCAGCACCGTTAAGGACGAGTACCGCACCATCCAGGAGGCGTCCTTTACCATCGTATAAAACTGCTTTCTCGTGTGGTTGTTGTGTTGTTCTTCTAGGTTCTAATCCGTACATACTCGCTCCTTTTCTACATCTACAATACCAGATTCATGTACATGCGTAGCACGCCTAACTCGTGCAGCTGTCGGAAACACAAGTAAATTTCTATCTATATATATGTAGGGTTACTCGTGTATTGCGCACGGAGATCGTTGTTGTTGTGCAGACATGAAGTTTAAGGCATGGGCATGCTCTCTGAATTTCCCAACGTATGATGAGGGGTTGATTGATGTCGACTACTGTACATTTGTGATCAAGTTGTTTATTGAGCGATGGTGATATGTTCGCTTTTAGGCAGCCTCAGGAGGGCATTCTGGTGTTCAGAACCTCGAAATGTCCCTAGGGGAGCCGCGTGCGTGAATTTCGACCGGGCGTTAGGACACGTCATGAAGTATGGACTGACCTGCCTAGGATCCAGTTAAGGAACCAATACGTAGGGATCAGGATTTTGTTCCGAACCGAAACGCTCATGGTGAAACTGTCGTCCGTCAGCTGGAATCTTCCTTACGCGCGACAAATCTAGGGGGACTCACTAAGCGGAGCGCCAAATCAGCCACGCCATGCGCCTGCGTCCGTTCACATCGTCAGTCGCAAGATAGTAACAAGTGTGGCAGCAGTCGCTCACCCGGCATTCCCTCCCTTCAACCCGCTCGCCGCCGACGTCCTGTCCACGAGCGCCTGTCACCCAAACTCCCGGTCAGCGCTCACCGCCCAAGGGGATATGCGATGACGACACGCACCTGCCATCCGCCGATATACGCCAGGCTTCCTCTGTTCTTGAACTCAAACGGCACCGGCTGGTACGCGTCCCCGGACTTCGCCGCGCGATTCAGCTCCTTTGCTAGGTGCAGCGCCTTCTGTTGGGCAACCTGAGCGGTGGCGGGGAGAACGGGACCACCGGCTACACCGGCGCAGTCGCCAATGGCGTAGACGTCGCGCATCGGTTTATTGTCGGTAGAAGCGTCCAGCGCGCGGAGGCGCTCGTCGGTGAGTAAGCTGTCGATAGTTGTGCCTGTCAGATCGAACACGCGCGTGCGCAAGCGAGGGCGGAAAGACCTACGTGGCGCCTTTTTGCCCCTTCGGGATCTCCTTGATGGCTGCCACGAGCGGGTTCACGGCTAGGCCGGTGCTCCATACGCACAATCCGAAGGGGATCCCTGAACGTCGATGGTCAGTATGTGACTACACTATCGATGGAGGTTCAGGGCTTACGCCCTTCCTCCTTGATCGTGATCCAGCCCGGTTCAACCTTCTCTACCGTACGCCGGCCACGGATGCGGATGTTATCGCGCGCAAACTTCTTTTCGGCGTAGGCTTGTAGGGAGCTGTCGAAATTGCCAAGGATATCTGACGTATGCGTATGAGCGATAAACGCGAAGATTCTGAGTGAGAACGAGCTCACGCGGCGCTACATCGTAGAGCGTAATGCTGATCATCGATCAGTTGCGGGAAGAGCATTATATGGAGAACACGCGCACGAGATGAGAGGGACGAGAGATGGGTAGTATCTGGGAATGTCGGCTGCGAACACGGATTGTCAACGGGGACCGGAGGAACGAACGTGGGCCGAGACTTGCAGCTCACGAGGTCGTGCAGCTCTGCAGCCCACTCCACGCCAGTCGGACCTCCTGTATGACGGTGAGTGCGTGCAAAAACGGGAGAAATGCCATGCACAACGTACCGCCGACGACGACAAAGCTCAACACGCGCTTCCGCTCCTCGTCCGAGAGCCCGGGCATGGCCGCGATCTCGAAGCACTCGAGGATCCGAGCGCGGATCGCGCGCGCGTCGTTGACGTTCTTGAGAAAGTGCGCGTTCTCTTTCACGCCCGGGATGCCGAACGTGGCCGAGTAGGCGCCGACGGCGACGACTAGGATGTCGTATTCCATCGTGAACACGGGCAAACGCTCGTCCTGCAGCTCCTCCCGCTTTACGGTGTTATAACTGAGGGCATCGTCCTGCTGATGAGGCTGGCGGGAAGCGTAGCGCAGCGTGGGCTGGCAGGCGAGGGTTTTGGAGGCGAAGTCGATGCGGTCGACCCAGGCTTGGTGGTAGTTCACGTGGGGAAGCGCTCGGACGGACTCGACGGCGTTGTTGAACTCGAGAGTGCCTGATGGGGAAGGGATGAGATCGGGCACCGCTGAGAGCTGCGGGTAAGATGAGAGGAACGTACCGACAGAGGTGCTCGCCAAGAGAGGCGTAAAGTTAAAGTTTGGAGAATCGGATATCACGGTCACTGCAGTTGAATGATGCGCTTAGTGACCGATCCGCCGGAGAACATCACAGGTACGTACCATCGTAGTGCTTCTTATCGACCTTCCTCGCGAGCGGGTAGCCCGCCCACCCACTTCCGAGGATCACAAGTCTCTTCTTGTCAACTCGACGGCCGAGTACATCGCCGCTACCACTGGTAATGGCCGGCGCAGAGCTCAAGTATCGGTAGGCGACATGGTCCCGAAGTGACCGCGTTAGTTGCAACCGCGGACGCGGACGTGCAAGCATTGAGATGATAGCGAATGTTCGTCGGATTCTGAACGGATGGCGGCCAACCAGTCGGGTGTGGACGGTTCCCAACGCTGAGTCGGGCAGTTTATATGGACTTCATCCAATCATCGTCCAGAGCTGAGTGAGCGTCGGAATCGGGTTGAACAGGATGTTTCGGGTTGTCGTCATTGCACAGCCACGGCCGCCCTTCGATCTCGACGGCCGCGACTGGCAGGGGCGGTGTCGGCCTCTTTTGTCTCTTCCTGGCGTCGGGCGAGTCGGGGCCGCGTGTCAGCTCGCCCTTTTCAAGACTCGGACTTCGAGCAATACTCGGTGCAACTCTATCTCCGCATTGCTACTCACTTACTCATGTACACCACGACCCTGGTCGGACGGCCCATCCAATTTTTCGAAGATGTTTCGCAGCTCTTATATGCTATGCGGGATGCAATCAAAGGTGAGATACATTTCGAAGCTTACGCTCTCCCGGAGGCTACTGAACACATGAACTGTGTACTCAGGGCATCGAGAGCTTTGGTTTAGCGGCATGCTACACGGGAACATCAGCCCTCGCAACATTTTCATCGTCGAAGACGGCAAGTATACGGGCCGTCTCATCGACCTCCAAAACGGCACAATATATAAAGACGTTGTAGCAACGCCTCTCGACGGCTCCCACCGGGACGAAGACTATCAGTTATTGACTATGAGCATGGAGAACATGCTCGATGTCAATATATCGAAGGACCAGGCACAGGAACTTCTGAATCGGCACGGGCATTTCGGAATGGTCATGTTCTACTGTGTGAACTGCCTAAACAAGGGGTTCTCACGCGAAGCCATTATCGCTCATATGTTCGGTACCACGTCTCATGCGGTCGAAAGTGTGAGTCTGCTATCGCATCGAAGCGAACCCTCCTGACAATGGACCCTGCAGTTTCCAGACGTGGATCGCGCGACAGCGAAGAGCGAAGAGCGATTGACTGTAAGTGCAACTCCAGCTCCTCCCTCTGGTCTCTATCTCAACGACGCGGATTTGTAGGGTACGGAGGCCTTCATGAGCGGCGAGCTATTGCTACCCGCACCCACGCTGTACGGAAAAACTTCTCAGAACCGTACCCACAATCACCACGTCATCCACGATGTGGAGTCGTTCTTCTGGGTGCTCGTCTACCTCTGCATCACTCGAGACGGCTGTAGGGGGAGTCGCCGCCCCGAATTGGGACCTTCTCTTCTCGACCGTAAGGACCTCCACCTTCGACGCTTCGTCCACTGCCTATTCGATACAAAGTCTCACGAGACGCTTATTTACACCAAGGAGATCATACTGAACGCTCCCGATCACTTCATCAAGTCTATACTTCCAGAGGTTCACCCTGACTTACAGTGTCTCTCGACGCTGTTGGAAGAGTGGTGGCGGCTCATGGCCCTTTCGTACCTGACTTACGATCGCCTTACCCCGGGGATCATCCACGATCAGGTACTCGCTCTGTTCGACGCCGCCATCGAAAAGTTGGCCGAGGCGCCTCCCCACGGTGCGGACGAGAAGCGTACGACGACGCCCGATCCGGCGACGCAGCAGTCGCCGCCTACTCCGGGACGGAGCGAGACCGAGCCTTCGACGCAAACCGGACATTGGGACGGTTCCCCACGCAGGGCGAGGAGTTCCCCGCCTAGAAGGAGTCCCTCGCCTAGAAGAGATGGATCCGAATCCCCGACCCCGAATCCCAACCCCGGTGCTGCGCCCGAATTCCCCTCGAGTAAGAAGAAAAGGACGGACAACGAAGGCGACCTTGAGGAACGCGAACGCGCCATCGACGACGACAACTGCACCTCTGTTTGATTGACGGCCTTCCGTCGGTGAGCGCTGTTAAGGCTACGTTGGCTAATGATCAAACGATGGACCTGACGAAGCTTCCAATACAGTGCCCGGCACCTTTCTACCGCTGTCGTGTTTCGCTCTTGTTTCGCTCTCGTGCTGTCGCGTCTCCGGCCCCTGAATTGCATGCTCATCTTCTGCCAGCGTCCTACGACGCGGACCCCGCGCGCGCTCGCGCATGTATTCTATCCACGTAGTCTCGAAACCGGCCGTTCTGCGCGGACGAGAATAGATCTGCGATGACGAAAGCTAGTGTCAGAGAAACGTCTTGTCGGGTCAACGTCAGATGGGATGGTTGGGGTCGTCTCGCGCAGAACAGCGCACCAAACCTCAAAATCCGACGTTGACATAACAAGACTTGACATTGCCCGACTTTCGACATGCTCTGTCTACCTCACCCTTAGCTCGGATCCAGCACCGACTCCAACCCTTTCTCTTTGCTTTGAGTTTGGTGCGCTTGCGATAGGGCGGCTGGATTCGAGACTACTATCCACGATCGCTGCCTCCTCTTGTCTATACCTGCCGAAATGTGTCATATCAGGTTCGGGTCAGGAAAGCTCTTGTCTGATTGGTGGCTACTTATGGCCCTCTCGTATGCGACCCATGACCGACTTACATCAACAAACAGGTTCTCGCTCTTTTCGACACTGCTATCGGGAACTTGCCTCCAGCGGGCGTGCCATGTCGAATCCGCGACTGAGGGTCTGCCCAGATGCGACAGCTCAAGCCTGGAAAAAATCCTCGCCGGAGACGGACAATCTGACATGCAAACAACGGGACATTGAATAGAGATCCTCTGTCAGCAACCGCTGCCAAGTGAGAGAAGATGGAGGGACATTCAGCTAGATCATTGACGACGTTACATGGAATCAATCTTAGTATGTGTAAGCGACAAAACACGGATAACGTTTTGACATCACGTTATAAGATGATATATCGGGTGTTCAGCACACAGAGAAAGTGAGAGGGATCATTCGATAAAGTACATGCGCGAGTGCGCGCCGAATCCGCGCCTTGGAAGCGCCCGCAGGGTATTTATGTGAATCCGGAGGCGGATCCACGAGGTAGCGAAAGCACGAGAGCGAAACAAGAGAGCGAAACACGAGAGATGTCGGCATTGCAGAGCACACGCGAGTTAGGGTGCTGCGCTCAAAACGATCCAGGACACTCTATTCAAGGCTCCGTTAGACTGGACGTTCACCGCAGGGGATGACCAACACTCACGAAAAGTCATCAACCCATCAAAGAAGGCGAGGAGCTCTGGCCTATCTTCGTCCTCTTGGGAGCGGGGGTCGGGGACTCTTCGCGTTGAGGTTTGGGTGTGGCAGGCTTGGCCGAACTATCGTTGACACGCTTGCTTGGGCTGAACTCCCATGTTCTTGTTTCTGTCTGCGGGTAGCGAGGACTACTCTCTCCAGGAACTGCAGCGATCTTGTCGATCGCAGTACGGAGAAGGGATAAAACCTGATCGTGAATGACACCGGGAGTGTAAAGATCGTACGTTAAATATGTGAGGACGAGGAGTTTCCACCAGTTCTCAACCAATTCAGCCAGGACGTCCTTCGACTCTAGCCTCGGGTTCAACATCGGGAGGATATGGAGCTTGAAATCCTCGGGATTCAAGAACAAGTCCTTCTTGTTGTCCCGCAGGGTTAGCTCGTCGGCAGCGTCGAATAGGCAGTATGTCACGTTCTGAATGGTCTCCTCTTCCAGAGAGGGTGTATTCGTAAGTAATTCGGGGCGACGATGTCCTTCGTATCCTTCTCGAGTAATGACGAGGTAGACGAGAACCCAGAAGAAAGATTCCACATCGTGAAGGACGTCGTGGGCGCCGCATCCGGGACGGTTATCTGTACTGTGTGCGTACGGATGTTGCGACAGGAGCTCGCCACTCATGAAAGCCTTCGTACCCTACGTGCGCGCATCAGAAGGGGTACGAATCACTACCATCCGGCATACCGTCCGTGTTTTGCTGGCTGCTACTGTATTCCTGACATCGAAGTATTGGTTCTAGCGTAAGGACGTCAACCCACGAATGCGTAGACAAACGAGGCCAGCTGACTTTGGGTGCAATGAAGTCCTCACGGATCTGTTGGTAATATGTCAGTGAATGCTAGACGTGCGAGCCCTTTCGTCATTACCGCGCTCATGCCTGCACCGCGAGCTTTCTTTACATGTTCAACCACATTGTCAGGGTCTTGGTATCGACCGAGCAGATCTTCGGCCTGCTCAAACGAAACATCGACACCGGGACGGTCCTCATACCAATCGACCAGCTTCTGACACTGTCGACGGTCCTTGCAAGGCAAAGGCATCGGCATGAGATCTTCGAGGATCTTGCCATGTTCGAGGTCGATGAGGGAGCCTGCGTCTTCTTCGCTTTGATCGTCTTCCACGATGAGGATATTGCCCGGGCTAATGTCTCTGTGGAGTGATCCGGAAAACCAGAGCTCTTGATGTCCTATATCAACGGCAGGATAGATGTTTCGTCAGTCAGAGACGAAAAGTAACCGGGATCAATCGAGCGCACCTTCTACGGCATCTTTCAAGGCATGCAATAGCTGCGACACGTTGTCGAAAAACTTGATAGGCTTTCCGAATGTCTCCATCAAGGTGTAGCAGCGAACGCGATTGTCAGGCTTGTGGACGCCTACGATGACCAGCCGGTCTTCTGCAGCGATATGGATATACTTCTCAGGGTTACTTGCGTCGTCATTTCCCGCGTCGCCCTCTGCCTCGGCCCGACTCCTCTTCCCTGGTCTATCCTGATCCACAGCAACACGGTCACCTTCCTCAGGCTTCAGACCCTTCCGAATGCTATCTTCCGTATTGTCGAGCGAGCCAGCTACGAAGGCATCCCTAGAGTACTTGATCTTGCACACTCGCGGGGTATCGCCCAGGCGCGATCGTACTTGCTCTTCTGTGGGTGCGGTAGCGAGGCGCCAGATGCGCTTGAGCACGTATTTCTATGGATAACCGAGGATTAATGTCGGCGATCAACCAAGGCATATTCGCAAAAGATCACCTTCTCGACGTTAGCTTTTTCTCCTACTCTCCATATCACGGTACCGCTCCCCGAGAGTGATGCTGCGCGTACGATGCTGAGAGCTTTCTCCGTGACGAGAACGTGTTCGGTTCCCACGGACTGCACGGTGATCTGCCACTTCGTGTCGTACAAGGAAGAGCGAAAGTCCGTATATCCGACGGAAGGGTCGGTGGACGGGAGAATTCGACCGGATGGCGTGATGAGGAGCATGTCGGGGTCCCAACCGAGCCTTGACGGCGGAAGTCGCGAGAGTGCCATGATGACTCGAATGAACTGCTTTGGTTGCTGTGTGCATATCATGTGAGGCATCGTAAACGGCCAGCGCGTACACTCAGAAACGATAGCGATACCAACCTTATGTATGTCGATCATATTTCGCGTCCCTATCAATCCAGACTTGTCGCACAGCCAGACGGACAGCTTCGAACCACACAAAAGCATTCCGAGGGCGAACCGGCGATCGAGCTGGTCGCCGAGTACCATGCGGATATATCTGCACAGTTGTGCGACCCCTTCTGCCACGGTTTTGGCATCGGCTGCACGCTTGACCTCTACCGGAGTATGAACTCGTACCCAATGCGCATCCTGAGAGTCGAAGTTCATAGTTGAGTGAGCATCAACGGCTGGAGGTGAAAGGGAATGAATTGCCTCACCTTTTGCATCTGGTCAACCGCATCTTGCTCGCCTATGACAGCCACGATGTCGGGACGAAGCTGCGCAGCATTCTTGTGGAGGGACTTGAGAACCGTATCCGGGCGCGGTGACCATGCGACGTGCGTCCCCGGCTTGCGCTCTGGGTCCAGTTCCTTCAATACAGCTCCGATGTGCGTCGCGATCCGGATGAATGGCAGGTAAAGCTCGGATTCTGTCGCACCGTCAGACGGAAAGCCACTCCAGCGATCTGCAGCGTATTTCTGCCCTGTGGTGAGCTTATCGAAAACTGCGGCTGCGACGTCCGCGTCGGCCTGCGGGTCTTCGGAGAGAATGCAGTCGATGAAACGCTCGGTGGGGACCACGAAGGCGTGATCCTCCAGTTCGTCGGACACCATGGCTCGCATCTTGTCGACGGTGGTTAGGTGTCGAGACTGTTCATGGTGCTCGGAGGTCTTTGGAGGTGTGGTGGCGTGAACGACGCCCGTTGTGCCCGCGGACGGTCGGACAGCGTAGCGCCGCTTCCGAACCATGACCTAGGGTTTGTGCGGCATTCAACCAAGACGCAGGATCGCCGGGATTTTAAACAGACCTGCACAAGGCACGTGGCAAACACCACATACTCGGACGCTACACAGCGAGTCACAGTTGGACTGAAAACAACATGACGACTCATGGCGATCGACTGCACTCGCCTCGTGTTATGCCTACTATGGCAGGATTTGTACGACTTATCAGTGCTGCATGCCTCGCTGTGTTCGCGAGGACCCACTGTCCGCGGAACGGCCGGCTATCTGGAAAGACAGCACCTCCATGAGGGACGAAGTGCCACAATTCTGGACTACAATGGAACTTAGTGTACTACGAAAACGGTACTCTTGATCGACTCCATGATCAGAACACCGGTTGCAGGTCGTCTACACCGTACTTCGTTGTATCGCTCCACAAGGTTCGATCATTGCTCAGCCATTGATTTTGCGTCGCGAAGCTGATGTAGATGACTTTCCGTGTTCCATATAGCTTCCCTACTGGACCTCTGCTGTGCGTTCGTAGGACCAGTATGTGAAGAAAGGAACCTGCTGATGATATCTCCGTGGACGCGGCACTTCATTAATCTTGTTGTGGCCTGCATAGAGCACCTTCTGGGCTCTTTTTGGTCGCGCGCTTCAGTATACTGTTTTGGGCCTATTTGCACTCCGAAAAACCCGGGCTGTGCTACGTGAACTGCTATGGGGGGCCTCGCCAGACCCCGGCATCTGTTCTCAGCTCTCCTCTCTCCTGTGCTTCTCTGTGGTATCATCGATAAATGAACGTAAGTGCTGATATACATACAAGGAACGAGCCTTTGCAGTTGAAGGTAGAGATGATGTAAACGTTGATGTCCCCCAGATCACAGAATATCTTTCTCTTGCTGTACTAGAGGATCGATATATCGTCAAAGTCAACTAGGTAGTGCGTTACGTTCCAGATGTCCTCCTTAAACAGGGATGGGATTCGCTTGCGCAATCCAGGGTGAGGGTGCCCGCCATGACCCTATCGACGCATGATGAGCTAGATTAGTGCCCGAAAGAAAGATTCTAGGTCGTGTACGATATCGCGGATCACCGCCGTGGCAAGCCTCAGCGCACTCCTTGCACAGTACTCAGTCGTCAAGAGTTCGCCACTCATGAAGGCCTTGGTACCCTGCATGCGAGATTTGCTTGCCCGATCCGGACATTAGGCCGTGGTGTCTGGAAGCTGGTGCTCGGTGCTCGGACTACGCAGACGTGTAAGCAGTCGAGCTGACCTCGGGGATGATGATGTGTTCACGGACCTAGACCGCTTCGTCTCGGGGTGGAGGTTTTAGGTGACGGTGCCAGCATGTCACGTACGAATGGAACAGCGGCTGAAAGCCGTAGATTTCAACGCAAACGACGTTACATTTAAAACGATTTGACATGCGTGAGCGACAAAGCAGGGATAGCATTTCAACACGAAGCTGGGGAACGGATTTCAGCTGCGAGAGAGGGATGAATATATTATACGCCGGTCCACCGTGGACGGTGCCCAACGCTGAGTCGGGCAGTATATATGGACTCCATCCAATCGTCATCCAGAGGTCGTCGATGAAACATATCTCACGTCTTACTTAACAACGTTTCATGACTAAGTAGCAAAGTAACGTAAATGCCGGCCAGTCAGACTCCGGGTGACATTGAGCGTGGCACATTGTGCAGTCCACCCTCGTAAAATAGTTCAGAGGTTAACCTTGGGCATGATGTGAAAAAGCCTACCATCGAAAGCATCCCACAGCTCTTGCGTGTCTTGCGTGATCGCGATCTGCAATTGGTCTACTCACTATGAAGTCGCAGCTGAGAATGGCCGCTGCAGGCACAAATCGGTACAATAGCCTGGGGCATCGCTACATCCTTGTCTCTTTGAGGCGATGTTTCTGTAAGATAGTGATCTGCCCCGAGAAACTAGAACAGGACATAGTCGGCGTAGTCGCCTTCCTTCGGAAGCAAAACATGCGTGTCAGTATGATGAGCTGCCGTAGTAAGCGTAGTACGAGTCATTCGCGGTCGATCAATATGAATGTTGTTTCCTGAAACTGACGGTGAATCGCTGTATAGCGTGTGGGTATTGGACTACATACCCGGGCGCTACAAGAGAGGGTCGCCTTTAGTACTGGATATCAAATGACATCCGACCACGTTCGTGTTTAAACCGTCATTTTCTGGGCAGCGCACGAGCTCCAGGCGAACTTCGAAGGTGCAAACGATACATCATAACTGCACACGGGACACAAATACATGGAGCACACAGCTCGATGTGGATTGTGATCACCGGAGGAATCGGTTGCATGCGAGCGTCCAGGTGGATCTCCAAACCGAGAAACAGCGACCATCGCTCAGGAGTGTGGGGCACGGCGTGGATCCAAGCAGTTTTTGCGAAGCCCCAAATAGTATGTTGAAGGGAATGACCCAAAGAGGAGCGCAACAATGCTCCCAATCGACCAAGCCGTGATCGCGGGGGGAAGACTTCTGCGACGGAAAGATCCTTGTTCAACACAGTGTTCGGAGAGAAAGCAGACGCAGAACGTATCGATCAAGATCTCGCCACGAAACTCATGGCCGAACAATGGTTGAAACTTGGGAATCACTACCAGATGCACACCTATATTGTGGAACACGTCCTTCGCAGTCCTGAAGCAAATGGTAACCCGGGACTTCGGTATAGGCTTTCCTCCTGAAGGCATCGTTCTTGAAAGACATCGATCCGATACAGGGCATAGCCAGCGCAGCGGTCTTCGGATGCAACATGAGGCTTGTGAGTATGATAAGGTGCACTGATCCTGCCATAGCAGGCATAATACAAGGCGATCATGTTCGATCACCATGACTCGTTGTGGTCTGGCGCTGACTCGCTGTGGCGTTTCGCTGCCTGGCATGAAGCACGTGATCGCGTTGCGTTTCTGTTTAAAGGCCGGGCATTGGCGACCATGAAGCTCGGTTTAATCTGGATTTCCGCGCCACAAATAGCAAACAAATCCTATTATGGCAACTGCGTTCTTCGACGACTTGGTTAAGTTGTGCGGCGGGGCTTCAAAATCGTCAAACACCACACCTCCAAAGCCAGGCCGCTACGAGCTCACGCAGTTCATCGACACTGTCGAGACGATGCAAAGCCAGGTAGAGAAAGAAGTCGAGAAGAACGCTTTCGTTGTCCCCACCGCAAACTTCGTCGACAGCCTCTTTTCCGTCTCCACTGATCCTGGTGCCGATGCGGAGGTCGCAAAGTCTGTACTCGAACGACTCAAACATAACGGTCTCTATGACAATCGATGGTGCCAGTTTCCAGACCACCGGGACGCGACCGAGCAGTCATTCTACCTTCCGTTCATACGCACAGTAGCGGGCATTGGCCGCGCGCTCAAGGGTTTGGGACACCAGCCGCGGACGCACATCGCATGGCCGGAGGTTTTCGACCGAACGCTCACTTCTCTCAACCCCTACGCTGCCAACGTTCGCCCTGATATCGTGTCGGTCCTCGGAGAGGATCCCAACGACGGCCCGAAGGAGGAGACGGAGGGTGAAGGCAAGGAGACGAACGACAAGAAGCGCAAGGCGCCCGATGAACAGGCACGTCATTCGTCTTCGTGTTTCTAGTTGCTGGTGTTGATGACGATCCCGGTGACGAACAGGTCCCAAAGCTCTGGTGGCTACGCGTACACACCCCGGTTGAGGTCAAAACCAAGGAGGACGAACGCACCATGTCGGACGGCGTTTTGCAACTGTGCCGATACATGCGTCTCGTTCTCGGCGAACAGCTGGACCGCCGGTTCGTTCTCGGGCTGCTCCTGTGCGGACGCAAGTTGCTCGTCTGGTTGTGCGATAGGTCGGGGCTGATAGGAACGGAGGACCCGATAGATATTCACTCGGTCAGTCTCCCTTCCGTCACTACGTTGGCCGTGTGAGCCCGCCGTCTGACGCATCTGCTTCCATCGCGCATACAGGAGCCGGAGACGTTTATCCGGATCATCATGGCCTTCTCCCAACTGGAGCCGCATAGGCTGGGCTGGGATCCTAACATGCTGCTCGCGCGAGGAGAGGAATGGATAGCCCCCACCGACCCTTCGGTAAAACCGTCGGACTTTGGCCAATCGCTCTACGACACCAAGTGGCAGATTACCGTGCACCCCGGAAGAGTCTATTACACTACGGAAGCTCTCAGTATCATACGGGCCGCATCGTTATCAGGAAGCGGGACGGTGGTCTGGAAGGTGCAAGACGAGAATGGGGAGGTATGTCGTCGCACTTGACCGCGCTCTCTGTCTTCATGGGCGTTAACCTTCGTGTTTGTCAGGAATGCGTTTTGAAACGGATTTGGCGTCTGATAACGGCTCCCACGGAACAAGATATCCGATCGGTGTTAACGAAGGATTCGCCGGTGTGCGAGATTGAGTTTTGCGCAGATGCTATGGTGGACGACGCCGTCGACAACACTCACCAGTCGATACGTCGGGGCTTGGAGGAGTTGAGGGCTAAAAGTCTGGAGAAGGTCTCTAAGAGGAGGAAGATTGCCGATGCGCAGGCTGGCGTCGACGACGCGACCCACGCTGAGAAATATATCCATTTATCCGCCGAGGGCAAGTTAGAAAACTTGGGCGAGGAACGCCAGCCCGCTCGGCGAGTTTGCACTTATACCTTGATGAAGACGTTCGGGAAGCCGATCAAGTTCTTCACAAGCGTGGGACAGCTTTTGCGCGCGATGCGCGATGCTATACAGGGTGCGTCACGTTACCACGTCGTTTCATCAACGATTTACGACCCCAAACGGGCATGTTAGGGCACAAAGACCTTTGGTTTAGCCGCGCAATGCATAGGGATATCAGTCCCGGCAACATCCTGATCGTCGAAGACGGCAAGTATACGGGCCGTCTCATCGACCTTCAAAACGGCAAGATATATGAACACGATGTCGAAACTCCCTTCACCGACCCTCCAGATGACGAGGAATGCGAATCGTTGATCAAGGGGCTCAAGCGTAAACTCGGCGTCGAACTTTCGCACCACCAGGCACAAGATCTTCTGAACCGCCATGGGTTTGCCTGCGAGATTGAATCTCGCTGTCTAGCCTTGCAAAGAAGGAAGTTTTCAGACCAAGCCATAATTGCGCATATGCTTAGTACCACGTCCGATAAGGTTGCAAGTGTGAGTCTGCTATCGCATCGAAGCGAACCCTCCTGACAATGGACCCTGCAGTTTCCAGACGTGGATCGCGCGACGGCGAAGAGCGAAGAGCGATTAACTGTAAGTACAACTCCATGTCTCCCTCTGGTCTCTTTCTCAACGACGCGAGCATATAGGGCACGGAGGCCTTCATGAGCGGCGAGCTATTGCTACCCGCACCCAAGCTGTACGAAAAAACTTCTGAGAACCGTACCCACAATCACCACGTCATCCACGATGTGGAGTCGTTCTTCTGGGTGTTCGTCTACCTCTGCATCACTCGAGACGGCTGTAGGGGAAGTCGCCGCCCTGAATTGGGACCTTCTCTTCTCGACCCTAAGGACATTCCCCTTCGACTCTTTGTCGACTGCCTATTCGATACAAAGTCTCACAAGACGCTTATTTACACCAAGGAGAGCATACTGAACGCTCCCGATCACTTCATCAAGTCTATACTTCCAGAGGTTCACCCTGACTTACAGTGTCTCTCGACGCTGTTGGAAGGGTGGTGGCGGCTCATGGCCCTTTCGTACCTGACTTACGATCGCCTTACCCCGGGGATCATCCACGATCAGGTTCTCGCTCTGTTCGACGCCGCCATCAAAAAGTTGGCCGAGGCGCCTCCCCACGGTGCGGACGAGAAGCGTACCACGACGCCCGATCTGGCGACGCAGCAGTTGCCGCCTATTCTGGGACGGAGCGAGACCGAGCCTTCGACGCAAACCGGACATTGGGACGGTTCCCCACGCAGGGCGAGGAGTTCCCCGCCTAGAAGGAGTCCCTCGCCTAGAAGAGATGGATCCGAATCCCCGACCCCGAATCCCAACCCCGGTGCTGCGCCCGAATTCCCCTCGAGTAAGAAGAGAAGGACGGACAACGAAGGGGACCTTGAGCACCGCGAACGCGACATCGACGACGACTCTGCACCTCTGTTTGATTGAAGGCCTTCGGTCGGTGAGCGCTGTCGAGGCTACGTCGACCAACGATCACCGATCGAGCTACCGTAGTTCCCAGCACAGTGCCGGGCATCTTGTCGATCCCAGCGTCCTGCTCTATCTGCGCCCTGTGACGTCTACCGCTCTCACGTTTCGCTATCGTTTCGCTCTCGTGCTGTCGCGTCGCCTGCCCTGGATTTGCATACCCACCTTACGCAAGCGTCCTACGACGCGGACCCGGCGCGTGCTCGCGCATGTATTTTATCCACGACCTCTGCCTCTTCTTGTCTATGCCCCGCGTCATGTCATCTCGTAAAGCGATGTCGAATCGTATACATATGTTGGATCGATGCCAATGTAACGTCGTTCACGTTTGAATCCACAAACTTTCAGCGATCGCCTCGTTCCCAGGAAGCGTGCTTGAACGCTCCACCAAGGCAAACCGGTCGATATCCCGCTTGGATTCGACCCCGCTTTCGCAAAGGGTGGTTACGCTTCTTCCCAGCCCAAGCCTCACTCAGAAGAGTCGAGAACGACTACGTTGCGGTCATCGAGGTCTCGTACGATCTCCATACCTTTGCCTGTACGGTCCGAAGACGTCCGAGGTTAGCGGAAGGATACGTCAGTTTTCGCCATCGTACGTTCGTCGGTACATATGCGTGTTATCGTTCGTGTGGCACCTGCATCGGAACGCTCCGGGAGGACGATGGTGTGGAATGGTTCCTTGGCCCTCCTCGCTGGTACTGACGACGCGGTTCTGGATTGCGCTAGAACTTAGAGTAACGTTACGGTCCGGCGTTCGTCTTTGACGTATCGCCTGTGCGGATGGAAACGAAGCGGGCGAGACCCAGTATGACTATCGTTTGATCACAGCCGGAGTACATGAGCCTCCATGACGGTCGCGAATGGCCGTGACTAACATTAGCCAGAGTGGTTCGAGCGCGGGGATACACTGCAGTCTGCGAACGTGCTGGGAGACGAGCACTGCAGAAGGTCGGCTAGCCCCACTCGTCGATGAGAACTAAAGTGTATATATGTTTATAGACACGAAGCAGCGGGCTCGCAGACCGGGCGTGCGAGGATGAACCGGGTGTTCGCATATCCGGGGGGCGGCGCACGATAGGCGGTTTTGAGTTCGGGGTGGCGTAGCGGGCGCTGAGGGGAGATGGAGACGGTGATCCTACGTCTAAGTACAAGCTTTGTATACGATCGGTGCATTGCTGCACGTTGACTTGCACAGCGTCGGATCAGGCCGTTCACCGATGGTCGAACTCAACGCTGGCGAGCTTGCAGAGAAGAACCCGGTCTGCAACATAACATCGACGATAACATTGGCCGGACAATGAGCTCGGTGAGAGGATGGTGTGATCCTGAAGAACAGGGATGTGCGAGTTCGCTCGGGAAGAAGAACGCGCAGAGGCGATCCGGCAAGTCGCGGCGCGCGCGCTCGGCCGGGCACCGCACCGGCGTCATCGCAGTCGCACCGCCCCTGCTCAGCTCTTTGCCTCGCCCTCCCGCCTTCTGCCCTTTTCTCCTTCACGCGCCCGTCCTCTCCTCGTCCCCTTCTCTCCCGCCCAGCTCGCGCTCCAGGGCATATATACACGAACACGAACTACCAGGGCTTGTGTGACCCACTGCGCTTCGATCGAGGCAGGCATATTACCCAACGACACGCCCTGACGCACCTCTGAACCTTGTGCGCGCGAAGAAGACCCAGGGCACATTTCACAGCTTCCGTCATCGTTCCGTGCGTCGTACGACTCAGCTATATCTTACGACCGCGTTTCGCGATCCTGGCTGACCCTGGTCCTGATCCCACCCATAGCACTCGGAAGCCAAGCCACGCACACACCGCGTAATCGACACGCGCAGTTAGCCGCTCACAACACCTTCGAATCGTCCGGATGTCCAGCCAGGCCGCTGTGAGCTCTCTCGTCCTTCCTGCTTCTTTCGTTCATCTTCTGGGTTATCCTCGTTCCTTGCCGCTGACGAAAGATCTGCGCGGGCCCACAGATCCGCAGGAAGCTCGTCATCGTTGGTGACGGCGCGTGCGGCAAGACCTCGCTCCTCTGCTCCTTCGCCCTCGGCGAGTTCCCAAAAGAATACGTGCGTCGCGTATCACGTATACAACCTTTGACGAACCCATGCCGAAAATCTCTGTTCTTTTTATAGCAACCCAGTACGCCCGCTCGCTCGTCATGACCTATACCCGGCCTTGGGATGCTGACTCGAACCCCAAGCTATATTCGAAAACTATGTCGCAGAGATCAGGCTCGACGGCAAGCCGGTCCAGCTCGCGCTATGGGATACCGCGTCCGTCCGTTTGCGTCTTCCGATGAGTGGAGACTGACGAAAGGCCGTTGACAGCGGGCAAGAAGAGTACGAACGCCTCCGACCGCTCTCCTACTCCAAGTCGCACGTCATCCTTATCGCGTTCGCGATCGACACGCCGGACTCGCTCGAGAACGTCACCGTGAAGGTACGCGCTCCCGTTGCTCTCTCCTCCTGCTTCCCCCTTTGACACGCCTCTGCAGTGGATAGAGGAAGTGCGCTCGATCTGTGGCCAGACCATCCCCGTCCTCCTCGTCGGCTGCAAGTCGGATCTCCGCCCGCCGGACGTGGACAACACCGCGCCGTCCCACCCGCTGTTCGTCACCCGCGCCCAGGCCGAGCGCGTCGCTCAGGTGAAGCCCCACTTGCTCCGTTCGCGTTCTTGGTCAAATACTGATCCCGCACGCGCGCAGTCCATCGGCGCGCGGGGGTACAAGGAGTGCTCCGCGCTCAAGATTGAGGGCGTCGACGACGTGTTCGAGGCCGCGACGAGGCTGAGCATGCTCATGCGCGAGGGCGTGCCCGCGCACGTTCGGAACGATAGGTGAGCGTCCAACCTCACACCTTCCTAGTCTGAGTAGGGATGTCGTGCTAAACCCCGGATCGTCGTAGCTCGGGCGGCGCGGCGCAAGGGCACCGGAGGAAGAACTCGGGCGTGAGCAAGGACGAGGGCGCGGGGCGGTGTTGCGTGATCTGCTAGGGGGGAGGGCCCCGCCAGCAGCAGTGCCTCTCCGGTCATCGGCTCTTCGGCTCAGCCTCTTCTTTGCCTCCTTGTTGTTATTATCGATGAACGTTTGCAACTACCTGCACCCGGCATACACGCACGCAATGAGCCTTTTTTTGTCCTTTCTGTGTCACGACCCCACGGACTCCCCCTTCTGCCTCCCAGCGCGTCTTATCTTCCCTGCGTCCGCTCTGCCCTTGTTGTCGTATCCCTTCGGTTTTTGCGTTCTGAGGTGGCGATCTCTCGCCGCCATCAACCGCCCTCGAAAGCGGTGTTTTTCATCGCCTGAGCTTGTTTTTTTTTGTTTTTTTTTCGTTGACGACACGGACCTACAATCGAGTAAAGCGTACCCATACATAGTGACTTATCCTCTCTCTCTCCCCTTCAGGGAAGTCGGAAATCTCATACTCGTCTGCCTCATACGTCGCACCCGTGCACGTGGTATGGGACGAAGGCAAGTTGACCAATGCTCACCCCGTTCGTATCAGAGAAAGAATTGTGGGTTGGCGATCCGAGCACGAGGCATGAGGCTCCAGCAAAGATCGTAGAATCAGACGTTAACGATGTTACATGGAGTTCGATCTGAGATGCGTAAGCGACGAAGCAGGGAAAGCATTCTGACAGAGAGTTACGAGACAACATTAGGCAGCCAGAGAAGGAGAGAGAGATCATGAATATAATGCTGGAGGAAGTACGCCAGTCCGGTGCTCGAGCATCCGCGTATGTTGAGTGCGCGTCCCAGGACCGAAGCACGAGAGCCTTGAACAGATCGTAAAGACAGGATGAAGCAACCAACAAGCAGCGGCGCGTTGACACTGGAGGTCGTCGAAACGGCGAGCCGGGGTCGTCTTCGCCGTGCTCCGCGTTACAGATCTTGTCCACCACGCCGTCGCCGTAGGTCTTGCCCTAGCCACCGCCCTTCTCGTCGTCGTCGTCATCATCATTGTCGTCGTCATCATCGTCCTTGCTATCATCATCGTCCTCGCTATCATCATCGTCCTCGCTATCATCATCGCCCTCGCCCTTGTCCACACTCTCTCCACCCATGTTCTCGTTCTCGTCCCCCTCTTCGTCCTCGTCCATGTCGTCTCCCCCGACCTTGGTCTTCATCCTCTTCGGCATAGGGCTCGGGGACTCTGGACTGTAAAGTTTTATTTCTGTTTCTTAGGCCTGCTCGGCTTGTTCTCCCATACTTGGGTTGCGGCTGGGACTCCAGGGTCTTCATTTCCCCCAGGCGACGCAGCGATTTCGGCAATAGCCTCGTCGAGGAGAGCGAGAACTTGATCGTGTATGACTCCGGGAGTATAGCGATCGTAGAGCGCGTAAGAGAGTACAAGGAGTTGCCACCATTGCTGAATGAGTTTCTTCAAGCTGCTCAGCGCCGGGGTAACTTGAGGGATGATATATCCGGTGAACTGCTTCGGATTCTGGAATAATATCAGTTTGTTGATGTGGAGCATGAGTGGGTTGGGTGAATCGAACAGAGCGTAAGCTGTGTTCTGGACCTTCAGCACTTCCGGGGAGCGGTCGTCGCGAAGCAACTCAGGGCGGCGATGTCCGCCAGAACCCCGTCGAGTGATGGCGAGGTAGACGAGGACCCAGAAAAAGGATTCGATATCGTGGATGACATCATGAGGAGCGTTTTTCGATACGTCACTGAGGCGTGGATACCGAATGCTCTCCAACATTTCGCCACTCATGAACGCCTTCGTTCCCTACGCAGAATATTGAGAAGGAACCAATTCACGAAGATTATGCATACCGTCCGCGTCGCGCTGGCTGCTTGCTCGCTATAGATATCTGGCCATCGGTGCTAGCGGGGTCGTTAGTCCGTGAATCACGTAGGCATGCGAGATGGGCGGACTTCAGGTGTGAAAATTCTCGTACGAACCTATTGGCAGTACATCAGCGAACGCGACGTGCTATGGGGTTCAACCTTACCGCGCGCGTGTCTTCGAACTTGTTGCGTGCTCCTTGTTCATGGTACAACACCTCGCCCCTGTCCCTGTATCGGCCCAACAGATCGGCAGCCTGCTCGTATGTGATCCGTCGGTCTTCGTCATGATCGAAATAATCGACCAGTTTTTGTATTTCTTGCTCGTCTTTGGACGGGGTAGGGAGCGGCAAGAATTCTTTTTCGAAGATCTTGCCGTGTTCCAGGTCGATGAGGCAACCTACTTGGTCCTCGTATTCCGGGTTCTCTACGATCAGGATGTTGCCCGGGCTAATGTCCCGATGCAAAACCCCGGCGAACCAGAGATCTTGATGACCTTGAAGCAAATAGTAGCGCTTGTCAATCATGAACGAATTTCGGAACGAATTTCGGAACGAATTTCGGAACGAATTTCGACACGAAGGAGTTGGGCGGACCTGAAACAGCATCACTCATGGCGCGCAAAAGCTGGTCCACGGTGTTGAAAAACTTGATCGGCTTCCCGAACGTCTTCGTCAAGGTGTAGGTGCCAGTACGCCGAGCAGGCTGTCGTCCCCCATCGTAGCCCTCCAACTCATGCACAGCAGATGAATGGATATATTGCTCAGCGTGGGTCGCGTTGTCTACGCCAGGCTGCGCGTTGGCAAGCTTCCTCCTCTTGGAGACCTTTGCCAAACTTTCAGCATGAGACTCGTCCACAGGGGAGACGGGTAACACCTTCTCGACGACCTTCTGGGTGGGGACGACGAAAGTATCCTTCGGGACTTCCTTCTCCCCCTGGCTTTCCATGGTCTCGGCGGTGTTGATGTACCGACTGAGCTCGCAGCGTCCTCCCTTCGAAAGAGTAGCAGCCTGTTCTGAACATGGAAGGCATGAAGGACACGCTTCGCTAACCGGGACCGCTGCAAGAAGTCTTTGCAGAACGCCGCGGACATCAATGTTGCACGGGCCGCCACTGCCGGCACACGAACATTTGACGCAGCCTCACGAAGGGCGGCAAAGATGCGTGATCGAAACGCCACTGCTCCTCGGGCGTTACAGGTTTGAACTTGCATCCATGTGCGCCGTTCCAGGAGGGCGCGTACTGCGTCGTGCTGTCATGGGCGGCACAACCTCTGCTGCGTTGGTGTGTCGAGCACCTACACGAGCACCTACATCACAGGCCTCGCTCATGCTACTGTAGAACCAAAGAAATCGCAATGGCAATGAAGATTACAGTTTATACACAGAGCATCGATAACAGAACGACGACAAGGCTTGAACCACAGGTTTGACGTCAGCAGGAGGCGGACAACAAGCGCGGGACTACATCGGAGAGGTGTCCTCTTCTGTCTATGCAGAGAGTATTGCCCACAAAGACGAGTTGACGACGAGGAGCTGGAAGCAATACGGGTGGACAGGGCAGCAATGAGGAGGTTGAGGCAGACGCGGTATGAACAGCTTAATGAGGCGGGCCGCAGGAATGACTCTAGTCAGCATTGAATCGCAATCGTTGTGACAACAGGCGTACCATGAGGTCATTCGCGGTCCAACTTGGCGCGTTTAGAGGCGGGGCTCAAGGATTCGACATCCGGAGTCGGATAGAATGGGACCGAAGGCGGCTTCTGGAGAGTTTCCAGTTTCGTTGGGTGGAGCTTTCTCTTGGTCTCTTGCGACGATGCGGTGTCAATAGGCGCGTCCGGCGAAGAAGCCACTTGACCAGTGATCGGGCTAGCTGTGGTAGGCGGCTCCCTTTCACGGTACCTGGCCTTGATGGTTTCCGAGTGACTGTCGAAGAGCTCGAGGACTTGGTCGTGTAGGACGCCGGGCGTGAAGTAGTTGTAGTTCATATACGAGAAAATAAGGAGATCCCACCACTCCCGTACGAGGTCTTCCAAGCCATCCGGAGGCGGATTCACGAGGTAGCGAGAGCACGAGAGCAAAAAGAGTGAGCGAAACACGAGAGATGTGGGCATTGCAGAGCACGCGCGAGGTATAGGGTGCCGCGCTCAAAACGGTCCAGGGCACTCTATCCAAGGCTCCGTTAGACTAGACGTTCACCGAAGGGCAACGGACACGCACAAAAAGTCATCAACCCATCAAAGAAGGCGAGGAGCACTGGCCCATCTTCGTCCTCTTGGGAGCGGGACTCGGGGACTCTTCGCGTCGAGGTTTGGGTGTGGCAGGCTTGGCCGGACTATCGTTGACACGCTTGCTTGGGCTGAACTCCCCTGTTCTCATTTCTGTCTGCGGGTAGCGAGGACCACACCCTCCAGGCACTGCAGCGATCTTGTCGATCGCAGTACGGAGAAGGGCCAAAACCTGATCGTGAATGGCACCGGGAGTGTAGAGATCGTACGTTACGTATGTGAGGACGAGGAGCAGGGTTACTTGTGTCTCTGCCTCGTCCCGACTCCTCTTACCTGGTCTATCCTGATCCACAGCAACGCGGTTGCCTTTCTCAGGCTTTGGACCCTTCGGGATGCTATCTTCCATGTTGTCGGGCGGACCAGCCATGAAGACATCCCCGGGGTACTTGATCTCGCCCAGGTGCGGTCGTACTTGCTCTTCTGTGGGTGTGATAGCGAGGGGTGTGGACTATTCCGACACGCATGGTTATCTGGTGTGTTGTCTTCAGTCGATTCATTTTCGCCGATCAATTCATCCGCAGCACGTTTCTTCTGGCTCACTCACCCTCTTCATTCGCAGCGATCATCACAATGGTGGCGTTGAGAAGGCTGAGACCCTCGTCATGAATGATCAGGGAGCACTTAGGTCGATGATACCGATTTCTGCTCCGAGGCCTTTACTTATTTCATCATCAAGAATGCGCAGTCTCTGCCGCCGGTCGCTGCACATCGGTGGTGTGTCCGCACGGACTTTCACAGCGACGCATGCATGAGCGCCAGGAATGGCGGGCATGGGCAAAACGCGCGTGTCGTGAATCAGAGTCGATCTCTTTTGTACAGCGCATTGTAGAGACAGTGGAAGCGTCAATGATCATGAAAATTTCAGTTATAATACAGGAACACAAAGCATCGATAACAAATCGACAGCACAGCTTGCACAACAGGTTTGATGCCAGCGGATTGCAGAAGGATATCAACAGCAAAACTAGACTGAGGAGGCTTCCTCGTTGTCTATTTATGCCGAGGGTATTGCCTACAAAAATGACATTGCGGAGAGGATCGACAGCGACGAAGAGACAGCGTTGGGAGATAAAAGCAGACGCGGGCGCATGAAAAACCTGACAAGGCGTAATGAAGGTGTACGAGAGACGGGACGGAGCGCGAACGGAACGAGCAGGCGGTCTAGTAGATAAGTAAGTCTCACTGCTCGGATGTGGGAGCGAGTGTGCATTCGTGTACCTAGTAGATAAGTAACTACGGTACATTAGCTCTCGGCACAGGGTATACAGGCAACAGAAGAACTCACGTCTCACTGCTCGGATGTGGGAGCGAGTGAGACGTGTGCTCGCGAAAAGGAGACGGTTATCTGAAGGCGGAAGTATAAGTTTTCGTATCCTAATAAGTCCATACCACGCGAGGGCGCGCGCGCCGCGCGCACAACGGCCGACACGGCGTCCGCTTGCATGCCCATCAACCATCTATCTCCAACACTCCCCCTCAAGCGGTACGTCGAAGGCCCAGGAGGTGCGCAAAGTGTTCAACTTTCGCGCGCGGGAGCGGCTTAGTGAGTGCGTCGGCGACCATGTCGTTCGTCGGGCAATGCTGGAGGGTGATGGAGCCGGAGGTGACGAGTTCGTGGGCGAAAAGGTAATGTATGTCGATATGCTTCGTGCGGGCGTTCATAGCGCCGCTTTTGAGTAGGGTGATCGTGCTCTGATTGTCGCAGTTCGTGACGATTGGCGCGGTTTTGCCGAATTCAAAGAATAGACGTCGCATCCAGACAAGCTCGCGGCATGCACTCGCGCTGGCGATAAGCTCGGCTTCCGTAGTCGAGAGGGCGAGTAACGTTTGCTTGCGAGAGCTCCAAGAGATCGCTGCGCCGTTGTATGTGAAGACCCATCCGGTAATCGAGTGCCGATGCGGCTGGCTTGCCCAGTCGGCATCGGAAAAACAGGCGAGGCCGCCGCCGTCGTTGTCAGTCCCGAACGTCAGGACGTAGTCTCGCGTACCGATGAGATAGCGCAGGACTCGTTTTGCGGCGTTCCAGTGGGCGACGGCGGGGTCGGACATGAAGCGTGCGAGTGTCGATACCGCAAACATGATGTCGGGTCGGGTCGCGATGGCGGCGTACATGAGCGAGCCTATCAGGCGCGCGTATGGCCGTTTCTTCATCTCTTCGCGATCGGCGTCGGTAACGTCGACGAAGAGGTTGGCGTGCGGGTCGGCGGGTACGGTGAGCGGTGTAGCATCGGCCATGCGGAATCGGTCGACGATGGTGTCGATGTATGCGCCTTGGCCGACCGTCAACGTTCGCGCCCCGAGGTCTCGATGTATCTCGAGCCCCACGAACCAGCGCATCGCGCCGAGTCGCGTTATCGAATAGCGTTCGCCAACGGCATCGATTAGTGCCGTCGTTTCGCGTTGGCCGCTCCCGATGATAGCGCAATCATCGACGTGTATTCCGAGGACGAGTGTCAGCCAGTCCTCGAAGACATAGAACACTGCGGGGTCACTCTCGCACCGAGTGAACCCGAGTTCATCAACCAAAAGCTCACATAACGTGAGGTACCACTGACGCCCGGCCTGCTTTAGCCCGTACAGAGCTTTCTTCAATCGCAGGACCCAATTTTCCTTCCCTGGGACCTCGAATCCTGGCGGTTGTCGCATGTAGATGACGGTGTCGAGCTTGGAGTTGAGGTATGCATTGTCGAAGTCGATAGAATCGATAACATAGCCGCGTTCAGCGGCAAACGCGAGGAGAAAACGAAGTGTGCTGAGGCGAATGGTTGGGGACGATGTCTCGGTGTAGTCGACACCGTGCACCTGCGTGTTGCCGCCAGCAACCACGCGCGACTTCAATTTTCGCACCTCATTCGTCTCGTCTCTCTTCTTCTTCAACACCCAGTGACTCCGCACAACATTGGCTCCCTTTGGAGCCTCCATCGGACCATCGAAAACCTCATTGCGCTTAAGGGCATCTATCTCGGCCTGCATGGATGCACGCCATTCCTCGCTCTGAGGTCCTCGCAAAGCTTCGCGGGCGCTTGGTTCGTCACCAGGCATTGCGGCAAAAGCAAAAGCTGACCCTTCATCCAACAGCGCAGCCATCAATCCGCGTTCAAGATGCTCCTCTTCGGCATTGGTATCCTGCAACTCAGGCAGAACACTGGACGGAACGGCTTGCGCGCCACGTCCTCCCGTGGTCGCGATGTCATTACGGAGTGCCTGGGCCCATGGCGACGGCTTGCGTACTCGATCAGAGCGACGCAAAGTTGGTTCGTCGGGCTTAGGGACGGTCTCCGGGTTGGCGGGGGCAGCTTCGGACACCGATGGCTTGATCGTGTTATGCTCGCGCTCGGCATCAGGCGTCTCGGGCGCGTTTCGCTCGCTTGCCGGCAGACTCTCCCCCTCGAGCGGTACGCGCACTGAACAGTCTTCTTCTGCGAAGATGATGTTTTGCTCCACCGATATACGAGGGGTTCCTGGCCACCATATGCGATGACCTTTGCTCATTGTGTCGAATCCGACCCACCGGGCCTCTTTGGACTTGGCATCAAGTTTCGACGCGGCATCAATCTTCACCCAGACGCGAGCGCCAAATATCGGGAGTGTCGAGAGGTCGGGCTTACGCCCGGTCGCCTTCTCAAACGGTGTGGAGCCCGGCGTGTTTTTTGTCTTCGTGCGGTTGCGGAGCCAGGCGGCGTGCATCACGGCTTCGCCCCAGAGGGCTTTCGGGAGATCAGCCTCGAGGCGCATGGCACGGGCATGCTCGACGATCGTTCGGTTCAGGCGTTCGGCCTTTCCGTTTTGTGCCGGGGAGTCATGGACAGTCCGTCGCGCAACAGTACCCTGAGATTTGAGGTACGCAAGGAACTCGTTGCTTGAGTATTCGCCTCCACGGTCCGACTGATGCTCGCCTATAGCTACGACACCTCGGTGTTGCTTCGCCCATGCTTCATACGCGCGGTAGACGGTGAAGACTTCGTCTTTTGACCGGAGGAGGACCAGTATGGTCTCGTCCGAGTAGTCGTCGATATGCAAGACATAGTACCGCTTTCCGCCGAAAGTTTCCACCGGACTTGGGCCCCAGACGTCGCTGTGGACCCGTTCGCCATATCGGGTCGCAGGAGGAGACCTACGCTCGGAGGGGAAAGGTGCTGCGGCATGCTTTCCTTCAATGCAAGACTCGCACAGCGGCATCTCCGTATCAGTCAACTCCACGCCTTTTACAATCCCTTCGGCTACCATCCGCTTCAGCTCTGCAGCACCGGCGTGACCCATGCGGTTGTGAAAATCGCGCAGCGTCATCTTCACGGTGGCGCCCATGGCCGTTTCGCCAGCTGGCCGCTTCGCCACCGGCTGGGCACCAATTGGGTACAAGCCGTTTCGCTCAGGCACGGTCATGACGAGCTCGCCCTTCGGGCTGATGATTCGACAACCACGATGTTCGAAGTGAGCCTTGAACCCGCCTCGCACGATGGCGCTAACCGAGACAAGTCCAATAGGCATCTCCTTTGCATACAGCACGTTCTGGAGGCTAATGCGCACAAGATCCTTGGGTCCTGGGAGCTCGATAGAGACAGTTCCTTCACCCGTTGCGAAGAATTCGCGGCCGTCGGCTGATGCGACGGGGATCGGGGTGATTGGCCTGAAAGTCGTGAACTTCGTCCGGTCGGGTTCGAAGTGGCGACTGGCTCCGGAATCAAGGATGCGGCTGACGCTTGGGTTGGCCAGTCTCGCTTCCTCGACCTTGGCGAAGTCGGTTGCGACCGGGAATGCAAATTCGCGGATGACGGATGTAGAATCGGGTGCGGCTGCCGCGGCGGCAGTCACGGAAGTTTCGTTTGTAGTTGCTGCTGCGGCGGTACTCTTGGGCTTGCCGCCTCCACTCTTCGCGCTGTTCAGAATCTGCTTCCAGTTTGCCGGCCGCTGTCCCTGTTTTCCTCCCCCTTTCGCCCAGCAGTCCTCGCGCCAGTGACCGACCTTTCCGCAATTCGTGCAGGTGTCGCCAGACTTGTCACGTGCAGTGCCGTTCTGACGCCGCTTTGGCTGGTTTGCACGGGCCGAATAGGCCTCCGAAGCTTTCTGACGCTTGTTCAGGCTCTCGTCGTCGCGCGCGATGGATCTGATGACGTTCACTAGCTCGTGAGGCTTGAGAGACTTTTTGTTTGCGATGGATTCGGCAAGGAGAGTGCGGATGGTTTGTCGATATGATGTGGGGAGGAGGCGGATGACTGCGGCGATCTCATTCGGTTCGTCGAGGACTCCGCCGGCATTGGCGTATCTCGCCTTCAGCTCTTCTAACTGGTCGAGTGTCTCGCGCGGATCACCGCCATCAGCGGTGGTGAGCGCATTGATTTCGTCAAGGATGTTGATCTGGGATAGGGCGCCGGTATTCTCATGCTGTCCGCACAGAATCTTCCAGGCCTCCGCGGCGCTCGCCGTGCCCACAATGCGAAGCTTCAGGCTCGCCGGTACGGTTTGGTAGAAGACCGTCTTGATTTTCTCATTCCGCTGATCCCACAAGTCGTAGGCATCATCGTACTCCTCCACAGCCTTATCGTACTTCGCGACGTCCTCCGATTTGGCCTTGTCGCCAGGTGGGGTAGGTTTGACAGGGGGTTTAGCACGGCCGTCAAGGAAGCGCAGTAATCTCTTGCTTCGGATGGCTGATGTGACTTCCGCCTTCCAGAGAACCCAGTTGCCGCCATCGGCGCTGAGCTTCGGAAGCTTCGTGTAGGAGAAGTCATCGCGTGAGTCCATCGTATCTTGACAGGCCGCCAGGGCTCATAACCTAATGAAGGTGTACGAGAGACGGGACGGAGCGCGAACGGAACGAGCAGGCGGTCTAGTAGATAAGTAAGTCTCACTGCTCGGATGTGGGAGCGAGTGTGCATTCGTGTACCTAGTAGATAAGTAACTACGGTACATTAGCTCTCGGCACAGGGTATACAGGCAACAGAAGAACTCACGTCTCACTGCTCGGATGTGGGAGCGAGTGAGACGTGTGCTCGCGAAAAGGAGACGGTTATCTGAAGGCGGAAGTATAAATTTTTGTATCCTAATAAGTCCATACCACGCGAGGGCGCGCGCGCCGCGCGCACAACGGCCAACACGGCGTCCGCTTGCATGCCCATCAACCATCTATCTCCAACAAGGCGCGCTGCAGTAATGACTCCAGTAAGTATTGACAGGCTATCGTTATGACGACAGGCGCACCATGAGGTCAATCGCGGTTCACCTTGGGCCGTTTCGAGGCGGGGCTCGATGAATCGTCTTCCGGGGTGGGATTGAATGGGATTGCAGGACCGAATTTGCCAGGTACGGTCTTGATCTGCAACTTCCGAGGAGTTTCCAGCTTCGTTCGGTGGAGCGTTCTGTCGGTCTCCTGCGACGATGCGGCGTCGATATGCGCGTCCGGCGAAGAAGCCACTTGACCAGTGACCGGGCTAGCTGTGGTGGGCGGCAGTCTTTCACGGTACCTGGCCTTGATGGTTTCCGAGTGACGGTCGAAGAGCTTAAGGACTTGATCGTGGAGGACGCCGGGCGTGAAGTAGTTATAGTTCTTATATGAGAAAATAAGGAGATCCCACCACTCCTTCACGAGGTCCCCCAAGTCTGCCAGATCCGGGTGAAAGACAGGAATGACGAACTTGTCCACGCTGGAGGGATCCTCAAAAGCTTCCCTTTTGTTGTATTGAAGGACGTGATCCAAGGAGGAGTCGAAAAGACAATAAACAGTGGTGTGCAACCTTTGTGCTTCGACATTGCCTGGTGGGGGATCTTTGCACAACTCCTCGCGCCATTCGCCATTACCCTTGCGTGTCAGGCACAGATAGACCAAAACCCAGAAGAAAGATTCGATGTCGTGGATGACGGTCTGCTTCAATTTCTCGCCTGGCTTTCTCCGTGATCCGTTCGGACAATATTGTTGACCACCGAAAAGTTCGGCACTCATGAAAGCCTTAGTGCCCTGCGAAAGATGATCAGACTGCGATCAACCGGGTATGGCTGCACAAGACGCACTGTGCGCACGAGAGAGTCCACACCATCATCCATTTCCGGCCAGGATTTCTATTACGTTGTGAACAAGATATTTGATTTGACCGTGCGTCCCGGACTCACCGTTGGTATGAAATCTTCTACGGATCGCTTCATATAAATGTGAGTCACCGCCGAACACGTTTGAAATAGCGGGACCATACCTCGCCTGACCATGTCTCATCAACGGTTGTTACAAACTGGAAGGCTGCCTTTGCATGTGGGAAACAAGCCAGCAGATTTGACGCTGTAGTCCGAGAGATTTCTACATCGCCTAGCTTCGCCATTTGCACAAGTGTTTCGCATTGACTATCATCCGCCTGTGGGAAAGGATACGTAGCTCGGCACCCCTCCATTCTCCTTGAGTGATCAAGGTCAATCATGCAGCCAGCATATTTGCCGTCCGACTGGGGTACGATGATGTTACCGGGACTGATATCTCTATGGAGAACTTCTTTGAGCCACAGAAGTTGATGTCCTACGTCCACGCCGATCAGATTTGCATTGATGAAGGCGCGGGTCCTGCGAAAGGGTTTCTCACCTCTTATGGCATCGCGCATACCATCCAAGAGCTGGGAAATATTCTTGAATCTCTTGATGGCAAAGCCGCGTGTGGCCATCAACGTGTAGCTCCGAATGCGCTCCTCGGGCTGGTGAAAATCATCCAGAATGTGAAGCGTCTTGTCGTCTACCATGGCGATATGAACCACTTTATCGTTAACGTGCACGTCTTCATACGTCCTCTTCTTGGATTTCGACGTGTCGCCGTCACCCATGTCCGCGGGCTTGTCGGGGGTCACGCCTTGTCGAATCAGTTTCACGGTGCTGTCGAGAGCGCCTCCAACGTAAGCGTCCACTGAATACACGATTTTGACCACGGGAGCGTCATCCGGAAGGTCTGGTAGAAGGTCTGCTTCCAAGGCAGAGCCTGCGAGGCGCCACAGCTTTTTGAGAACAAAGAACTGTTCATGTAGACGTTAGTCGGAGATACGTGCCAAAGTGGGTGTCCTTACCTCTTTGGTCTCGACGTCTTGCACCTCCCACACCGTCGTCCCGCTGCTGCACATCACCCCCGAACGAGCGAGGCTGAGAGAATCCACAGTGCGGAACACTTGCTTGGACTGATCGGGCCTCTGTACGGTGATTTCCCATCGTGTCTTGTATATGGAACCCCTGAAGTCGGCCGGTACGACAGACGGGTCCGTGGGGTCGACGACTTCCCAATCGCCCTCGTCGTAAACTACTGTAGCATCGTCATCTCCATCGCCTGAGCCTTTAGCGCGGCGATCCGCGGCATCTGAGCCTTTCACCCTGCGCAGCAGTTTCATATCCGGGTCCCAGCCCACACGCTCAGGCGGCATCTGCGAAATCGACATGATGATCCGAACGAACATGAGGGGTTGCTGGGCACGGCCGCGTCAAGGAAGGTTTAAGCAGGGGCCGGAGGGGCGCACCTCGTGTATGTCGATGACGGCCTGGGTGCCTATCAAGCCAGACCTGTCGCATAGCCAGACCGAGAGCTTCGTGCCGCATAAAAGAAGTCCGATGACGAAGCGACGATTGATCTGTTCGCTGAGGACCAGACGTATATATCTGCACAATTGGGCGAGGGCGTCCGCGACGGTAGCTTCGTCCGAATCCTTCTTGACTTCCACCGGGACTTGAACGCGTAACCAATGCGGGCGGGGCTGATATAGTACGGCACATCAGCGTGAGCCACTGAGGAGACAAAGGATGCTATCGGTGAAGACGAACCTGTTCCACTTGCTCCTGCTTCCGCTCTGGGTGCTTCGGGGCGACCCTAAGGGTGGCCAAAATATCAGAGCGGAGCCTCGCCGCCGCCTCGTTGTCAGAAAGCGGAACAACGTTCGCGCCATTCACCCAATCCACATGCGTTCCCGGAGTCAGGTTGAACTCTTCGAGCATCTCACCGATTTCGCTCGCGTGTTTGAGAAACGGCTCATAGAGCTCTTTCTCTGCGGAGATGTGTTCTGGAAAATCAACCCAGCGTTTATTGACGTATCGTTGTGCTTTGAGCTTGTCCAAGACAAGCTCAGCGACGTCCGGTTCGACGCAAAGAATGTGATCCAGGAACTCTTTGGTGGAAACGGTGCAGGTATGCTTGTACAATTCGGCGGCTACTACGGTCTTCATGTGATCCAACGTTGGGGAACCGGTCTTGGAATGGTGATTGGAGGTATGAGGAGTGTCGCCGACTTGTCGAGCGTCGCTGGCCCGTGCCTGCGAGTCGGCGTCACAGAACGAGATGAGTGGCGGGTTGGCTGGGAGGACCATGGGTTAGGGTTTATTGCTGTTGAAATCGCAGCGTGGGGCATACGGTCGCACATCCCTCAGCTTAAATACGAAGGCTCAACTATCCGCCACACCAGCGACTCACAGTCGGTGGGTCCAAGGGAGGGTCACGGCGAGTCATCACTATCAACTACAATCAGTAGGTCGTGTGCTGGAACGACTAGATATGGGCTGCATTGTACCGCCGCCTCTGCTGCCGATCGTTTCTGCACTGCGCTGAGCATGCATCTTCTCATTATTCTTCGGGGCCGTCCGTTGATCCATGGACATTTTCACCCTCAATAGGTATGAACTCTCCGGACCGCCAGATCACTGTGCGCATATCGCGATACATATGCTCTTCGTTCGCCCTAAATTGGCATACACAATGGCTAGCCCCAGTTCTGCGATCAGCGATATCGCGGATTCCCGTCTCATTGATCTCCTGGTTTGGTATAGTGATCTTTACACGAGCCCATATGGGTGGGTACATCGATGGAGAAAGGGGGAGCTTTCACTTGTTATGGCGAACAACATGTTCGTCGTAATTACCGGAGAGGCTATATGATAACCTCCATCGCGTTCAATAGAATCTGATGCACAGCGCAGCACACGCGAAGAGGAAGTGGCAGGAGGGTGCTCGCCAGCGATGTTCTTAACGAGGTCTGCATGTTCTCAGAGGGAATGATCCCGAGGTATGCGTTAGAACCTGTGTTCGCGAGGCTACGCCTACATGTCCACTTAGTACCGATCAACTATTGTCGGAACGAAGCGCGCACCGGTGTCCAGGCGACAGAATTCGAGGCAACAACGCCATCAAGTCAACATGAGACCGGACACGAGCCGAAGTCACCCAGGCCAGATTCGGGGCGGGTTACAGCAGAATCCCGATTTTCCTGCAAAGACGCAGCGTCAAGCTGATTGTCCGATCTTGCTGCCGTGCATGCATCCATTGCGCAGGCCTCGGTAGACGTCCTCCGTTCACAGAACTCGGTCTTGATGGTTCCCCATTGACGTTCAAAGAGCTCGATGACTTGGTCGTGTAGGACGCCAGGCGTGAAGTAGTTGTAGTTCATATACGAGAAAATAAGGAGATCCCACCACTCCTTCACGAGGTCCCCCAAGTCTGCCAGATCCAGGTGAAAGATAGGAATGACGAACTTGTCCACGCTGGAGGGATCCTGAAAAGCTTCCCTTTTGTTGTATTGAAGGACGTGGTCCGAGGAGGAGTCGAAAAGACAATAGACGACAGTGTGGAGTCTTTGTGCTTCGACGTTGCCTCGTGGGGGATCTTTACACAACTCCTCGCGCCATTTGCCATCACCCCGGCACGTCAGGCACAGATAGACCAAAACCCAGAAGAAAGATTCGATGTCGTGGATGACGGTTTGCTTCAATTTCTCCCCTGGCTTTCTCCGTGATCTGTTCGGAGAATATTGTTGACCACCGAAAAGTTCGCCACTCATGAAAGCCCTTGGGCCCTGCGAAAGATGATCAGCCTGCGATTAACCGGCATGGCTGCACAAGACGTACCGTGCGCATGAGAGAGTCTGCGCCGTCATCCATTTCTGGCCAGGAGTTCTACTATGTTGTGAGCAAGATATTCGATTTGACCATGCATCCCGGACTCGCCGTTGGTATGAAATCTTCCAGGGATCGCTTCATACAGTCGTGAGTCATCGCCGAATACATTTGAGACAGCGAGACGGTACCTCGCCGGGCCAATATTTATGTACGGCCCCCATAAGAGCGAGCACGTCGAGTTCGCTGGGAAAAGCGGCCAGCAGATTTGACGCTGTAGTCCGAGAGATTTCTATATCGAGTAGCTTCGCCATTTGCACAAATTTCTCGCACTTGATGGAATCCGCCTCTGGAAAAGGATACGTAGCTCGGCGCCCCTGAGTTTCCCTTGAGTGATCAAGGTCAATCATATAACCTGCCTCGCCGCCCGACTGGGGGAGGACGAAGTTGCCAGGGTTGATATCTCTATGAACAATGCCATTGAACCACAGCTCTCGATGACCTAATGCCATTCGGTCAAACGACAGGGTGAGCATTGCCACACGCGTCCGCACCTTTGATGATAGCGTGCACAGCGTCCAAGAGCTGAGGAACGTTATTGAACATGTGGATGGGAGCAGTCGACGTTGCATGTGGCGATCAACCGGTGAGACGCGTACCGGCGTAAGAACGGGGCGAAACCACGAATTAGGGGCAGTCACCGTTGTTCGTCCAAACAAGAGCAGATAGTTAACATGGTGGATATCGGTATTGCCGTACGCTACGTTTCCTGATCAACGCGACCTGCTGAACGCGATTTTATTGTTTCTAGTCCAGAAACGGTTCAACTCGACGGACGTTCCTCCACCTTCCCCCGAGCCTCCGAGTTTTCACCCTCCTCCGCCTTCTCCGCCGTCGACGTCGCCACCGATCCGAGTCCACGTTCTTGCTCAACACGAGCGATGCTACGACCGCGACGCCGGACCACGGTATCAGGCTTCCAAGAAAAAAACCTATCCATCATCGGTCAGCTATTATAGAGGAAAGAGAGATCCTTATGGCGGCCTTACCAGTCGATCTCCCCGTGGTCGTCACGCCCGTTCACGCGCGCCATGAAGCCCAAGTGCGACCGCGGAGACGATATCCCGCTCAGCTGCATCGCAATCGTCGGCTACACAACCGGTCCTTTCCCCCTTCCCCCGGTCAACGCCGCTTTCCCCTTGTACGAAAAAAAAAGAAGGAGCGCCCCCGTCCTCCTGTCTAAACCACCCTGACGACGAATACGCCGACACAGAAACACACGAGCTGGACGCCGGGCTTGGCGGGCTCGAGCCCCCATGAGCGACGACGACGACGACGCACGAACGAACGAACGAAGATCCGGCGCCGAAGGCAGAAGAAAGACGGTCACGAGACCGAGACCCTCCCCGGAACGCAAAGGGACGCGCGCGCGTGCTAGCAGACCGACACGCCCCCGCCCCCCCTCCCCGCGAGCGGAAGAAAATGCGTGCTCCGTCGGGAGCGCGCCGTTCTGCCGCGAGCGCGCGCCGATGTCGCGCCTCCGCCCGCCCGTCCTGATCTCGGCGTCGTTGCTGCCGGTGCTCGAGGACCGTCTCCCGAGCGAGGAACGCGACGATGGTCCGGGTATGGGGTGGGCCCGGGGTGGGTGAGGTATGAGTGTGGAAAGCATGGATGCGTGGTACGGACGAGGAGGTATGCGGTTCCTGTCCAGCTGCGGGTCGTGGGTCGTCAGCGAGTGTTTTAGTACCGAGACGCAGATGACTCACCCAGGCAATCAAAGGCGGACTGCGAACATTCGTCAATGAGATGGGGCGCGGGACGTTACCGCGATATCAGGTTGGCGCGGTGGCGACCACTTTGCACGACAAGAAAACAGACATCAGTGAGTATCTCATCGAGGCCCGGAGCACGCATTACCTACGTGTATAATCCAGCGTGTCGAGATACAACGGGATAGCGGTGTGGTGAGATCGGGCGAAAGATGGCATAGCACAGGCGATTTCGGAAGCAAACCTCGGCTCAGGCGCGGATAATGTGTTGGGCACTGCCACTGTCGCGTGGCATGCCTACGGTCGCTGCGGCCTTGCGGTGCGCGATGTCGCGATCTGAAGGTGCAGCTTGATCGTGGCTATATGCAGGACCAGTGTCGCCCAGATGGACAGAATAGGACCGAGCGACGGAGCAACACCGAGCGGATCTGCCAAAACGACAAGGACGCGACGTTATCATGAGGTGCTCGAACCCGAAATCCGAGTTGCTGGTTCTTTGTGAACGTCTTGCCAACTTGGCCTCGTCATCCGCTCGAAGAGCAGACGACAGCGGAAATACCATGGGACGCAAAACCTCGGGATGGGCGGACCGTGCTCATCGTCATGTGCTACGGCCACCCCTCGAGAAGACCCGGCTGAGAACATCTGACGCAGGTTCGCAGACGCGAACAGAACGCGGCCGACGGTGTGCGCCCGCTTCTCGAGACGCAGCCTGAGGAATTCCTCCCCGACGACGTCAGGTGATCCCGCGCCCCGGCCCTGCCCCAGTCGGCGGGGCGTCATACGCGACCCTGCGCGCACACCGCCGGGAACATAAAAACGGGCGGCGGCGACACGAAAGCGGCGATCCCCAACCGCACACGGGAATGCTGCTCTGCAAGCTGAAGCTCGCCGCTCTGGCATGCGCCGCCCTCGCCGCCGGCACACTCGCCCGCACCGGCACCGGCACCCAGCGCCTCGCCGTGCGCGACCAGACCGACGGCCTGCAAGACATCGTCACCTGGGACGAGTACTCGCTCAAGATCAACGGCACCCGCGTCTTCATCTGGTCCGGCGAGGTAAACCTCTCCCCCTTCCCCCCTCCTCTCCCCTCCATCCCCGTCGCTCATCCGCGCCCCCAGGTCCACCCGTACCGCCAGCCGGTCCAGTCGCTCCACCTCGACGTCTTCCAAAAGGTCAAGTCCCTCGGCTTCAACGCCGTCTCCTTCTACGTCTTCTGGGGCATCCACGAGCCCAAGCGCGGCACCCTCTCCTTCGAGGGCTTCCGCGACCTCCAGCCGTTCATCGACGCCGCCCGCCAGGCCGGCATCTACCTCATCGCCCGCCCCGGGTCCGTCCTTTCCTCTCCTCCTCTCCCTCCCTCCGTATATGCACCGCGCTGACGCGCGCGGGTCAGACCTTACATCAACGCCGAGACGACCGCCGGCGGCTTCCCCGGCTGGGGCACGTACACCCCCGGCCTCTGGCGCACCTCCAACGCGACCTACTTTGACGCCTGGCAGGGCTACATGTCCGCCGTGCTCGACGTCGTCGCCAAGAACCAGATCACCGCCGGCGGGCCCATCATCCTCGTCCAGGTACCGTCTGCGTCCCCCTCTCTCGACTCTCTCCATCGAGTGACGACGGAAAACCGTAGAGCGAGAACGAATACACCGGCTTCGCGTCGGGACACTCGGAGGACTTGACGTACGAGCAGGAGCTGCTCACCGCCATCGTAACGCACCCCCAGCTCGTTCCCCGCACCTCCTGCGTCGCTCACCTAAGCTTCTCCTCTTCCCAACAGCGCAACGCCGGCGTGCTCATCCCCACCACCTTCAACGACGCCTCCCAATCCGGGCACTACCGCTCCGTCGACATCTACGGCTACGACTCGTACCCGAACGGCTTCGACTGCTCGCACCCGACCGTCTGGTCCCCCTCCGCCGTCCCCGAGTCCTTCTGGTCCACCCACCTCGCCCTCTCGCCCAACAAGCCGAACGCGGTGTACGAGTTCCAGGGCGGCGCGTTCGACGGCTGGTGCGCGTGACCCTTCCCCCTCTCCTCTCCCCATTCTAACGCTGCGATCCGTGGCGTAGGGGCGGTTCGGGATACGACACCTGCGCCGTCCTCACCGGCCCCGAATTCGAACGAGGTCAGCGTGCGCTTTCGGATGACGTATACGGCGTCTGACCTCACGCGGGCGATGACAGTGTTTTACAAGAACGAGCTCGCGATGGCGACGACGATGCTGAACCTGTACATGATCTACGGCGGCACCAACTGGGGCGGCATCGCCCATCCGGGCGTCTACACCAGTTGCGTTTTCCTTCCCTGACACGTTCCCTGTCCTGTGGTCTTGTTCATCTAACCGGGCCGTCGTTCGAATTCTACCCCAGGCTACGACTACGTACGCGATCTCTCTCTCTCTCTCTCTCTCTCTCTTTCGTCCTCTCCAATTCCGATTTGATCTGATTTTTTTGTTTTGGATCGTGACCAGGGCTCGGCCATCGCGGAGGACCGCACCCTGCGCGAAAAGTACTACGAACTCAAGCTCCAGGCGCACTTCGTCCGCGTCAGCCCGGCGCTGCTCACCACCCGCCCGCAAAACGTCGGCGCCGCCGCCCAGGGCGCGTTCACCGGCAACAGCGCGCTCAAGACGATCCAGACGCTCGACGTCGTCGGGAACAAGACCGGGTTCTACGTCGTCAGGTACGTTGCGCCCCCGCCCTCCCTCTATTCCTTTATATATATATATATATTCATCAAACGATCGTGCAAAGGCAAGCGGACGCGTCGGCGTTCACCACCCAGAACTATACCATCGCGCTGCCGACGAGCGCGGGCAACCTGACCGTGCCCCTGCTCGGCGGGTCGCTCCAGCTCCGGGGGAAGGACTCGAAGATCCACGTCGTCGACTACGAAGCGGGCGGCACGACGCTGCTCTACTCGACCGCAGAGATCTTCACCTGGTGCGCTCCCCCAACCCATCAACCCATCGCCGCTCCCGCCCGCTGACCCCGCCCTCTCTCTCTCTCTCGCGCGCGCGCAGGGCGACGATCGACGAGCGCGACGTGATCGTCGTGTACGGTAACGCGGGCGAGCTGCACGAGACCGCGATCATGTTTAACGGTACCGCGGCGCCCAAGGCGACCGTCGTCTCCGGCGGTCGGGCCGTCAAGCAGAAGGTCGCGAACGGCGCGCTCGTGCTGCAGTTCACGACCGCCGGCCAGACCGTCGTCCAAATCGGCTCCGGCGCGCTGCTCTACATCCTCGGTAACGTCCGCCCTTTCGCTTCTGCGCGGATTTCTAAACAGAGCCTTTTTTTTGACGTCGTACGTAGACCGCCCGACGGCGTACGAGTTCTGGGTCCTGCACCCCGCCGACCCGGCCCTCGGCGCCTTCGCCAACTTCACCACGTCCACCGCCCCGGTCATCGTCAAGGGCGGCTACCTCCTCCGCTCCGCCTCCCTTTCCCATGGCACCGTCCACCTCGTCGGCGATTTGAACGGCACGGCGTCGTTCGAGGTCGTCGCGCCCGCCGCGTTCGGGCGGGTCACGTTCAACGGCGCGCCGTTGAGCGCGACGAGGAGCAAGTACGGCACGCTGATCACGGCGAAGAGGGAGGCGCGGTTGCCGGCGGTCACCGTGCCAAACTTGTCCTCGTTGACCTGGGTACGTGCGCCTTTTTTTTTTTTCATTCCATGTCCCGTCAGTCGCTGTTAACCACCCGCGTCCGTATAGAAAACCGCGGACAGCCTTCCCGAAATCACCGCCGACTACTCGGACGCGCTCTGGCCCGTCGCGAACCACACGACGACGGTGAACCCGACGCAGCCCCAGACGCCCGGCGTCGTCCTCTACGCCGGCGACTACGGCTTCCACACCGGCAACGTCCTCTGGCGCGCCCATTTCACCTCGTCCGGGTCCGAGACGGGCGTCGCGCTCTCCGTCCAGGGCGGCGCCGCGTTCGGGTTCTCGGTCTGGCTCGACGACGACGGCCGCTTCCTCGGGTCCTGGGTCGGCGATAACCTGCACGGCGCGGCGACGGCCGCGTTCGCGTTCGACGGGACGCTCGGGGCCGGGGAGAAGCACGTGGTGACGGTGGTGCAGGACCATATGGGGTACGAGGAGGACTTTACGGCCGCGTCGGATTCGTTCAAGGCCCCGCGCGGGATCTTGTCGTTCGGCTTTACGGGCGGGAACGCGACCGTGGACACGTGGAAGGTGACCGGGAACTTGGGAGGGGAGGACGTGCGCGACATTTTCTTGATCGTTGCGCTCGGGTTCAGATCGCTGAGCGTTGCGATTTTGCTTTCCTCTCTCTATAGTTTGTCGACGAGACTCGTGGTCCTCTCAACGAAGGCGGGTTGTTCGGTGAACGACAAGGATGGCATCTCCCTGGCTTCGACGACAGTAAGTGGGCGGAGGGCAAGCCGACCGACGGGATCTCGCAGCCCGGGATCAGCTTCTACCGGTGAGTTTGGCATGGCGTGCCCGGGCCGGGGACGAGAGACTGACGCGAATGCTCAGCACGACGTTCGACCTCGACGTTCCCAGCGGCGTCGACTACCCCATCGGCATCGTGGTCACGAATTCCACCACGAACCCGCATTTCCGCTCGCAGGCACGTCAAACCGACACCGATGTTTTCCCGCTTTGTACTTACAAGATTCCCCTCTTTCCAACAGTTCTACGTGAATGGCTATCAGTTTGGCAAGTTCGTGAACCACGTAGGGCCGCAAAAGGTGTTCCCAGTCCGTGAGTCGAGACGCTCGTTTGTTCCAGGAAGACGAAGAGTGGACCGACCTCTTTTTTTTTTCCCACAGCGGAGGGCATCCTGAACTACCACGGGAAGAACACGCTCGCCGTCTCCCTCTGGGCACACGACGTAGGAGGAGCCAAGCTCGACAGCATCGCGCTCGAGGTCCTCGCGAAGGTGGACAGCACGAGGGGGCCCGTGACGAACCAGCCGGCGCCTGCCTGGACGGCCCGCCCTGGCGCGTACTGAGCCCGTTCCGAAAAACCGCCCTTGTAGCGCCAAAGAAGCGGAACGAATGTACGTTAATTACAGGGTGTGCTCGGTCGGTGAATGGACACGTTCGGATAAAGACGGCATGCGGCTGCGACTTCCTCATGGTCATGTGCTGGGGTACTGCTATGCTCACAGCGCTCCTTCTCAGAAGTACCTGTCACCGAGCTCTGGGCCGATCGCCCCGGGCCAACCACGAAGCTCGTCAAATGATGTTCGCGAGCCATGTTCCTCCGTCGTGCATTTTGCCGAGAAATGCCCGCGATCAGAGACGGTGTCCGCTCTCGGACTCGGTACTTGTCCTCGAGCACCGACGAATCTATAAGATCAGAAAAGTCCGATGTTGTTCAAACGGGACGCTTCATCATGTTGCTCGTCCGGCTGCTGGCGAGCGTGAGCGTCGCGTTGACATGGTTCTCTTTGCTGATTGCAGCTACGCGTCCTCGGAGCGGGCGCCGTCTCGTTCTCGATACTCGGCAGGTTCAAACCGATGGGTACCAGGACGTCGTCACTTGGGACGAGTACTCCTTGATGATCAACGGAACGCGCCTGTTCATATGGGGCGGAGAGGTGCGTCGCACTCTTCATCTATCCCTGTTCCCGTTGATCTGATGCTAGCGCGCGCCACACGCTTCAGGTTCACCCTTACCGCATGCCGGTTCAGTCTTTGCACCTCGACGTCTTCCAGAAGATCAAAGCCATGGGACTCAACGCGGTTTCGTTCTACGTCTTCTGGGGGATCCACGAGCCGAAGCGTGGAGAGATCTCGTGGGAAGGCTTCCGCGACCTTCAGCCTTTTATCGATGCTGCGATGGAAGCAGGGCTGTATCTTATTGCGAGGCCAGGGTATGTAACGTTGTGACTGCCTGGTTCTTCGACCTCTGAATGCGGGCTTATAGTCCGTATATCAATGCGGAGACCACCGCAGGAGGCTTTCCGGGATGGGGAACCTACACTCCCGGCCTCTGGCGTACGGAGAACGCGACGTACTACGACGCTTGGCAAGAATACATGGCTCAGGTCGGCGGCATCATAGCCAAGAACCAAATCAGCAACGGCGGTCCTATCATACTCACTCAGGTAATGTGCATAAACCGAGGCGGCGAAAAGGCGATCCTGACATGGGTACTTTTTCAGTTAGAGAACGAGTACAGTCTCGCGCAGGCGCCTTTGACCGAAGATTTCACCTATGAACGGCAGCTCATTGATGCCATTGTACGTCTGGAGTCATCATCTCACCGCTTCCTCTAAAACGCGACTTACAAACACAACAGCGGGCCGCGGGAGTGACAGTGCCCACAACGCATAACGACGCCTGGCCCCATGGGAGTAACGATATGGTTGACATCTATGGTGAGCGTAGAGAGCATGTGAGCGCGGCGGAGCTAACTTGAGTTCTATGAAGGCTATGACTCCTACCCGAATGGCTTTGATTGTGCGCATCCGTATACCTGGGCTTCGGATGCAGTGGCCAATACCGAGTATTTCTGGGGCGCGCATCTGGAGGTAGCAGTGTCACTTGCATCTCAATGCCATAATCGTTGAATAGCCTCACAGTATAATCCCGAAGATCCCAATGCGGTATACGAGTTTCAAGGAGGAGCCTTCGATCCTTGGTATGCCCCTTATGTTGTATCTCAGTATGCTATGTTGACGTGAGTCATTCGAAGGGGCGGTTCTGGGTATGAAAACTGCGCTGTCCTGCTAGGACCTGAATTCGAACGAGGTGAAATCGTTTTGAATTCGCAAATTATGGTTGAGGTTCTCACGGGATCGACCCTAGTGTTCTACAAGCATGAGCTGGCGATGTCGACGACATTGCTGAACCTGTACATGGCATATGGTGGAACTAACTGGGGCGGGATCGCGCATCCCGGGGTGTACACTAGTGCGTCTGCCGCGGGGTTATTCCGGAGATCGTTCGACTAATTTCAGCTACAGGTTATGATTATGTACGCGTCAGCCCTCGATCGGCACGCGTAATCGTCTGATGGCGACTATAGGGCTCAGCTATCGCAGAAGATCGTACCCTCCGCGAGAAGTACTATGAACTCAAACTTCAGGCCAGCTTCATCAGCGTTTCGCCGGCATTTCTGACCGGCCGACCTCAAAACGTCAACGCAGCGCAGGCAGCATTCACAGGAAACCCCGCTCTAACCACACATCAAGTTCTCGACGTGGTGGGAAACCAAACAGGATTTTACATTGTAGCGTACGTGGGCATGTCATGCTCCGACTTCCATCCGTTTTTTATTCTGAAATACAGGCAAAATGACACATCTTCTACGACTTCGGTTTCCTATCGCCTGACGGTGCCAAGCTCCAAAGGTAGCCTGAGCATACCTCAATTAGGAGGCTCCCTCACGCTTAACGGGAGAGACTCCAAGATACACGTCGTCGACTACAGTGCGGGTTCGACCACACTACTGTACTCCACTGCCGAGATCATGACATGGCAGGTTGCCCCCTCACATAACATCGGACTCAGCTTACCTGGCATTACAGGGCCACGATTGGCAACAGGGATGTTGTCGTTCTGTACGGCAATTCCGGCGAGCTCCACGAGACTGCAATCAAAGCCAGTAGCGCAGCAAACGCAAAGGTCGTCTCTGGCACTGGCAATGTCAAACAAGCCAATCGGAACGGAACGTTGGTGATCCAGTACACAACCAGCGGACAAACCGTGGTCGAGATTGGTTCCAGTGTGCTGTTATACATCTTAGGTCTGTGGCGAGTCTTTCTCCCCCAGGAATCTGTGCTCAGATCCATTATGAAGATCGTACTGAAGCTTACGAGTTTTGGATCCTTCACACTCCGGGAACCGGTGCATATGCTGCGTTTAACGCTGAGAATCCCGTTATAGTCAAAGGCGGCTACTTGCTTCGCTCGGTTTCAGCATCGGATGGGACGCTCGCTCTGAAGGGTGACCTGAATGGCACGACGTCTTTTGAGATAATTGCACCCTCTGCTATCACGAAGCGAATTACGTTCAACGGAGACAGTCTATCGCTAACAAAAACAAAGTACGGGACATTGGTAGCAAAGAAGAATGCTCGCCTCCCTGCGGTCACGCTTCCGCATCTTGCGACCGCCGCTACTTGGGTACGCCATATTTCGGGGTATTGACCATTCGACTCATATGGCTTCGCTCAGAAAACCGCCAACAGCCTCCCGGAGATCTCCAGCGCGTATTCGGATGCACCGTGGACAACCGCAGATCATAACTCGACAGTGAATCCCACGCAATCTCTCACCCCTGTGGTTCTCTATGCTGGCGACTACGGCTATCATACGGGCAATATCTTGTGGCGCGCTCATTTCAATGCGTCCGGAGCGGAACGCGGTATCACACTGAATGTTCAGGGTGGCTCGGCGTTCGGTTATTCCGTGTGGTTGGACTCTTCCTTCCTCGGTTCTTGGGAGGGAAACGCCGTCAACAGCAGCTGGGAACAGACGTTCCCCTTCAAATCGACGACGATCAGATCCCGCTCCACCCACGTCATCACGATCCTTCAGGACCACATGGGATACGAAGAAGACTGGACGTCAGCTTCGGACGATTTCAAAACGCCTCGGGGTATTCTCAGCTACTCCTTCGTCGGAAGCAATAGCACCGTCGTTGGGACATGGAAGGTAACTGGTAATCTGGGGGGAGAAAGCGTGCGTGCTATCCAATGCAAGTGGAGCCCAGAAGCTGACCATGAGCCTTCCGCCCTTCAGTATGCAGATTCGGCCCGGGGACCCCTGAACGAAGGCGGATTATTTGCAGAACGACAAGGTACTTCACTCGAACCTGAAAACGCATGATAGACAAACTGACGTTCCCTCAGGTTGGCACCTTCCCGGGTTCGACGACAGCAAATGGGCTGCGGGCAAACCCACGTCCGGCATCTCGCAAGCAGGTGTTGCTTTCTATCGGTGGGATGGTTGATCGTCAGCGCGAATCATGCTGATATCCTCACAGAACGACTTTCAGTCTCGACGTCCCCACCGGCGTGGACTACCCGATAGGTATCTCCATCACCAATTCCACGAGAACGTCCCACTTCAGAGCTCAAGTACGTCAATTTCCTTGGCTAGTTGCAGTAGAGGTTCCGGTTCTAACCTTCCCATCTTTCTGCAGCTTTATGTGAACGGTTACCAGTTCGGCAAGTACGTCAACCACATAGGCCCCCAGTCCGTCTTTCCAGTTCGTAAGTAGCCTTTCGGCCTGTACGTAGATATATGTGCTCACGCTCCATCATACTAGCGGAGGGTATCTTGAACTACCATGGAGAAAACACCCTTGCCGTGTCCCTATGGGCTCAAGACGCGAGCGGAGCCAAACTAGAAAGCATAGATCTCCAGGTACTCGCCAAACTGGACAGCTCGATGCCCGCTGTGACCAACCAGCCGATGCCTAAATGGTCCAAACGCCCGGGAGCGTACTAAGCTTCTCGGAGCTGCGACGACGCGAGATGGGATGGGTATCTCAATCGCTATGCACGTGTGGATGGCTTACGGTGGGGCAGTCAAGATGCAATCTTCCAAGGTTTGCTCTATCGCCCTGTTTCTACCCGATCCTCGTGCTACGTAACTACATGAAACAAACAGCCACCAAACATATGAGTATGCGAACGATGCAATAGAAGTTCACGCCGCTACGCTCTCACTCGATCAAGTCTCGGCGGGAATACTAATCCTCCTCGGACCCGTCGTCCGCAGTGCTTGACTCGTCGTCCGATCCATCATCAGCGGCATCAACATCAGCCTCTGAATCGTCTGTCGAATCGTCCGTGGAATCATCCGCTCCATCGGAGCTGTCATCGGCAGAAGTGGTGTCAGCGTCGGTAGTGTCGATGGTAGAGTTGGCACCGGTAGTATCGATGGAGGTGGAGTTGGCACCGGTGGTGTCGACGGAGGTGGAGTTAGCGCCGGTACCGTCGATGATGGTCGAGTTGTCCGAGCTATCCCCAGTGTCGACGACGGTGGAGTTGCCAGCAAGAGACGGATCCACGCTCCCGTCGTCCGCGTCGGTGGAATCGTCGGTGCCGTCCGCATCCGTCCCATCCTCAGTGGCAGTGGAATCGACGTCCGTTCCATCGGTGCCGTCAGTGACATCGGTACCGTCGGTGCCATCATCCTCGGAATCGACCGACGGATCAAAGCCGGCGGACGGGTCGACGCCTGTAGTGTCGAAACCGGTGTTGCCGAAGCCGGTGTTACCAAAGCCCCCATTCAGGCCGTTGTTAATGACCTGCCCGATGGTATCTCCAACGACCTGTCCCGCAATGGTAGTACCGAAACCGCTTCCGGCGTTGGAATTGAATCCAGAGCCGGAAGCGGTCTGGTCTGTAGTGGAAGTGGTTCCCGTGGATGTGCCACTTCCGGACGAGGTAGACGTTTCCTCCGACTCTTCCGCGGAAGTGGTAGACGTGGAAACGGTCTCCTTGCTTGCAGCAACGGAGGTGGAGGTGGTGGAGGTCTCGAGCGCTGAGGATGTCTTGCTCTCAGTCTCTACCGAACGCAGAGAGGTGGTCAAGGCTACGGAGCGGGTTGAGGTCTCTGGTTCCTCTTTGCTGGTCGTAAGGCGGGCGACGGACGTCGTGGCACGCGCGGCAGTGGTCGTGACGCGTGCTGCAGTCGCGGTAGTATGCTCAACGACTGCGGTAGTGCGGGCAGCGGCAGGGGTCTCGCGGATAGGGGTGGCCTTCGCAGGGGTGGCCTTCACGGGCGGGGGTCTGACGGGAGCTGGCCGTGCGGCGGGCTTGGGCCGGGAGGCGATCTTCGGCCTGCTGAACCGCTGTGTCCGAAAGAGAGACTCGCTTGTCAACGAATACGCTACTACAGGACCGATTTACTTACCACTCGTCGTTCGAGGCTGTTAGGATCGCCAATGGGCGCAGCAAGGCCGCTTGCGATGAGCGCAATGACGATGTACGCGAGGAGGAAGCGTGAGGATAGCATCATGGAAGGTCGTGGGATCGGCGACCGGCGACGAGGAACTGAGGGTACCCAAGGATCGGCAGAAGACAAGAGGAAATAGAGCAAACAAGGTCCGACCTGCAGATCGATTAGTCAGTTGATGTCCTTCGTGAATTTCGAGGGCAAAAAGGACGTACTTATCAAAAGCCAGGTAAAAAGAACGAAGGTCGAATGAGACTCGAAGAGAGACTAGGGCTTCGTGACGGAGACATGAGCCTTATAACTTCGCTCGCGTTGCTTTGACTTGAAACACTATCGGGAGTCGGGGAGAGAACGATGATGCGGGTCGCAGGGCACGCACAGCACTCAAATCCGAAACGCAGTAAAGCAAGTCTTACCGCTGATCTTGGCTCCGATCGATGCAGTATATGGCCGTCCTCGTCGCTGAACGAGGCGGGGGCACTTCTGTGATTCCGCGCCAACTTAGATGTTTCCAGCTACAATGCAAGCGACTGTTCCAGTCATCGACTCGCCAGTACAGTGATCTTGACGGTTTCGTTAACAGGGTTGGAACGCGATACTGGGACAGGGTGAGAGACCTTCAAAGCTTTGTGCCTGCTCGGTGGAGAGCTCGCACTCAGATTTCACAGCAGCCAAGCGCTGGCCAGCCAAGAGTATCCGACTGGATCGTGTGGATCCGAAGTACGAGGCAATCGAGCATGCGAGGCAGTCGGAATGAAGGACCGCCACTGGTAGCATCATTCTTCTATACGATGCGACGCTGACGTACGTTCAAGCAGTAAAGAGCGATCCAAGCAGGAACCCGCGTTGGGAAGTTTCACTGTACACGTGACCTTCAATGATGAAGAGGAAATGCTCCGGTTGGAACGAAACTCGTCATGCAACAAATGCTACAATGCAAGTTTCTGCTTTCTCAGTGCCAGGTTCTCAATGTTGGCACCGGCAGTGTCATATGCTACTTGGGAATGGTGCCGTCCTCCACCAGCTCTCGTATCCGCTGTAATGCCTTCTCTATCTCAGCTCCAAGTCTTGCCGCCACGACCTTCGCCGACGGAGGCTCCCCACCCTCGGGTTCACCCAGTCCCCCAACGAGGATGTTAATGCATGTGATGCTGAAGTACAGCTCGTCATTCGGACCGTATGATATAACGTCTTCGATGAATTCCCCGTTAGGATATGTTCCGCGAGCCTGAAGGCGACGTTGAATCATTGTCAGAGCCTGTTTCGCGAAGCACGGTTTGCTTGGTGTGCCGACACTGACCATTGTGTTTGCGTAGAACCAGCATGGCTCTGAAATGAGCGTCGGGTTGCCTTTGAGCCGTATATTCCTTACAATCTGCGTCGACGTTTCAATATGATGAAGCCAAGTGGGATGTAGCTCGCCTTGTCCCCGTGGTCTTCTGCGAGTTCGGAAAAGGTGATGAGATCCACGAACGTGGTCGGATGCCTAAGCTTGATTTCGAGTCCTTCCCATACTTGCGCCTCCGTGAGCACGATAGAGCATCCTGGAGGGTTAACAGGGCGAGTAGCAGAGATGCTCTTCACGACGGACATTGTAAAGAATCGGGATATTGCCACTGAGCCTGGATTGCTCGAGCGTAGCCAGTACTTATACGTACCCAAGATCAGCGGGGCAGTGTCTTATCACACAAGCGTAACACATACGCTAGTTCCCCACGGCAGCGGAGAAGCCTCCTTCGGATCAGAGAGTTCCGCGTGATTGAACGGGACAAAACGAAGTTCGTCCTGAAGAAGCGCTGACTCAGAGCATAGTGCATTCTCAGGAATGCCCCGCCAACTGCAGATTTCAGACACAAAAGAGTCGCCAGGAATGTGTCAAGCAAGCTGTGTCAGACAGTATTGACCGACAGCTAAGCACAAGCAGTATGCCATGTCCCGTGTTCAGACACGCGCCTAATTGGAGTTCTAGAGTCCCAGAGCGACGTGAAAGGTTCCGCGCGAGTTCCGTCAATTCCCGCGAGACTCGGACTATTGTGAGAGTCCTTCTTGAGTGTAGGTAGTAAGCGTCGAAAGTCAGACCTAGAATAATATATAGATGCCGAAATCATTACACGAACTGGGATCGACGCACCACTGCTACGATCGTGGATATCGTTGCCTCGGCTATGCAGTAATAGTACCGTCCTCTACCAGCTCCCGTATCCTCCGCAACGCTCGCTCGATCTCAGCCCCGACCCTTGCGGCTACTACGTTCGGCGGGGGAGGCTCTGGCCCTCCGTTAAGCTCGCCAGGCAGGACATCGATGCAATTGAAACTCAAATATAGCTCGTCGTTGGGTCCGTAGGATACGACGTCCTCAACGAAACCCCCGTTGGGGTACGTTCCACGAGCCTGAGCATCTCGATCGGTATTCTCGTATGTCGATGAGTATGAAGCGTTGGCTGACCATGGTGTTCGGGTAGAACCAGCATGGTTCAGAGACGAGCTCCGGGTCGTTGCCGAACTTGACCTTTCTAACGATCTACGAGGGCGGATCAGCTAGGAACGGCAAAACGGGTCTGTCGAGAAGGGGCTCACCTGGTCTCCATGATCCTCTGCGAGCTCGCAATAGGTGACAGTCTCCACGAACGTGGTCGGATCCCTGATCTTGATCTCTAGTCCGGCCCACAGCTGCGCCTCCGTGAGTACGGTGGAGCATCCAGGCGGGTTGACGGGTCGAGTAGCAGAGATGCTCTTCACGACGGGCATTTCGATACTGTCGTTACGGATGCCCGCGCGCTGCACTTATACCCCGGGCTAGCAACGCAGAAGCGCGCAAAAAGGCCGGCTGTAATCCCCATCGTTGCGTGCCGCGTTAAGGGCGAGCGGGATCGCCCAGAAGCCAACTCCGCATTCGCGAAACGCGAAGTCGTCAGCGTCAGCAGCGTGGTGAGGCTGGGTTCTCAGGAGCTGCCGGGTCATCGTCGTATTGCCAGCGGCCAGCACAAGTACCCAATTCAAACCGAAACGGGTATGTATGTAGAAACGCGCCGGTGGGGGCGAGTCTGAAACTTGCCGTCCACGCCTTTCTCATCGGGCGGCCGCTATGAAAGTATAACCTCGGTGTTGATTGAGTGGGATCGAATATCGCATATCGTAGACCCGGGGGTTTAAGATAAATCGTTGGTCTCACGACATGGTGGAGAGACGAGAGCACCCCATTGGTCCTCACCACGTGGAACGTCTCGTAGGGTTGCCGAGCCTGGCCTCCAGAGCAGCCTCGACCACCTACGGTCGGCAGGCAATACAAATACATATATCCGTATATGATGCGGAGGATTCGCGCGTCGGCCCTCCCGGTTAACTTCTTGTCTTCATGACCGACGGTTTGCGCCTGCGCAGTGGAATACCGTATCACTCTGCACTCATCTAAATCTACGTTACATCGCGCACGATACTCCGAACCCCGTCCCTAGGAATAGCATCTGTATCTCAACGAGAAAACCTCTCAGGCCTCAAGGACCGCCCTGCGAGATGCCCAGGTCCTCGAGCTTCCCGGTCGCTAGGTCGTAGACCCATCCGTGGATGTGGAGCGACTTGCCCTGCTTCCACGCGTCGACGACCGGACCGCTTTGGGCAAGATTGGCGACCTGCGCCTTCACGTTCGCGTACACGAGCTCCTTCAACGGATCTGCTCGATCGCAGTCAGCCACGGGGCGTCAGGAGGGAGGAGAGAGCGCAGATGTTGGGGGATCGGATGGGCCATCGGGTAACGTACCGGTCGGTTTCGACGCTATCACTTCTCCTGCGAGCTTGACGAGCGGCGCGAGCCACCTGTTGATGGGCGCGTCAGAGCCTAGGGGGGGAACGGCGAGGTCGTCGTTCAGTGCCGCCGTATGCGTCGCCGCCGCGCCGCCGCAGTGGGTGTGTCCGACGATAACGACGTGCTCGACGCCGACGGCCGCGATCGCGTACGTCGCCACGGACAGCGCGCTGTCGTCGTGAAGGTGGAACTGGCTGATCGGGACACTGCGGGGTCAGCCCACCCGCTCCCTGCGCGAGACCTCGGCGCTGGCACGACGTACTTGGCGATGTTGCGGTGCACGAAGATGTCTCCGGGCTTGGCCGCCGTCACGACCGACTCTGGCACGCGCGAGTCTGAGCAGCCTATCCAGAGCACCTTCGGCGACTGCCCCTTCGCCCCTCTCTCGAAGAACCCTGGTTCGACCTGCTCTACGTCGGACGCCCACTGGGCGTTGGCGGACAGGAGTCGCTCCAGTACTGGGAAGCTGTGGGCGGAGGCGGCCATGGTCGAGGATATCGTGTATTAGGTTGGTGTATAGGAGGGATAACGATGTTGTTGGAAGGACGCAATGACGGGCGCCTCAAATACCGGACGTTCTATCGCTAGGCCCGGACGTTGCCTGAGCGGCGATCAAATCTCGCAGAATCTCCCCTGGGCTTTAACCGCCGCTCTGATAGATGTCCCAACGGCAACGGTTGTGCTCGGAAATAGACATATAACTATTTCCCACGCCTTCAACGAGGCAGCCGCGGTAGTAGTTTATCCTCTATTCAATCGCGCAGCGAAATGTAAATAAGGTATATAGCGTCGACCATAACCCGTCGATCGATCATGGGTACAGTAGGACACAGCTCAGGCGCTGCGATCGTGCGTCTCGAATCTTAAGGAGGGGGTAGGCCCAGGAAGACCCTGCACGCATCCCGCTTGGCTGCGGTATCGCCCCTGATGGGCTGGTCGTAGCTCTTGAGGATGTACTCATAGCGTTCCTGTGGCGCCCCAATGAGCAACTATCCGGGCGGAGCTGAGCGGGACAGCATGGCTTACCTCTGTGATAACGACAGTTCGCAGAGAGGAGCCGGCCGATCGGGTTAGTTCATGTTATAAGAGCGCGGGATTAAACGGTGATACGCAACTGGTAAGATGCTCGAATTCGCCTTTGGTGTTGGGGAAGTTGGCGGGAGTTTTACCGTTCTTCATGGGGAGCGGCTTGATCTGCATCTTCTGCTGCGTGCATGTCGCGTTGTGCAGGCGCGCGTAGAGACGGCTTTGGCTGCGAAACGGGATCAGCCGCGTCAGTGACGTCCCCCGTGCGATGCCGACTCGGTTTTGAACAACGTACTCGAGTCTGAAGTTCTCGATGAGCTCCGCGATACGCGTCTCCAGCTGCGTGGTAACGCGGCCCATCACGGCCTCCATGTCCTCCTCCGCGATGCCGGGCGTCCGCTTCTCGGACGGTTTCGGCGTGTGCTCCTCCTGGATCTCCGACGCGGCGCTGCTCTGCACGCGGCTGTCGCTCGTCGTGCTCAGGCGGTCCATCTGGCTGCGGAGGTCGTCGAAGTCCTCGTTGAGCATGGTCTGCGCGCGCTCGACCTTGTCGATCCGCGAGGAGAGCTCGTTCAGCGCGGCCAGGACCGCGCTCGGGTCGAGCGAGGGCCCGGCGGAGGCGCCGGGGGTGGCGGAGACGAACGTCTTGGACGCCGCCTGGAGCTGTTCGGCCATCGCGCTGAAGGAGGCCGAAAGCGCGTTCATGTGCGCGCGCACGCGCAGGTCGGGGTGCGAGCTGCCGGTGCGTAGGACGGTGGGGGTGCTCGTGGCGGCCGGCGTCGCCGGGGGGTAGGGCGTGGGCGGGTACGAGGGCGGCATCGGCTGCGAGGAGGACGAGCTGGGGAGCATGGAGAGCGTGAGGGGCTTGGCGTCGAAGTAGATCCCTTGAGAGAAGCTCGTCTCCGCGACGGTGGGCGAATAAAGGTGAGTGAGCGTTGGAGCGCCTGGGACCGCCGGAGGGGATTGGGGGGTGGTGCTCTGCATGATGTATTGCGTTGCGGAGGTAGAGAAGGTGGGATGGGCGAAACGACGCTACGGAAGGCGCTGTAACGTCTCTCGACAGAATTGTGGTGCGGCCTCTTATTCATGGTGAGCGCGGCCCCCGATGCAACAAATCCGGGAGGGGCGTGCGCAGAACGCGGTCGCGTAGCCTATCGGTAGCCTGCGCTTTCCAAGTGCCGGGGAGGAGAGCCGTGGGCCGTGTCAGAGTATGCGCCGCAGCTGCGGGAGGGGCGGCGCTGAATTGACGGGGACGTGGGAGTCGCAGAGGCCGGTGTGAGACACTTCGGACGCGGCGTTGGGTATGGACAGCCGGGATAGGATGTAATGCCCATGGATAGGAGGTATTCAGCAGGGCAGTATGTGAAACGCGCATGTAATCGTCGTCGGATGCCCAACGGATGCCAGGAAGCCGGATGGTGCTGGACATAGCTTCAGTGCTGCCGGACGGAGGGCTTGAGAATGGCAAGGGCCACGGTTGATGTAGAGCGCTCTGGAGTCGCTAATCAGAGCCTGGAGTTGGATACAGTATCATTGAGGACGTACTCATGGAAAGTTCTGCTACCTCCTGTCGCACCGCAATCTCGCTGCCATACGTCCAGAGTGCAGTCGCAGGGTTTCCGATCGTGGGATCAATGAACGTATTCCTATGACCAGAAAGCAGCTTCCAAGAGTCCTTTGTCCAAGGCCGTCGTGCTCGTTGTCATGTCTATAAAGTCAATTGAGCTGATCTTGCAGAGTAGGTGCAACGATACTCGGTCGAGGAGAGCAAGTGGGTGCCACTCATGGGCTGATGGCGTGGTAAATCTTGCACCAGTTCCCGTATACCCTGACCAGCAGTTCGAGCCACTCGCGGCTGGTCATATCCTTACGATCTCCACCCTTGATTTTATATGCTGCGTCTGTAATGCTACAGAATGTGGTACTGATTTATATTACAACTGCTTTGATGTCTGTGGAACCGACACATTCACCTTCTGACCTCTCGAACGACTTGTGACAGATTGCTAAGATTAGAATTCGAGTTCAACGAATATCCAACAATACGCCCCTTAGCCTACCTGTCAATCTTCCTACACTTTGGGTCATGAAAGATAGGAACACGTCAGCCCACTCCATGGAGAGGAGCTACGTTCACGGCGCTCCCAAGCTGCTCGTTGCACCAGGCTTCTCATATGCAACTCTGCTGGACTCTACGCTGGCAGATCGGCTCGAATGCCGTCTCAAGTCTTCTATCTACGTCAGCATCGCCGTATCGAGGCACATGTATTGCTGCTGGACAACGTTGCAGAAGGCTCGTAAACTATCCGGACACACAACTACCAGCATGGACCCACTGCGAGGTCTCCGTTTGCGGCCATAAATCAACGAACAGTTTGCGATCGGGCCCCATGAGGATGTCGATTTTCCTCTTAATCCCTGGTTCCAGCCGCCCGGGAGTCCCTTCCCAGCCAGTGAGCGATGGAAGCAGAGTGGTATCGCACCGCTATCGACGTGATAGCGAAGCTCCAACCAGTATGCCGTACTTGGCCGTTCCTCCAAGGTAGTCGTACGCATCAATCCTATCTACTTTCTCTTCTAAACCTCCCCCAGAGACGCTTCATAACTACGCTTTCCTCATTGATCAGGAGTCGAAACGCAAGAAATTGCACAAGCTCGCACGACCAATCATAAGCAATGTTACGATCACAGTCGCGGCACTCATCGTGTACGTATTAACCGCCATTTGCCTGGTTTCGCTGACCATGCCACGATAGGTTGGGAAACTACGACCCACTTCACCCGCGGAGACCCGGTTTCCCGCCTCTAGATGTGTCTCTGAAACTGCAAATTGCAAATTTGCAGACCCATATTGCCGCTAGCGCGGCTTTCATCCAATCGCTCTACATGGAATTTGACTTGGGTGAGTTCTGCCACGATGGTGTCTGCAAAAAGCTGATCCACTTTTGCGAAGGGATATTCGAGCGCCGTCGCACAGAGAAAAAATACGCACGTATCGAGGCGGAGAAGTACGACGCTTTCAGAGACGCGATACAAACCCGTTTGCTCAGATACGTGGAATTCGAACTGGAGCGAACACGTCCGGAGTCCTGGTGGCCAGCAATGTTCAATGAGCCCCAGGCTCTGAGGGGACTACTGCGTTACTTCCGAGCCAGAGGTATACAAGAAAACCGCGCGTCGGACATCGAGCTCGAGCAAGTGGTCGCCGACTTCCGACGGGAATTACAGCAATCAGGTCATGTTCCTCGTCCGATCGCCGAGACCAGTCTCACGGCCGCGCAATTTGCACGTGAGGCCGTTGCACTGCTTAGAATTCATTTTACCGAGCAGTTCGACGATGTGAGTGCGATACAGTCCAGTGACGGTGATGCTATCACTCATTTCCGGTGCTTTATAGGTGTGCAATGAACTGGAGCTCAGTACGGAAGAACAGATGTTGCGATCCTGCCGGGACAATACGCGCCTTTTGACAAGAGTTGTCGGGCGGATTGTCAACTCGCAGACCCTCCGGTCAAGAGCAGCCGAACTCCGTAATCGCGAGGCTGAACGCTTCCTTGACATATTGCAGCTAGTGATTCGCCCACAGAACTGAAGGGTTCGTTCGATGGCTCACAAACAGTTGGTAGGTGATGGACGCGAAGAACAAATGGTCTCCGTCCCTCCACAGTCAAGCAAGGGAAATCCTCGACCGCATGCGCTACCTGTACGTCAAGGTTGGCAGGGAGAGTCGAGCATTACCGGCCAAACTATACGTCAATGGCGTCCAGCTAGCGTCGTTCAATCCCGTTCGGTTTGGGGGGTTCGCCAGCATCTACCGCGGGACCTTGGAGGGTAAGGTTGTTGCTCTGAAACGCCTTCGTGCCAATCTCTCTGGCCATCTGGAGTGGGTGAGTCGTTCCGTGTCGAGAGACAGCGTAACACTTCGACGCTGCGGACAGGTCTTCTATCAGGAGGCGCTCATCTGGTCCCGAATGCGACATCCATACGTTCTTGCCTTCCTCGGGATGGACAAAGACGTTCTCGAATCTCCATGTATAGTATTGCCCTGGTGCGAACGAGGCAGCGTTATAGACTGGGTTTCAAGCCTTCCTATCAATACAGTTAATCTGATCGACCTGGTACGCCAGTTGCCTTCCGGCGAGTATCATGCCGACCACTCTCCTGTAGATATGCAAGATATCCAGTGGATTGGCATATCTCCACTCACAAAGCATTGTTCATGGTGATCTACGAGGCGGAAACGTCCTCGTTGATAACGATCAGCAACCACGGCTCGCTGATCTGGGACTCGCTAACTTCGCGGATCCCAACGCCTCGGATTACAAGGTCGCCGGTCATGGAAACACAAGATGGCTGGCGCCTGAGTTACTCCAGAACGACGGCGCAGATCGCTCGCGTGAGAGTGATATATGGTCTTTAGGATGCGTCATGCTTGAAGTAGGCTCGCAACCGTCATGCTAGAGCTCTACATCTCACCATGGACGCAGCTGTACACTCAGCGAGCTCCTTATCTGGAGATCGACTCGGAATACCGAGTCACTATCAGGATATCCGAAGGCTACAAGCCTTTACGTCCTACCCCAGCGCAATGCGGCGGAGCCATCTACCCTGATACGCTATGGGCACTCACCGAGCAATGCTTGGCACCTATAGCCTCCCAGAGGCCGCATGCAGACATGATATCAAGACAGGTAGCACTGCTTGTGTAACAGTAATATGCATGAACCGTCGCGCTCAGTACTGGTTCAGTAAATGATCGGCTGGGTCTGCATGCTAGCTAGACGATCACGAACCATGGCGGGTAGCGGCCTTTTTCTAGGCTCGGATGACAAGCAACTGTCAACAAGGCGCCATACATCATCCGTCATGGGGTGCCCGATGCATTGCCCCGCCAACGGCCGATGTGGCCTCTGGCCTTCATAGACCATGATCATCACCCTCAGGTCGAGCGGGATGTCGGAGAACGGGGGTTTGCGCGTATAGAGCTGGCCCAGTGTCAGCTTTTTCGCTCATGTTGTAGATAAGGAGCATGTGTCTCGCACCTCTATGATGGTACACCCGACGGCGTAGATATCACTTTCCTTCGAGTGAGGCTGGCCTGCTCTCAATAGCTCCGGAGCCATCCATCGCGTGCTGCCTGGCGTGTCATTGGGGTTGGCGCTGGCAGTCGCATTTGAGAGGGTCGCGAGGCCAAGATCTGCTAGACGAGGCTCCATATTGTTGGTAAGAAGGACATTTCCCTGTGTCATCCGCAGTAAGCGTACATTGCCGGAAACTGAGTCGTAAAGTGGTTCGTTACCGCTCGGATATCCCCGTGAACAACATCTCGAGAATGAAGGTACTCTAATCCGTCGCATATCTTCCCGATCTGGATATCCTTAGATGCTATCGCGATAGCCGAAGCACAATGCGTACAAGGGATGCATGATCCAGTTGCGCAGAGGTGTGCTTCATATAGTTGGACAAGCTGCCGCGTCGTAGCCAGGGCGACACCAAAAATGGATACGTGAGCGATACTCGATCCACTCCGTAGAATGGCAAGACGTTTGGATGTTTCAGACTTCTCCAGATGAGGGCTTCTTGTCTCAACATCTAAACCACAAATATGTAACCACGAAGAAGGGCTGACAATCGGGAGGGCAGTGCTCACCCATTCCTTACTCTCCAATAGTGGTATACGAATTCTTTTCAGAGCGACATCAACCCCACGATATGAGCCCCGAAAAATGTCCGAGAAACCACCCCAAGCGATGGCGTCGCCGCTCTTCACTTGTATGCCTTTGATGAAGAGCGACGTGGGGAGCGAGTCGCTTGCCTTGCATATTTTTATCGATAGCTTCCGCAGGCGATCCATTATCGATTGATGCCGAGAGTACGTGTTTGGAGAATAGTAGCGAGATAGATCTATAACCTAGTAACACATTGGAGCATAGCATCCTAATCAAGAGGCCACGAACCATCTGCAAGATGTCCAAGAAGCACTGCGCTGCGCGATCTCGGAGTTGAGCCGCGGTCTTTTTGGCCTCATCGGAGTCGATAATGGCGGTGACGATGCTCGTGACAAACTGGGGATCCTCTTGGAAAGCAGTAAAGATAGTCGCATCGTCTAGTTTCCCCAGTCGAGCAGCCATCTGAGCAGATGTCAGATTTCAGTGATCGCTCGATTTCGATATGCTACCGACCGCCTCCGTTTGGTGCGGGAAGTGAGTACGCAGCAGGGCACAAGCCTCCCGGGCAAAGTGTGACCGATCAGCTGCCGTTTTCGGAAGCGAATCCAGAGATCCGGATTCTCCGTTTTGCTGCAGATGGTCGTAAAACGCTTCCACTTCCGAAACAATCTGAGCATCTGTCAACCGATTCTGATCCACACCCCGCGACTGCAAGAATTCCATCATCCTCCGGACGATCTGGGGCTCTCGAAACGCGTCAAACCAGCCTGTCTTTTTCCATCGAAGAGGTTCCGAGTCTGCAAAATCAGGTTCGAAATAGTAAAGGAGATCTGACTGGATCTTCCCGCGATAGTATCGAAAGTTGTCGGTATACTCGGCTACCAGGTGGTCGAGTTGCTTTGCGGAGCTCATCCGACGTGCTGGTAACCTTCAGTGAACAGGCCTGAGCAAGGCGATGATTTTGCGTCATACTTACCTATGAACGAGAGCTTGCTCATGTGATCTATCAATGCAATGGAGTTCGCTATGCGGCGTTCAACGTCTTCAAGGAGGGTACCCATCCACTCCTCTATTGATGTGGTGCGGTCACGGCGCGGATTGTCAGGCTCGTACGTTAAGAGGCTACGAAACATTCATCCTTAGAGAAATTCATTCATTATATCGTTCCACTCACGGTGTCAGAGCACTCACGGCATCCGTGATCTTGATCAGAAGGGGAACCACTTTCTTATCCCATTTGTCCCGAGCCTTTTCAGCCTTGTATAAGTCGAGGTATTGGGCCACCAGGTCTAGAATGACACGGGTTCACGGGCGGCAGAGTAAGATATGAAGGACGCGCACTTCTCACGAAACGCCATTTCTCCACGACCGGTAAGGGATTGTATATGGTGGCTTCCGTCCGTATGAGCCATGCTTCCTTTTCGTCCGCTGGCAGGGAGAGCTCTGCGGGGTCCATCAGACTGTCCAAGGAAACTCCATCGACGGATCGATAGACGATGGTGTCCGGAAGATAAGTCGTTCTGAAGGAAGCAGCCTACGCGAATCATTTCCGACGACTTTGTTCTGTGGGTCCTTATGTTCGAGGCGAGTAGCGAATCACTCACTTTCGTATGTGGGTCCGTATATTGCAATATTTGTCCCGCACTACACCTTGTTAAGGTCACCAGAAAGTCACATCCCGCAGACTTCACTGACGACGCGCGAACATGCGAAATGCAGATAGAATCGAGTAGATCCCGCTTTCCTGCGGTTTATTCTCACAACGAGTGGGCCATAACCATCCAGTGCGTTGATCTCCGCACGCATATTCTGCACGGGTCGCAACCTCTATGCCGTGATATCGGCGGCCAACATGTTCGGTGTCTGCGAATCGCGATGCCAACTGCTTGGCGTATGGGTTCGTCTTCACCCGCGTGAGTACGGTTCAGCCACAGGTCGATATCCCGCCGTATTGGACGGTCGTACTTCAGGCCGCCGTGTGAGCTGAGCTAGTCTCGATTAGCCACGGCACAGGGCAAGCATGCGCAGGCGTAGTCGCAAGTGTTCATCGTGACGATGAAGTGACAAGACAAGCCGGCGCGACCGGCCTGCGCTTCGGAGTCATCGGGGTCACCTGATACCGACGTCGCATTGACTAATTTGGTAGGAGGCCGACGCCTCTACCTTTACGCTCTTGCGTCGACGGTCCCTAAGCTTTCTTCGCGAACTGCTTCTACAATATCACGAAGACGGTCCCGGTCTCCATATACAATGAGGGAACGACAATCGCCGAGCGTCCATGGACGCGAACGCGGATGACGGCGTCGACCAGCTGACCTCCCGTCGGTCTATTCCCGACGTCGGCCCGGCGTGGACCGTCTCCGCGCCCGTCCACAGAATTTTCTAGCGTCAACAAGGGACTCATGTGGCTTAAAGATACAAATATATAGGGGCGCGTAGGGTCAGCGCGTAGCACGACCTCGTACGCTCAACATGCGCACCCAGCTGTTCCAAGCAGTACTCGCTGCCGTCTCTGTGGCGGGCCCCGCTGTTGCGGTCTTGACTTGCAAGGTCAAGGCACTGGGTGCTGGGCAAGATGATGGCCCCAACATCTTGGCCGCTTTCGAGCGGTGCGGGAAGAACGGTCGCATCACTCTTGACGAATACTACGTCGTCGATACGCTGCTGTTGACAACTGGCCTCAAGAATGTGGAGATTGACCTCAGTGGTACAGGTGAGCTGCATCAAGCTCGATACTCGCTTATTTACTGACTTTGGCCCAGTTCAATACACACCGGACATTGCAAAGTGGTCACCGCAAAGTCTATTCCTCACCTACCAAAACGCGTAAGTCTTCGCGTCCAGTGCGCGTTTCTTCGCTCATACTCTGTTCAGGACAACCTTCTGGTTCCTTTCGGGCGACAACATCCATCTATACGGTGGCGGAACGTTGGACGGCAACGGGCAAGTCTGGTGGGAACACCAGGCCGCATTCCCGAACGCCGGCACTGCGGGCGGATCTTCTCGCACCTTTGCGCGACCCGTGCCACTCACCGTTGGGAATGCATCGAACGTCGTCATCCAGGATCTTCACATGATCGGATCGCCGTTCTGGAATAACTTCGTCTATCAGAGCACGAACGTCACGTATAAGGGTGCGATTGCCCCGGGAATCGCATGCACGTCCAAGCCCTGACCATGTCATATCACGTCAACAGGCATTAACATCAACACGGTGTCCTATAATTCCAGCGCTCCTCCTGCGAACTCGGACGGCTGGGACATTTACCGTAGTTCCTTCGTCACCATTACAAACTCAACTATCAACAATGACGGTACGTCTGCAGGATGCTATTCGCTACACTGTACCTTACGCTCCTGGTGTTAGATGACTGCGTCTCCTTTAAGCCAAACAGCACGAACATCGTCGTCAGTCATCTGAATTGCAACGGAAGCCACGGCATCTCCGTCGGATCTCTTGGGCAGTACGCCGGCGAGACCGATATCGTTGCGAACATATCCGTTTCCGACATCGTGATGAAGAACGCGCAGAACGGCGCGAGGATCAAGGTGTTTGGTGGTTCGCCGTTCGCCAATAGCACGGCGGGCGGCGGAACGGGCTTCGTCAAAAACGTCACTTTCACAAACTTCCAAGGTCCGCTTTTGTTCTCGTGATGCGCTAACGTGAATCTTGACGTGAATTTCAGTCGCAAACGTCGATCATCCGATTTTGATTGACCAGTGTTACTCGACGGCTGCGGCGACCTGCGCTGAATTCCCCAGCACGCTCAGCATCTCCGATGTTCATTGTATGTCCTCCGTCATCTGGAAGCCTGGTGATTTGCTCATATTGGCCGAATTCGCGATTCAGATATCAATGTCACCGGCACGTCCTCAGGAGCGGAAAAACAAGTCGTCGTGGACCTTGAGTGCAGCGCGAACTGTACGGACATCACCGCTGTCGGAACCAATATCACTCCGCCGAGTGGTTCGCCGGAGTACGTCTGTAAGAACATCGTTAGCGCTAGCGACGTGAGTAAAACTCGATATCTCTGGAGGCCTGGTGAACACGGACTTCGACTGATACGATGGATTAACAGCTCGACTTCCCATGCACGGCTCCCTCGTGATCGGAATAGTTAGTCTTCATACTGAGCGTAGCGAATAGAATCACATTGTGAACGCGTACTAGCTTGTTGTTCTGACCGGCGAACGCCATTGCGCCGTCATGCAGCTTTCGCGCTCCAACTCTAATGCCCCCCCCCTGCTCCGCTGCTCGCCGCGTCTGTTTCGGCAACCTCGTCTTGCGGGCGGTCGTCGTGCCTACACAGGTTTTATTTAATTATTCCGACAGTGACGGGAATAGGCACTACGCCTGACATCAGACCAGACGACTCCCGCGTTCACCGAGTATTTGCGTGACCATACTCAGGCTGAGGCTCTTGACGCGTAGCTGCCGCTCGCCATGCATTGCTGTCTTCCTCCGCTTCCATCTTCAACCGGGACCGTCTCGGAATGCAAACGAACACTCTACACCGATTCTTGGCTCCCTTTTACTAAGGACTTGCATGACTTCACCCCGGTTGTAACGTTAAGTAGTCGTTGGATGATCGCCAGCGCATATCCCTGGATGCGTCTCGTGCATAATGCAGGTTCCGGACACCACGACTTGCTTGACACGTATCCTAACGAGAATCGTGAAGCATGGAATGAACACTTTCTCAAGATCGGATCGATGATGAATACGCCTTGCAACGATGGTCGTGCCCCCCTGAGAAGGAATCGAATGCATTGACGCATGCGCCTCATGCGCCTCGTTCGTGCACCCACCTATCATACTATCGAAGAGATTTGAACTCAAATTACTCACATGCGCAGTGGCTTGAAGGCGTACGGAGTAGAGAGGGGCCACGGACGTGTGTATATGAACCGTGAGGCTGTCATAAACAGGTATGTTACGTCGTCAAGCTCTTTTGCACACGAACTCACTCCTGTCAGGTGGATGGTGCTAAAACTGGTTCGCTCGCGATGAAGTGTCTATCCTTACGTCGCCGCTCACGCACCTCCGCTCTCAGGTCCACCGAAGCCCACCTGCACCTACACGCCCAAACATGACCAACATACGTCTTGAATATAGGTCAATCATAAGAGTAGGGGGCAATCCGTCGCCCTTCGATGTCATGCTCTACTCTCGCCATGTCTTTTCTCAATACACTCACCGGGTGGTTAAGGCAGTCGTCAGAGCCGTCTGATCGATCCGGGGCAGCCACACGACGGAGCGAACACGAGGCGTGGCTATTCCGAACGGAGGCAATTATCTACAACCTTGCACAACTAAGAACCGAATGGCCTATCATCGAACGTGATGCGACTCCACTTTGTGAAGCTGTTCGCTCGCTGATGTCAACTTATCAGCCTCTTTAAAAACTTATTTTGAGGTGTACAAGATGGAATTCGAGCATAAGGGCGAGAAGAAACCCTTCATGCAGGTTTTGAGTCTGCTTACAGATATCATGGCCACATTCATGCTGTGAGTGACGAATCTCCTGGTACGTTCCCGGAAGAAGACAACTCACATATTCTCCAGTCTCGCAAACCTGAAACGTTCTGCAACGCACATTGATCCTACCATTACTCTTTCTGCCGAAGAGCGTCTCTCTGACCCAGTAGGCATCGTGCAGCTGCACCTCAATATGTTCTATGACGATCTCGCGCACTTCTATGAAATCATGCCCATGAGTATGTTTCATGAACGTCTCCACATTTTTCACACCAGCTGATTACTATACAAGAAACACGTCCGAAAAAGTACTCCTGGGACTGGATAGCCGAACTCGAGGAATTTCTGGACCGTGATCGACATAGGTTGACCGAGGTACTGGGGTGCTACATGGAGTTTCCGTATGAGGTTTACATCGGCGGATGGCTTGAGGTCTTCCGCGAACCGAGCATCATGAGGCACCTTCTGGCCTTCTTCAACAAGCAGGGTCTGGTTGCCCAGAACATGACAGATGAACAGGCCGTGGAAGCTCTTGTAGCCTTTCACTCCTCTGAATTCCATCGTGATCCGTCTCCCGAATCAATCACGCTGCGGGTTAGAAAGCAGCTCCATCAGCAATTCGCGGAGCAAGCCTTCGCCCTATTCCGTGATCGGTTTCCGCAACAGCTCGCGGAGGCAAGCTTGTATCTCTTGTGTTCTGCTACATGCACAGCTAATTGCCGAATAGGTCAAGTCATCGGCAGATTACAACGATGATGCTAGCGTCGTCGTATCATTTCATGAGCGTCCGCACATGCTACAGGCCATCATTGTACGGATCCTCGAATCCCGATCGGCACGGCGTGCAGCTGCGTTGCTACGTGGGCGGGAAGCAGAAACGTTCTTAGATATTATACAGTTAGTGCGTACACCAATTAAGCTCCTATCTTATGCATCTGACGCATGTCAGGTCTTAGAAACCGCCCAAGATGCTACGCCGAGGACGAAAGAGAACACGCGCCCGCTCTGCAAGAACATGACAGAGCTTTCTGTACAAGTATCGGCATCGAGCGAAGTGCTCCCGTCGGCGCTGTTCATAAATGGTGTGAAGTACGAGAATATCGCAGAGCCAGAGGCGAGAGGCGGTTTCTCATCCGTTTACCGAGGATTTTATCGCGGTCGCGAAGTCGCCATCAAACGGTTCCATCCTTTCGTCAAAATCAGTGCGGCATGGGTGAGTTTGTTCTATCGGTTCACTGGTGCGATACCAACGACGTTCAGATGCTACGCCAAGAGGCCCTTATATGGAGGACTCTGACGCACCCTAACGTATTACAGTTCGTCGGCCTTCACTCAGAAGAGTTCGACCGTTCCAGCTTGATATCTCCTTGGTTGGAAAATGGGACTTTACGCCACTTCTTGGCGGATTCACGCTCGCATGGCGTCGACGTCACTCAACTCGTATGCAAGCAACATGCCCTTCCGAACAACTTCTAAAATTTGGTTTAGATATGGCAGGTTTGCAGAGGACTCGCCTACCTTCATTCACAAGGGATTGTGCATGGAGACCTTCGAGGGGTGCGTCTGAGGTTCGTGCGATGACACCATCTGACAGATTTGGAAGAACAATATACTTGTAGATAAGGATTTTTGTCCAAAGGTCGCGGATCTCGGCCTTGCCAACTTCATAACCGCATCGAATTCTGCTCCACAAGCCAAATTCATTGGCACCTTTCGTTGGTGTGCCCCAGAAGTCTTGCTGGACGACGGCGTCAGATCCAAAGAAAGCGATGTCTATGCTTTCGGATGGACGATCATCGAGGTATGCCCGAGAAGTCTGGGCATTTATACCCGCGAACTCATATATCATGCCAGATTTTTACCTTAGAGAGACCCCATCACGAAGCTGACGATTTTAGAGCAATCATAATGGTCTGCCAAGGCGAACCACCAGCTAGACCCGGCGCCGAACAATGTCATGGCAGATTACTGAGCGATGAGTTGTGGAAACTTGTTAGATCATGCCTATCTACCCAGGTCTCGGAGAGACCTGTTGCGGACGAGGTTATGACTAGACTTGAAAGTCTCCTTCCGTCACTAGCGACTTCGATGTAGGATCGAGCGGCTATCTACTAGATGCGCCGGTGGAATTGAAAATGCATGATTGTTTCACTAACTACTGCGTGTACTCATAAGTATCATCGAGCTTGAGGTGTCTCGTCGACGCCCACGTTTGTGTCTCCGACGCAGATTCAATGTGACACGTGATGCAGCTTGCTAGTTCGCGTTCGCGGAGGGGAAGGTCGAATTCGTTCGGTGGTGTCTTCCTGCGTCTCTTATTCATTCACGAGCATCTCTGTCACATTCGTGTTCAGACTAGCTCTGTACGGGTCGGGGATGGTCGAAATCACAATCCGAAAACGTCCCCGTATGGACGCTGTGATCACTCAGCGCAAGTTTTTCAAGAAAACCGCGCGGGGGAAGGTCATCAAAGGTGGGTTTGTTGAGCATCTTGTCCATGACGTCGCTGAGCAGGAACCAGTTATTCGAGAGAGATATCTCCGTGACGATGTTGGCTGCGGTATCGAGGATTGCAGAGAATGTGAACATGCACCATCGGGATCAGCATCTAACTTCCTCCCAATTTCTGGAGATCGCCAGCATGCCAGCTTCCCTCATGGTCACTTCGTCTTGCCGGATACTAATATCTTTCTGGCCCAGGTAAGCTTTGATTCTTCCATCTGGTCAGATAACCCTCAGCGAGACACGAGAGCGCAGCGCCTAGGTTGCCTGTGCTCGAATATGGCTTGCTGAGACATTTCGTAGATGGATCTACTCGAATCAACCCTATTCTCACCGCCCGTTATCCTTCTTCAAACTGTTCTGGAAGAAGTGCGGCACAGATCGTTACCCCTTTACAACCGGCTGAAGGCTTTGATCAAAGCCGACGACAAGCGAATATGGGTCTTCTACAACGAGTACAGATCGTGCGTGCCTCCCCAACGTCCCTAAAAATCAGTCCGTGACTCTTTCGATTAGTGAAACAGCGATCATTCGGGAAGAAGGTGAAACGCCTAATGACCGTAATGACAGAGGCAAGTCTGCATCATCTAATGGAGCATATGATCGAGATACTCACAAAATTATAGGGATTCGAAAAGCAACAGAGTGGTACAACGCTCACTTGTCGGCCATACGCAAGGTCTCTCGAAGCGCGAAGAGCACACTGCCGACTGTCGTACTCTTGACCGATGACGTCGCGAATCGTCAGAAAGCTGAGAAAGAAGGCATCAGCTGCGTTTCATGTACCGACCGTATAGCTCAAATCTGCGATATGCGCTGATCCTCTGTATAGTGCGTCGTTATGTGGAAGGTATGAAGGAGTCAGCTCAACTGATGGATCTGCTTTCCGTCGGGGGCGAATATATCGAACCCACGCGAGCCGCCACTCGTGCCGCGCTTTATCCAGATGTATGTCAAAACCCTTTCCCTATGATATATCGTCTACATCTCCATCTAGTATCTGCCACACGCCACACTTCTTGCAGGCGTCAAGGGGGGAGAACTTCATCAGGGACACTTCAATGCCAGTCCGTTCAACTACCTCGAAGTAAGGATCATCGTCTGGCTAAAGTGCGTATCATGATTGACAATTGATTATCATCCTAGGGAACAGTGCCCGTCCCTGCTTTCACCAAGCCAGTGCTTTTACTCGGTAGAGAGAACATGAACCGTGCAGTGCAAGGCGATGTTGTGGTCGTCGAAGTCTTTGATGAGAGCGAATGGAAGGCTCCTACGAACGAAGTAATTGATCAGGAATGTAAGTGCGATCCCAACGGCTATGGTGATGTCGATCTTATGGCAGCGTATGGCAGCGACCCTGAAAAACGATGACGCAGACGACTCTGACGAGGAGGCTGAAGAATTGGACTCCGTGGTAGAGGAACAAAAAGTCCTTAAAGCAGAGGCTTCCCGCGCTGCCTCCGAGAAGCAGCCGACAGGACGCGTTGTTGGCGTCATCAAGCGTAACTGGCGCGCGTATGTTTTCCCCTACAGAACGTTGAGCTTGAATGCTGAATGACACCTTGTAGCTATGTCTGCCACATCGACAGTACCTCCCTCAGCTCGTTAAACGCAACTTCCTTGTCTCAGCAGACAGTATTTGCCACTCCGGTCTCACGCCTTCTTCCGCGCATCCGTATGCGCACCCGTCAGGCGCCGACGCTTATTGGCCAGAAGATCCTCGTTACCATCGATCGATGGGAGCCGACATCCCGGTATCCCGAGGGCCATTTCGTGCGTGCCTTGGGCCGCGTAGAAAGCAAGGAAGCGGAGCAGGAGAGCCTACTTCTCGAGTACGAAGTGCCGTATAGGCCGTTCGGTAAAGCGATACTGGATTGCTTGCCCGTGGAAGGCGATAAGTGGGTCGTTCCGACCAAGTCGGATACCAGTCCGGAGTGGAGGGACAGAGAGGACCTGAGGGACATGATTATATGCAGTATCGATCCCCCTGGCTGTCAAGATATCGATGACGCTCTCCATGCTAGACTGCTGCCGAATGGCAACATCGAGGCTGGCGTTCGTGAGTTCCCCTCCGTCCTTGATGACGCTTTTATTCAACTCCTTGCTAGATATTGCCGATGTGTCGCACTTCGTCCATGCGGACACCCCTATGGACAACGAAGCGGCTGCACGAGGCACCACCGTTTACCTCGTCGATAAACGAATCGACATGTTACCGTCGTTGCTCGGGACGAACCTATGCTCACTGCGGCCTTACGTTGAGCGCCTTGCCTTCTCATGCATTTGGGTACGCAACATGGGATATACTGGATGCCGACTGATTACTCATTGCGCGGTCTACAGGAACTCACGCCGAACGCGCAAATCGTGAAAGTACGCTTCACGAAGTCAGTCATCGCCTCTAAGGCCGCTTTCACGTACAAGGAGGCGCAAATGCGAAAAGATGATCCGTGAGTTATGCTTCTGAGAATGGCATCACCCATAACGGATTCTTATCGTTCTTTAGGAATCTCAACGACGAGCTCACGAAGAGTATACGGCTTCTCAACTCGCTGGCTTTGAAGCTGAAGGCTGGTAGGATGGCTGCGGGCGCACTCAATCTCGCCTCCCCCGAAGTCAAGATTCATATGGACAGCGCGGAATCGTCCGATCCCATCGATGTCGAACAAAAGGAAATGCTCGAAACCAACAGCCTCGTCGAAGAATTCATGTTACTCGCGAACATCAGCGTGGCACAGAAAATCCAAGAAACGTTCCCTCAGACCGCTGTTCTCAGGTAAGCGAGCCGTTCGTACATCATCGCCACCACACTGACGGGTCTCGATAGACGTCATCTACCTCCCCCACGAACTAACTTCGAGAAACTGCAAGATATTCTGCAAAAACGGAAAGGCCTCACCCTGGACGTCTCCAGCTCGGGTGCCTTGGCGAAGTCTTTGGACCAATGCCTGGTACGGTGTCGCTTTCATCCGCGCGTACGTTCAGTTATGAACATCATGCAACTCCCTAGGACCCCAAAGAACCCGCCTTCAACACTCTGGTCCGGATAATGGCGACAAGATGTATGCTTTCCGCGGAGTACTTCAATTCCGGAAGCGTCGCCCGCGATACTTTTGGACATTATGGACTCGCCAGCCCCATCTACACGCATTTCACGAGTCCCATCCGGCGTTATGCAGGTACATACCTTGCGCAAGTCGAATCCTCCCGGCGTACTAACTTCGCGGTAGATGTACTCGTTCATCGTCAATTATCTGCAGCAATCTCGTATTGGCCCTTGCATCCAAGTTTACACTCGAAATCGCACGTTGAACGTGTTCTCGACGTCGTGAATCGGCGGCATCGCATGGCCCAGATGGCGGGCCGGGCTAGCGTCGAGTTTTATGTCGGTTTGGCGCTGAAGAGTCGTGCGGAGAGACAGGGTGATGTCAAAGAGGAAGCGTTTGTTATCCGAACGTTCAAGAACGGTGTAGGAGTGTTCGTCCATAAGTGAGTTAAAACATATCAACAGGCAGCCTGTTATATATTGTGACAACGTTTTAGGCTGGGTTTAGAAGGGCTGGTTATGTTCAAGCGGGATGTCAAGTTCGACGCCGACAATTATACAGTATCCGTACCATCAACGAACGGCACAGAGGTTCCTATATCTGTCTTCGACAAGGTTGTAGTTCACATGGAAGTGGAGAAGGATAGGAATACGCAAAGGGGGAAGGTGAAGATGAGCTTGGTGGAACCTGTTGATTCCCGGGCCCTGTAGGCGTTGCGTTACTCAGAGTACGTTATATGATCCCCGTGACGCAATAAGGCTAATATATATGTTGTGACTAAGTAGACATCGCTGTCAAGCGAACCATAGATACGTAATATCTGACTGAGGACGTTGAAGCAAGGGCAGTGACGTTTGCATCCTCGATACTACTTATCGGCGAACATATCGTCGATCGAGCCATGAGTACCGATGGCCGTGTTGGAGGCGAAGCTGTCCTTCATGTTTGTCTGACCAGTATTGACCCCAGATGCCTTAGAGAATTGGAGTGGAATCGCAGTTCTCCTCGACGTGGACGCCAGCGTAGAGCGTGTCTCCTTCAAGGTCTGTGATGTCCAGGCCCTGCCTTGCGCTACACGAAGCACGATCAAGAGCGGCGCGATTGTCTAGCAAAGATGAACGTTACGGATCATAATCTGTCGCATGTGCTACTGTTACTTACCTGCACTTGACTGAGGGTGGTGAAGAACAAGAAATTAGCCGTGTCGTTGCGCGCATAAGTGACCATGAACGCGATAGCGAATGTCGAGTACAGGGCCGCGGACTCGATGAGCATCGTGGAAACTGACAGATAGGGCGAGCGTTGGTCGGCGCCCATGATCTTGCGTACACGGTGTCGCATGTAGGCCAGTTTGCCGACGATGAGCAGGGTCAGCAGCCAATTAGTAGCTACTGAAGTCGACCAGTAGACAAGCGCGAAGTTGACGTTGGATGTCTCCCATAAGGTCGCTCCGGGGAGGCAAAGTTGTGCCAGGAGGAAGCATGACATGACTGTATGGCCAGATGTGAGCACATCGTCCGCAATATAGTGTACGAATCCCACTTACTGACGGAAACCAGGAACAATAAGCCGGGAATGATAAGCATCCACAAGTTGAATCCCCAGATGACAAGATAGCGGTAGAGCTAACGAGTTTTCGATCAACGTTATGTCACTGTGATACAGAAGCGATGAAGGTTCACCAGAAGTCCATCCTGCAACCAGGTAGCCGCGAACACGACGCCGGTTCCGAGCAAGTTGATGAATATCGAGTTCTCGGCAATGGAATATGCTGCCGGCCCCCCAGGGAAATCCCGGTTGTCGATGAAAGCCAATTCGGAGAAGCGCATGTTGGTACCAGCGGCGATCGAGCTCAGGCTAAATATCGTGGTGATGTACACCAAATGCCATATTGTCGAACGCTTCCTGCGCTTGAGCTCCGACCAAAGATGACTGAAGCATATGAAGTATAGGGTCGCAGTAACACCTATATCAGCTATCCTCAGCACTTCGTTCGTCGTCCTGTAACATGATACGTCGACATACCGTAGGCTGCAAAACTAATGTTGGCGCCCGCCATCATCGCTCGTTCCAGCCATAGTGTAGCACCGTCCTCGTCAGGAGCCCAAGAGGAAGCGGGGTGGTGTACGGACATTGTCGTACAGTGTATTAAGTGATGTTCGGGGGCGTTTATAGCGCTGCCTGCTTCCTGCAGGGTTATAAACACGTAGAACCCATGGCGGCTGCCAAGACGTTCGCCTCAGGTACTGATTATCAGACTGTATGCCGAAGCTCCCGTAGAAATCCGTCTACTTTGCGACGGTATGGGCCTGTCATGATTATGCTCAAGTATAGACCTACTGTGTGTACGACGTCGCCGGAGATTAGCCTTTATGTGGTAGATCTGCCACCATGCCGAAAAGTCAAAAATACGTCTGAGAATCTCAGGCACCATCTTGTCGGACACCACCGTTACCCCCCGCATCTCGTACTTAGTGACCGATAAGGTACCGGTGTGAGTCTGACTGTTCGATATTTTGCCGGGGCTATGTGATTCCGAGGTGGCATCGTTCATTAGTCTATTCATTCAAGCTGTGCCTTGTCTGGTGTGTAATGATCGTCGATAGAGCGTGTCCTCTATTGCGGGATTGGAGCATGAGGTTCGCTCACCTGGGATGCCACCTATTGACATGCTCGATTCAGTGTCAATCATACCGTTGCCTCGCACTCAGCCCCTTGGTAGCGTTCTACGACGCTTGTCGATTACAAGCTGTTGAGTTGCAACCGATCTCGTTAAGTTATTTATATGGTCATCAACGAAGCAGTATCGGTAGTCATAGCTCGGCATTAAGCCGAATGCAATCCTTCGATATCATTCAATGAACATATCGTGTTTTCAATGGAAGAGGTAACCCCGATATATCATGATCCGCCCTATCTAGCAGCGAAAGTCCTTGCGGAATATATTGAGAGTCAATTTCTCCATCGGCGACTTGAACTTTGGGTCGGCATCTCCCCCTATGCTCTGGCTACCGACAAGGTCATATTCCATCCTACAATACAGCTCCGTCTGCAGATACTACCAGTTAGAGTAGTGCGAGATATGTATGAGAATGTCTCACCCCCTCCGAGCCTCCCTCAAAAATCAAAGCGTTTTTGTCTTTGCGCGCCTTCGCAGATGTGGTGAGATGGAATCAGAATCCATTGAAGGTTGGAGGTGTGCAACATACCAAATCCTCGCCTGCATTCACCAGTGCCGTTCCGACGCCTTTCCTTCTGAACTCACGAGACACGGCTAGACAATTCATTTTCCATCCGGATTCCTTGACTCCCGGTCCAAGGATCGCATCGCTCATCGCAGCGAACTTCGGCATGAACTATCGAGAGAAGAGAATAGTCAATGGTTCTGCTTTGCATGTCGCGAGGAATTCTTACTCCCATCCACCAATCAACGACGTCTGGGGAAAGCTTGGATAGGAAATTGTTGAAGCCTTGGGATAATTGTTCCTCACTGCAGAGAATTTCCTAAGATTTTTGGTTGAGACGATAACAAGGATGAACTGACTCTCCCAAGACGTCGCTACCGGGGCCAAAAAATGCAACGCAGCCTATGATCTTCTTGGGCGAGGAGATAGTTTCGGCAACAAAGACATGCCCGCCTATCACTGCGCCTGCCATGGTAGCATGGTGAAACTCTCGCATAAGCGCAGGATCGTCCCCGCAAGCAAAAGACGAGATAGGGTCTATATAGGGTAGACAACATCAATCGTGGTTAATGATCATGGAACGTGCAATACAGCCATACCGACGTCTTTGAAGCCTTCGTACAGAATATCAGCTATCTGCCTCAACTGAACGTCTAGGAAATGAAATTGAGCCAGTTGTTCCTCAACACAAGGACATACCGACCTTCGGGCGATGTCAATTCTCGAATATGGAAGGGAGTGGAAGTCATTGTGCAATGGTGAACGCAGTCCGTGTCACGCAATATTGAAGCTTAGTTATGAGTGCGCCCAACCGAGCAATGGGTTTAGGCATTCTGTCGGTTGCCACGAGCGGATTGCACCGCCCACGTCAAAACTACACCATGATTCTGTTCCTGAATCTCCCGAATAGGGATGCTCGGATTCGCTGCGTTCACGATATTCTTACCACCTTGACGTGCCCGTGCGGAACAGAAGCACACGAGGAGTGCTTACTCTGTGGCTGACGCCTCGTAGCGTTTAGATAGAACATGGAGTGCACATGAGCACGATGGCTTCTTGATGCGTTTTATTTTCAGAGCTGCTGTGAGATACTGCAACTTTTCAGCGCTGCTGCCAGCGATTCCTGCAGCATAGCTACATGTGAGGAATGCCACTAAAATTACAATACAACGAAGAGGATAAGAAGGACGCAGATGCTGCCAGAGACTCACCCTCTATCCGGTTCAACGTATTGCGACGCGAACACCATGCTCTTCACTCGTGTTGCAGTCTTCATCTTTACCGTCGCCATCGCCATGTCGACTCGTGCCCTTCCAGTTGTTGAGGGTAAGATAATCAGTCGTTCGGCCAGACTACCATACTGATGATCAATAACAGGTCCACTGGTCAGCCTCAGCAAGAAGGACTGCGAGAATGAAGAGCGTCGCGAATGGGTGCCCCGTGGCAACGAAGCCCGCGGCTATGCTCCTCGGACTTGCTGGGCTCCTTGACGGAGGTAGGTCAATGACTCAGCTCTCCTACCCCCGATCGAAAGGCTGATCGTGCACACATCTCCTAGTGCATCGTACTGGTGACTACTCGCAACGATCGATTTCATTCATTTGTCTTCCGTGGGAGGAATTGGGATAGAATGGTTGAAGCGAATGTATCTTGTATTTTGTGTTCGGGCGCATATCCATCTATGCCGAGAAATAAGAGACAGTTTGAGCAAAACGCGAAGTTGATGCACTGTGCAGTGCTGGACCGAGACTCCGGAAGTGAACGGTGCACACTCAATGATTTCACGTGAGACATTGGCTGGGCCAGGCCCGCATGAAGGGCCCGTCACTGCGCACGACGTTTTCACTCGTTCTCACCTCCAACATCACCGTTGTTTCTCATCAAACGGAACAAACGTTTCCAACTGAGCGAGCCTTGCTATTCTATACTTGCAATCTGCCAGGGGCGGCGTACCATGTCGAAGCTCGAATGAGTTACAATCATCGGAAGACCGAGCTTCACCTTGATCCGGCCTACGTCCACTGTGCACTGATGCGTGCCGCCAGGGCCAGATTGACATGGAGAAACCCGACTTTAGAACATTCCGAGCTTGAATTACTGTCTGAGGTTGTCCTGGATGTCCCACCATCCTTCGACCGTTCCATCATCGCATGGCCCCGCTCCATCCCTTACCACGCCGTCAACGCATATAGCTCAGGAGCTCGGCGGATGGTTGCGCGAGGTACCTATTGCACTGGCTGAAACAGGATCGACTGATACGCGTGTGCCTTCCGACTACTTTCTCCCAGCGTTCTGGCTGCACATGCCAGGATCGCCACACTGAAGCATTAATCAAATGGATCTTGCCACAAGTTCTCGAGATGCCGCCGGCCTGCCGATTAATCTCTGAAGGGAGAGCGAATATCGCACTTGTATCTGAAGTACTCCTCGTATGCGAAACAGCTCACAAATTCACGTATGCCTACGCAGATGGCACACTTCATCGTACTGCTAATTCTGGCTTTAAACATCTCGATGATGCTTCGAGTGGTCCTACGTTCCATGAACGCGAAGCTATCTATGCATAAATATTGTAAGCCAGTAGTTGCCTTGGAGTTACGGTGTTGCGCTCACTTGCGTTATAGCGTACGTCGGGGAGGACTATCCGCTTTGGTATCCTATCGAGGTTGGCCCTGTGGCCATGACCTTCGAGGAAACGGGTCGCTTTGCCCTCCAAGGGCCTGTTGCCGACGCGGAATGGGACACTCTCCGAGTGATCAACACCCACGAAGGCTTCGTTCGCCTGGGCCCCGACAATCGCATGTTTTCGGTGGCAATGTTCCATGAGCTCCATTGCGTCTCGGACGTCTTCCGCGTCGCCCTAGTCGACGCCGAAGACCCGAGGGCCAAGGAGCACCATTTCCAGCACTGCCTGAACTACCTCAGACAGCTCTTCCTCTGCTCCGCTGACGCCACCCTGGAGCCGTACGATTTCATGGAGCGCGACTTCGAGAGAGACCGAGGTGGCTTTACCAGAGAGTGCAGAGATTGGAGTGCGGTCTACGAGGCTTCCGCGCGCAACTGGGATTGGTGGGAAGAATACAAACTTACGCACCGTACGCGACCTTCCACATTTCCGACTTCCTGACCGATGCTCATGATTCGTCTCCAGCGAAGAATGATACTCGCGGGATAGGCGTGCCGAGAAGCTGAGCTATGATCACCAACGATCCTGTTCGCAATCTGTCCCAAATGTATACTTGATACATACGAGCTATCAACCATTGCGAGATCCGAACAGATATCAAAAGATCGCAAGCGAGAACGAAATCTCTGTTCATTCCTAGACTGTGGTGTATTGGACAATGTGAGCAGCTGGGTGCTGTTTTAAATGGCTGGGCCACTTTCAAAGACAAACGGCGAATCGTACCTAACAAAGGCTCGCGCCTGTCTTGCATAAAATCAACGAGGCAACCCCGGCCTGCGCAAGCGAACTCGAATGTATGAACAGAGGCCTCCAGGCAATCGAACTTCTCGGTCGCCGCGGACGTGCCAGCCTCTACCGTCAGCGTGGCCATGGGTTGCTTTGAATGACGTTTAGGACGAGTCCTCCAGGAAAGTCGAGCTGCGTCGAAAAACTGCTCGTTATCTGCGTCCAACCGAAATACGTGAATGAGGGCCGTCATTCCCGGGCCAATGGTTGCAGTCTTGTTCGCGGCAAGCTGTTCGTGAACTGCCGGGACAGCTATAACGATCGAGCACAGCTCCATACCGAAGTCGAGCACGCGAAACTGGGCGATGCTGTGTACCTGACATTGCGATGAACGTTTGACGACCGAACTAGGTGGTGGAAGAGCGAACTTACGTCGTCCGTCACGAGGAAGCGACGATCTTCCGGATAGATCATACCCCCGATGTGAGAGTAGAATCGGCGAGGGTGGTTCGAAAAGACCTTGGTCGGCTGCTTGCGGCTGACTTGCGTCAGCGTCGGAGGGTGGTTGACGAGCGGATCCGGGGGAACCACACCGGGGACGGTCCTGTTCACTTTGTCGAGCCCAATGTACTGGCTTGGTCGCCGTAGGCGGACTTCATGGGTGGTGTTCTGGTACTGGATGGAGGGAGCGGAGATGGCAATCGCGACTGAAATGATTGTACAAAGAACGCAAGCTAGCAGCACCAAAACGTTTGGTGTCCCGCCACTCTGTCGACGATCTGGTCTAGACTCTACGATCGAACGTCAGCATTGCTGGAATATTGGTGATGAGCAGAGACGCGCACCCGACGCGGGTTTGACACCGAGGAAAGGTAGCTCTTCGTCCAAATCGCCTGCAGGAGTCGATCCACGGCCTTCGTTGCGAAGCATGCTGGTGAGGAGGGGGACGCGATGAGAGCGGGCAAGGTATACTTACATCAAGTTGACGGCATAGGGAAAGCATCAATCCCAGGAGCAGAGCGCCTTGATGTTGGTCATTTTTAGCCAGTCGTGATAAGAGGACTATTACTCCGGGTATGGAAGCCATTCCCTTGGCTAATTTGAGCGTGACATAACCGCACGAACGGCATTAAACCAAGCACTGACGAACTCGACGCAAGATCCCTTTGTACGAGCTATCATGGCACCGACACCCACTACGACACTTTGCACCTACGTGGGCCTGACTATCTTCATGATTCTCGTCATCGTTTTGCCTGACAACGGGAGCAAGCGACTATACATGAGAGGTTGGTATGAGCTCAGAGTCGCGTGGAGGTTACTTACTTCGCGTGCAGAGCAGCCTCGCAACTTCCTCGACGTTCCTCCCGCAGAACCAGTGAAGATGTACATAGAGAACACAGTCCGATATCAAGCAAAATCGCAAGAAGCTGGCGAAGAATATGCCATGATGCTCCCGCCGGGAGGCCACCTAGTGCGGGACTCGCAAGGGCAAGTGTATACCGTAGCCATGTTCCACCAGATGCGGTGCCTCGATATCATCCGCGAGGACTACGCTACCCGCCGGGCATCGCCATTGCGCATGCATTGTCTGAACTACTTACGGCAGTCAATCTTGTGCATGGCCGACACTCGCTTGGAGTCAATACGTACCGTTGCATCGTCCGGGTGAGTCTTCGCACGAGCTTCCATCCCTCCATGATGCTGAGTCCAGACTGGCAATAGAACCGTGAGCCTGTCCTCCGACTACGTATGTAGAGACTGGACCGCGCTGTACGCGGCCGTAGAAGCCAACGGAATCTAAGCTTCAGCGCTCGGCTTCCATGCCTTGATTCGTGCCTGAGCACCCTTCAGCCTCATATTGCGGTCAAAAGTCAAACATAGAGCGAAGCTTAAACCCTTGAAATGAATGGAATTGATAAGACTAAGGTGGCCATGAACGAGAGCGGTCGCGAGGGGTCCTGAAACTCCCACCACTTTGAGTGCACTATGAGGACCCCTGCTGAATATCTGCTGCTTGATTCTTGGATCTTCCCGCCTGACACCCGGTTGTGAATAACACTACCATGTCCTCCCAGATGACAGAAATAACGCGACGCTTCGATCAACCAGTGCATGAGGAGACCTTTAAGCTCGCGTCAGACGCGGGATATCCGGAGAACTTCCCTAGGAACGCCAAATGGTTCTGACTTCGCATATGAATCACCGCGCTTTCACCAGGTAACATCGTCGCGTGCTTTGCAGGTGTCCAGATGGTTCTGTGTTCCTGGCCCAGGCGGAGAACAGGACGTTTCAAATCATTGACCGGTGCGTATCGCGCCTCATTGTCTGTTACTCCCTCATTTGACGCCGCTCACAGCACCACGGGCAACCTTACTCCCGGTATGCCATGTCGCCGCTGATCTCACCCCACGTCGTTCATGGTGATTAAGATGGCGGCGGCGCCCGGACCATTTTGCGTCAACCAGCCCCGATCTTGGATTATCTGTGGTATCCAATGGCCTCCCGTCTAAACCCAGCCGCGTATTGTTTCGTTGCCTCGGTAAGGGAGTGTCCTGTGAAGCTCCTTGATGCTTCAGATGGCAGGGTGAGATGATCTCGCCAACCTTCTCACAACGTTCCCAGAATAACTGGCTCAGTTACGTGCCTCGTATAGCATCGTCGATCACCGGGAACGGCACATTGCCCCTCATAGCCTTTCTTTCAACGCCATCGCGACAAAGTAAATACCTCTTCAATAGTTATTGACAGCTCCTCATGGTACTTTAATAGGCTGTACTGCGGGTTTGAAGACGCCATCGAGGTGTTCGACGTGCATCGACCGGGGCAAGGCGATCGAATTGCCACCTCTCCAGCGAAGAAGTCCAAAGATGGCCTCAAGGGTAAGCCAACTTCTTCCAGCGGGTGAGATATCATTTGATCAGATCACAAGTCGTCTGTATACAGGAATCATATCGGCGCTAGCGTTCTGCCCGTCGTATGACTCGGATCTCTTCGCCGCTGGCAGCCTGTCGCCCGCGTCTGCGTTAAACTCGAACATCGCGCTATTCTCCGCAGATACGGGACACGCTCTGATGTTCGTGGGGACCGATACTACCGAAGGCACCTCTCATCCCTCTGTTACCCAGGTGTGTGCTTGTGTGCTGCCTTTATCTGTAATGGTTCGTTGAACATTGTCGAAGCTCCGATTCAATCCCACGCAGCCTCATATCCTCTACGGCGCCTTCCGTAAACGTGATGCCATCTACAGCTGGGACTTAAGGGGCCACGTCTCTGCTCCTGTCGCCGTATTCCGCCGAAGCAGACCAGCGACAACAACCAGGCCGCCGGCAACAAATCAAAAACTGCTGTTCGATGTGGACCCGAGCGGGCAATGGCTCAGCGTTGGAGACGAGGTGATTCTCTCTCGCACGATACTCACGCCGAGTACAACGTCCTGAAGTTGGTCCGAAAAGGCAGGCTCCATATCGACATTCTCCCTGACAGGAGCGCCGATGTCGACAGATGAAGCGACCGTCGATGATGCGCAAGAGGTGCCCCCCGCATCGGTGTTCTCGGCCCACAACGGTCCGTGCTTTCCATCTTCGGTAACGAATTCCATTCTCTGAACACATGGCGCGCAGATGCTATTGGGTCTGTCGCCTTTCATCCATGGGAGCCCATGCTGTTGTCCGCGTCTGGATCGAGGCATTTCAGCACCGGGCTGTCGTCGGCGGTCGGCGCAGCCTCCGACTCCGACGAATCCTCGGACGACGAATCCAGCAACACGAGCGCAGAACATCAGACAGGCCGGTCCTCGTTCGTCCGGCGCCGTCGATCGAAACCCACGCCTCACACCAAGGATGCATCGCTGAAGCTTTGGCGGTATGGCCCTGTCGGCGGGAATGTTCCGGAGGAACTGATAGAGCCAGCTCGCGAGGGTGTTGTGCAATGAACCTTCTCCAGGATCACCTTGCGCGTTTTCGTGTTTTCCCAGTTCCTGTCGGCTTTTCAATGTTGCTGTGGACGGCGTCGAGGTGGACGTATCGACGCTCTGTAGGTATTGACGAAAATAGCGTATGCACTCATTCGAACACCCAAGTGCGCAAATTCGTGGTTTTGGTTCTGCTCAGTGCAAGACCGACAGTCATTTCATGCATTACATATTCCGAATATATTCGATGGAACCTGCGCCTCCAGCAAGTTGATGAAGTCGTCCAATGGAACCCAGGTCAACGACGACACAGGCGTTCCCTCGTGCATGACGCGGACTCGCAGCCCGTCTGCCGACGTTTTCCACACCTGAGTGTCATAGCAGTCAGTCAGCAGTGGTTGAATCAATAATCGTGTTCAGACGCACCTCCATGACAATTTCGCTGCCGAGAGCCGGCCACCTTAATGGCGCGAGCTTCCCTAACCCCAGGCCGGAGGCCAGGCGGATCATCGACCCGTCGTGGCCAACGTATAGACGGCTTTTGTAGGTCTCGCTTCCGGACTTGAAGGAGCGGAAGTTGGCCGCGAGCTCAGAGAACATCACGCCTAAATACATGCGAGGGATGTTGGTCAGCGACCGTAGTGATCGCATCCAAGAGACGTGGAAGAAGTGCCTTACCAAAGGTGAGTTGGTTATACGTTGTAGCATTCTCCGCGGCGTTCCAGATGTAGCTGGGTAATCAGGTTCAGAGCGATGGCAAGCTACCGAGTAGGCTGGATTGACTTGTACTCAAGGTCCCCGAGGGCATATACCCGATCCGCGTCCGTCTGCGAGACACAGGCGCCGCTCGTGTTGCATGGCAGAGAATGCCCATGGCACGTGCGGGAGGTGAAGGTGTCGAAGTAGTGGTCATCTATACAAGAACGTTCGCGTCTTTCAACGCTGTTACGTGCCGCCAAAGACGCCTGTGCTCACACCAAGACGTCCATGCGCTCATGTTCGCCGTTCCAAGCATGTTGCCCAACCTATCGGCGAGGTCTTGGTTGGCGACCAAATGGTCCGTCCACGCAGGCACAGATTGGTATGCGTCACGGATGGCATCCGCAGCCGGGCACGAATACGAAGGAACAAGCGAGTCAATCTGACGACGAATCAGCACGAGTGCGACGTAGACCGAATCTAACACTCACATTCGAAGGCTGCGTCCTCAAGGGCCACTTCTTGCTACTCTTGACAATATTCGGGTCCATACCGAACAGAAGGCCGCTCGCGACCTGCTGGGTCCGGTCCTCGGTGGAGGTCCGAATGTACATGTCTTTCTGGTTGACGGTCTTAAGGAAACCCAGCTTGTGACTATATACCGACCAGAAGTCCTGCAATGTACGGCTTCAGTCAGCGACATCGCCCTTGAGATACACGAATCGCGCACTTGACCGTGCTTCACTGCGTCTGCAAGCCCACCCGCCGTGAACTGCCCCGCGTCGCACGTCCCGTTCCAGATCTGGCTCAAGAACGGGTGATCCGCCGGTATGACGGTCTCGTGGAAGACGACTGCTGTTCCGCTAGCGTAGTTCAACTGGATAAAATCACTGCAGTCCCACCCACTGAAGGGGTTCAGCACATTCTCGTTCGGGTAAAGGTTGTCGGGAGTGCGCTATGAAGAAGTCATACTATCAGCGGGAGGATATCTCGAATATGTGACCGAAGGGCGAGCCTTGTGGTGGCGAAACATGACGTTCATGTACACCAGCTCGGCATCGCCGGTCTTTGGCTCGGAGTAATGCGCGACTTTGACATGGGGCGCGTTGCAATAGTTGTACGTGTTCCACGGAAGACTGGATGGGGTGACGGACGAATTGTATACGCCGGTTGTGCCGTTGACTTGAGCAGCGACCCGCAGGTTCACCTGCGACATCAGCATGGACGCCAGCACGAGGAACATCGGCTGCATCATGGCAGTAAGCAACGTACGTGCCCGTCGGAACGTCAGAAGACCGTATACCCCCTGCTCCCTTCTTATATCGTCCCCGGGCGGCCTGTCGATAAGCAAGGGCAGGAGGGGCGAGGGTGCGTTGCGCGTCGCGATCACGTGGGTGCTTCTGATGGATGACGGCGTCATAGGGCGGGCGCAAGCTCGGCAGAAGTCGGACGAACGGCCAATGTTATCGAGGATATTGCAGGCCAGGGACCACAGGTGGTAAAGATAATAGGCGCGTAAAAGCCGAGGTCGGCGAGAGAGCAGGTATAGCAATTCCGAGGTGACATGGCGGAGGCCGACCAGGACCCGAGAGCTTGATAGCATCATGGATCGTATTCATGTGTGTCGACGTTCGCCATGCATCCAGGTCATCGCGCACGAGTCAGCTTGTGGGACAGAGGGAGAGCCATTTGGGCTTCCACGGCAAGGGGGAATGCTCAGCGCAAGAACAAGAATGTATTGTGTGTATTGCATTAGCATGACCTGCAGAGTACATGCATGGAAGAATGATGGGCACGGTATCTAAATATCTGGGAAGAAGTGGCGAAGAAGTGTGGTAAGAGGCGAGGCTCCTGGATACATATTGATATATGCGCACCTAACGAATGCCAAGTATGATACCTGGGCCCTCACTTCAGCTTGCTGAATAGTTTTGGTGCGACGCAGTTCTGCGGGCGGTATAATCAGCATGTTATGTGGTTGACGGCGTTGGCCGCGACTCACATCCACGCAGTGCATCATGCTGGGATACGGAAGGATGTCACTAGGGTGCCGACTCGTTTCAGAATGTCGTTCGCCACTTACTGGAAGAGCTCCTCTACACAGTCTTCGTGCTTGAATCCTTCTCCGGCGGAAACCTTCTCTTGGCAGTGAAGGAAGTGCTGGGTCAGAGGTGCGCACTTCGCGCTCTGCTGGCACTCTTCCCGCAGACCGGGGTGGATCTACACAATTGGATGAATGTGTAGTTAGCTGGGTCTGTCTCTAGCAGACCGTATTTCAAGTTCGGCGCGTACATCCTCAGGTTCCTCTTCCTCCTCTTCGGCGGCGGGGCTCTCCTCCTCGGCCTCTGGCTCCTCCTGCGCGGACTCCTTGTCCGCCTGACCCTTATCCTCCTCCGCGGGTGCGTCTGCGTGCACAGTGCCCAGGAAAGATGAGAGGAGGTCCGTCAAGCTCATGTCGAGTGTAGCAACTGGTGAATATCCTGCTCAAGCTTTTCGGAACGGAACGTTTGGTTCGCAGACTCTGGCCAGCCCCGACGCCGTCCGTGGGAATAGCACCATAACAGGAAAGCACTGCCCCCCTTCCCAATTCGCGCGCCCTCACTGGCTCTCGTCCCTTCTCCATGTTTTATACACAGAGGCTACAGACTAGACTACTCAAAGACGCACATTCATGCACCCAGCTGAATATATGTGGCCCATCGCTCTGGTGGCGCTCCGCTTTCTCGTAACTTTCGTATCGCCGCATCCAACGCGTACGGAACGGCGTCCATGTCGATCTCCTCGCCTCTGAACAGCGCCTGGTGGACTTCCTTGTATACATCAGGGCCGTCGATATCGTACATTTCCATGCGTATATTGCTCATCAGCTCTCATCTTCAGACGAGAAACAAGGCCCGCTTACCACATAGTACCAACCACAGAACGGAAACCGGCGAACAGCATTGTCCCGGCCAGATGTATGATCTCATCGGGCAATTCTTCGTCTCCCGCTGCCGATTCGCGCGTACTGAGGAACGCAAACATGGCGTGTTGCATCTCGATGCGCGCTATGTCGGCGACCGTGAGCATCCCGTCTTGAAGAACTAAGCCGCTTCCCAGAGGGTCATCGGCTCGCTGTTGCGCGTGGCATGCAAAGTGCACAATGGATGCTTCACGCAGCGCCATGGATACCTCCGACACTGTTCCTTATGAACCGATCATAGACTTGCGTGGATATATTGAAGAAAGCTGAGCCACTTCCTCAACCGTCATCGGCAGCGGCGCTACGCCTGGGGCGCTTGGTTGAGACAGGAGAGCGACCTTCCTGTTCGCCGAAAGACTAGCGCCGTTCTCTTGGCGTGCGTCAAGTAGAGCACTGAACGTGGGCGTATAGGAAGAAACTGCAATATCGGAAGCGCAAACAGGCTGATCTCCCTCGTAAATGCCCGCGGCGTGCAGCGGTAGGAATTCAAATACTCCCGTAGGACATCACCATATGCGAGGGCGTCGCTCGCCTGCTTTGTACTGTGAGTAATGTCAGTAAGCGTGTCTGTGGCCGCCAGCGTGTAAAATAACATCACCGAATATCGCAGTGTGTCGAAGACAGGATGAACGATGCTATCCCAAAGCTCTGCAAGCAAATTTACGAATTTGCGGGAGTGGCCATACGTGGTATGGCGTGCTGTCACTTTGAGAACGGCCAAATGCTCGCGTATTGCCTCCGACGCCGATGGCCGACAATGCTTGCGTATCGTCTGCCGCTCTATCCATTCTTGAGCATATCTGAGACATGTTCCAATGCTCGAGTGCGCGTGTTTTGCTGCGAGTGAGTGTGCTTGCATACAACGATCGAGATTCTCTTTGTCGCGAGTCAGGACGAACTGCGCGCGCAAATCATGCGCAAGGCGACTCGCGATCGCGGAATCATCGGGAAGGAAGCCTTGTGCGGACTTCAACGCGATAGTTCGGTGCTCGATTGCTTCTAACAGCAGATCAGACCCGCCGCCTAAACATGACCGAGCGTGGAGAATGTCGGCCATCGTATCGTGCAACTCCATCAGGTTGAGTCCACCTAGCATACCTGTTGAAAGCGCGGCTCGACAGTGTTCCGTAGCCGCCTCCAAATCCGACAGGCAACTACTGAGCTACCCTCTCTTGGATAGCGCTCTTCCGGCAGCGAGAAGAGAATTCGGATATGCTAGTGCACCTGGAGGGTGCAAACGCAACAGTTCTTCGCTCGCAGCCAGCTCTTCTTGGAGGTATTGTGAGTCGCAACTCTCTCCGAAACTGATCCGCACTGCAGACTGCACGTGGTACAAGTCGCAAATGATGAGTAGACAATTCGAGAGAAGCCAGTCGGGTAAGTCTAGTTCCCGACATTGTTGAACGAGTTTCAAGGCTTGCGTGAGGTCCGACGGAGCGCCAAAGCGCTCAAAACGGCACTTGATTGCGTGCATCGAGCAGCTTCGAGAGAACATGCTGAAGGAGCTCTGAACGGGATATTCCTCCATGGCAATCTGTAGGATATCGATAGATTCATCCAAGTCGCGGACATTTCCTGTTGCATCGCACAACACTAGGAGCGATATGCCCAAGGAAGAGCGGGTGAAACTAGGAGCTGCGATCCCCTCTGTTATTTCAATTGAAGTTCTAAAAAGAGTGATCGTTTGGGGCCGGTCCTGAATGCTTTTATGATGCCCAGAGGCATGGGCTCGTCCATTAAAGTAGCCTGCGACCGGTTTGGACAACGGTTTTGAGCGTGTTTTACAACGCAGTTGGACTTGATAAACTCGTGTCGATGAGACAGTCACAGCCGATTCCTTTGGCGGTCTCAAATGAACTCCACGCGTAAACGGACACGAGCAGCGCCAGAAGGCGCGAACGAAGAGGCTCCAGCCACGTTGATGTAGGCAAGTTGTCATGAGAAATTTTGGTCAAATGGCGACACGGGCATGGCGTCGGGGGCGCAAGATCGTCAACGGTACTCCCTTCATCTGCTGACCCCCCGTCTCAATCGCCATGATACATACCGGCCTATACCAGATGCCTTCTATCTGCCGACGTCCGACACAAATACCAGGGCCTCATCACGCGGCGCCCTTCGCGAAGGCAGGCGAGCCGCGTCGGGCATCATCGACAGCATGGTCCAGCTTCGGAACTCCCGCCCCGATGGAATCCTATCATCTAGTATCTCCAGGAGACGCACGATATATACCCACCGTCAGCATAGGCTCCCCACAATGCGTCGGTGTGGTTCTGTCGACGTCCTCAGGCAGCCAAGATGATTGCAAGGACGAGCGTATTCCTCGCCGCGTTCGTCGCGCTAGCCTCTGCACAGTCGCAATGGTATGTGCACTCTCTATCGAGCTTCGTGCCAGCTACATGTCATGAACGTGGTATTGATACACCTCCGTCTTCGTCTGCAGGTGCGGCAAGAACTACATGGCGACGCAGCCCATCGTCCCTCCGGGCGGCAACTTCCCCACCCCTGCCACGTCCTCCAGCCCTCTCCTCGCCCTGCGCTGCGGCCCCGCAATCAAACCATACCTCGTCTCTGACGCTCATGCAGGCACCAAAGGCGCCATCCTCGTTGATGCGCCGATCACCTTCTCCCACATCGCCAACGCCGCGCCGATCGCCCTCCCGGGCCACCCTTCTTCCCAAAAGCTGGACGTGACCATCACTCTCGCCGGTCACGGCACCCTCGCGCGCGCCTCGGTGCCGCTCAACGCGTCCAAGTTCGAAATTCCCTTCTCGCTGTCCGGCCTGAAAGCCAGCACGACCCCGCTGGACGTTACCTGCAGCGCAACTCTCGGCAAGCAATCCTTCAAGGCGTCCGCCAAGGTCCCCTTTCTCCCGGACAACACCAATGGCAGCGTCACGAAGCTGGACATGCGCACGGGCGGGCTGCTCGCTAAACCCGCGACGGGCGCCGACGGGCCTTACGCCCCCGTCTTCCCGATCGGGTTCTACACCTCCTTCGGCGGCTTCCTCGCAGACAACCTCACCGCGCTCGACGATATCAAAGCCGCGGGTTACACCGTCGTACACCCCATCCCGACGTTCGACAACCTCACCGCGCTCGACGTCGTCGTCACGCGCATGCAGGAGCTCGGTCTCTACCTCATGTACGACATGCGCTGGACGTACACGAACCTCACTGGCGTCACGGAGGAGGTGAATCGGATCAAAAACCGGCCGAATCTCTTACTGTGGTACACCGGGGACGAGCCCGACGGGTGGGAGGATCCGCAGAACGCGACCCAGCTCGCGTACGACACGATCTACGGCCTCGATTCGGGCTACCACCCCGTCAGCCTCGTGCTCAACTGCCAGGACTACTACTTCACGGAGTACTCTGCCGGCGCAGACATCGTGATGCAGGATGTGTACATGATCGGGAACAACCTCACATTCAGCTCGCAGTGGGGCACGGTCTGCACCCCAGATGTACGTCTCTTATCCCCTTCCCTCCATCGCTGCTGCTGATACGTCAATCACTCCAGTACGGTGACTGCGGGTGCGACAACTGCAAGGGCGTTTTCGAAGACATCTCCGACCGGATCGACTCCTTCCACTCTCGCCAGCAGATCCTCGGCCGCGAACTCTCTCAGTCCGTCTGGACTGTGCCCCAAGCCTTCGGAAACGACACGTACTGGAAGCGGTACCCGACCGGAGCAGAGTACACCGTGACCGCCGCGCTCGCGATCAACCACGGCGCGACGGGCGTCGTCGCGTGGGATCAGCCCGCGCCGGACGACTTGCTCGCCGCCGCGTCCGCGCTTGCCGCCGCGCTCGAGCCTGCCAAGGCGTTCATCTTCAGTCCCGAGGCGGAGTACGCGCAGAGCGCCACGGATCGCGTCGACGTCGCGTCGTGGACGGTCGGCTCGCGAGCGTTGCTCCTCGTCACGAACCTCAACTACGAGGCGAAGACGGTGCCTATTCCGGCGGCGCTCCGTGCGGCGGCGAGGGCTGAATTGAAGCAGGTGTTGGATACCGGGGCCAAGATCGTGGGGGAGAACATCGTGCTCGAGAGCGTAGGGACCGGCGCGTTCATACTCGGTCGGTAGTGTCTTACGTGGCGGGATAGAAAGTAGCGTAGTCCGTCAAATCCGAGTGAGGGGCGCAAGACTTGCGCGCCTTCTTGAACGAAGCAAATAATGAAGTGCACGAAGAGCGGTTGCTGTCCACTAGGAGATGACAAGCGACGTGGATGTTTGATCATATAGTCATGATAGTCATAAATTCGTGATAGATATACAAACATCGATGACAATTTGTAAGGGCAAAAGGATGAGAAAATCCAAGAAAGCGCAGTTGTGGATAACAAGAGAGACGTTGGAAGGCACAGAGTAAACCGGCGTCATCGATTTCCTCTGGATCTCGGGCGTAGGACAGCATTGCGACAGCGTATAAGCGAAGCTTCATGAGAGCGATGCATTGGGGTAGACTCGTAATAACGTTGTACGAGACGAACTCGAAAATGTGCTGCAGGTCACGATCTGTCAGTTCAACCAGCGATGGTCAGCGGTGAGCCCCTACCAGAATCTAATTGTCCCCCAACCTCGCCCTATTGGGCGCAGGGGTGGGAGAGCCGGTATTGGATCGTGTATTGGCGCCGGACACCACGTCGAACGGATCCGGTGGAGGATCCCCGTTATACAGCCGCGAACTGCGTGTTGCCTTCGGCCTGGGGGACCTGATGTTGAATTCTGGAGCCGTCGTTCGCGAACCATCGCCGATGCGCCCCTCGGATGCGGATGCCGGCTGGCTGTCTGAGCTAGAGCGAGCCACATCAAGCGTTTGCGCCTCGAACTGCTGTCTGATACCTTTCAATTCCTCGTCGAAGAGTTTGAGAACTTGCGCGTGTATAACTCCGGGTGTGAGATCGTTGTACGTCCTGTACGAGAAAACGAGCAATTTCCACCAACTCAGCACGAGCGGTTGCAAGCATATCAGGTCGGGATGGAAGGCTTTAACAATGTGTTCTTCCATGTGGTCAGGCATCGTAAACAGGGCGGTTTTGTTGGCCTTCAACACATCCTCCGCCGACGCATCGAATAAGCAGTAAACGATGTTATGCAGAATCTTTTTCGCGACGTCGTCTTCGGGCGGATCCTTGAGCAGTTCGTCGCGCCATCGACCTTTACCTGTGCGTGTGAGGCAGAGGTAAACGAGAACCCAAAAGAAAGATTCGATGTCGTGGATGACACCCTGTACGACTGTGTTGCGTCCGAAGCGGTCGGAGTATGTCGATATCGCAGGAGCGATGAGTTCCCCGCTCATGAACGACAGCGTACCCTTGGTGGATTTATGAGGCTGCAACACATCCGAAGCAATGACTGAGACCTTACTGTGCGCATCATAGCATCTTTTGATCCATCATCCGTATCAGGCCATGATCTCTGTTAGAGACTCAATGATCAGGTACCCTAGAGCCGATCCTGCACTTACGCGTCTTGGATCGGAATCTGGCTCAGGAATAATGTAGTCCGGAATCTGCGTGCAGCATCAACTTCTGTTCTAAAGACGCTTGAGGTTTGGAGACGTACATTCTCCCACACAAGTCGAGCCTCTTTCAAGAACCGCAGTGCTTCGAGTGGTTCAAAGTAAGCTAACAGCTTCAATGTGGTATCCTCCACAACAGCCAGGCCAAGCCTTTTCTTGATAAAGGACAGCACATCCTCATAGTCGTCTGTCTCCGCGGCCGGGAACTCGATCCGCGTCTCGAATTTTTTACCGTGATTAAGATCAGTGAGACACCTCACTTTGCCGTCCTTGGTCTCTGGTGTGATAATCATGTTGTCCGGGTTGATATCCCGGTGCAGGACGCCAGAGAACCACAGGTCTCTGTGCCCTGCGAGTAACAGTCACGACCGACGAAGACATGCCCGTAGAAGGATTCATCGTACCTTCGATGGCGTCGCGCATGGCCCGCGCGAGAAGAGGGCCGTCATTGAAATGTTTGATGACAGGGCCATGTGTAGTCATAAGGGTATACGTCCGATTTCGCGCCTGAGGCGTGTATCCCTTTGAGATGGGGAAATTGCGACCGTTCACTACGGAAATATGGACGCGTTGGTCGTTCACATTCACGTCGTTAGCAAGCTTCTTCTTCCGATTGACGTCCTGTCCCGGTTCCAAATCCTTTGGTTTCGCCGTTATGCCTCGCCGGATCGCATTGAGAGTGTCGTCACGAGGATAAGCAGTTCTGGACCACTTAATATGCTGTAGTTTTTCGACCGTCAGTTCGGCCAGACCCCCTGGGGACAGGGGACATCTCCAAGTTCGGGCCCGTGGAAATTTCGCCAAGTGATCCTCAAACTTTCACAGTCAGACCCATGAGTCTCCCACGGTCAGTAATTGGGCAAAATACCAGAAGGGGACAGGGGACAAATGGGCGAATAGGTTTGGTTCGCAGGTAGGCGGGACAGGGGACGAACTTACGGTCGAAAGACTACAGTGTACGACGGGGGACCCATCGGGTAGATTGCTAGGCCTCGATTCATCGCGCCACATCCGCTTCAGGGCATACATCTGAGTCTATAGACAGTCAGCAACGGCGAAGAAGACGGGGAGGAGTGACATTACCGTACCATGTCGGTGTTCTTGACATTGTAAACATACCAGCCTGGCATGTTTACAATGTCAAGGACACCGAGACCGTAGTCCCGCTGCCGCACATCGCCGCTGAACGCGCGAGACTGAGGGAATCCACAGTGTCGAATTCCTCCACCTCTCCATCCGCTGAGCGAACGATGATCCTCCACTGCGTCTGGTAAATGGACTTGCCGAAGTCGGCTGGCACAACGGATGGAGCCAACGCACTGACACACACCGAGGACACGTGTATTTCAATACAGCTATAGACGCATCTATCCATGAATAGGTTACTAGATCGCAATTGCGTGTAGACTAGATAGAACTGGTTGACCCTAAGCTGACGTAAACGTACGAAACAAAGATAGCAACTTGTCAAGACCACAGGCACGTCTTGTGCGATACCCTATCGCAATCCTGTACTACAACACGCACTTCGGTGGCCCAGAAACGCTCTTGAGCTCGGTATGTACTTGCGCTGTCCTATGGCCAAGACAGCATCAACATGTCAAGACAGTACGATTGCCGATAGCCCGGGGAGATCGATGAAGATTACAATCAGAGCAAGGTGGTGCCATGATACCCTCGGTATCCCGGCTGTGGGATAGCATCGTGACGATGAATAAGTAAAGCACGGCGCGAGCGAAGCCGAGGGGAAGGCTTGTAAATTGTGTTGTCCACGGCGACCTCGAGGATGTGCTACCCAATATGATCTATCAGCTCAACCAGCGACAAGCAGGCTTAAGTTCCTACCATAATTCAGTTGTTCTCCACTCTGGCCTTCTTAGGCAAACGGATGTGATGACCGTTATCGTATTGTGCATGGACGCTGGGTACGGGCTTCATCGTGCACGAGACATCGTCAACATGCCCCTCGGATGCGGATGGAGGCTGGCTGTCTGAGCTAGAGCGAGCCACATCAAGCGTTTGCGCCTCGAACTGCTGTTTGATACCTTTCAATTCCTCGTCGAAGAGTTTGAGAAGTTGCGCGTGTATAACTCCGGGTATGAGATCGTTGTACGTCCTGTACGAGAAAGCGAGCAGCTTCCAAAAACTCAGCACGAGCGGTTGCAAGCATATCAGGTCGGGATGGAAGGCTTTAACAATGTGTTTCTCCACGTCATCCGGCCTCTTAAACAGGGCAGTTTTGTTGGCATTCAGCATTATCTCCTCCGACGTATCAAAGAAGCAGTAGACGAATTTATGCAGGATCTTCATTGGGACGTCGTCTTCGGGCGGATCCTCGAGCAGCTCGTCGCGCCATTCACCATTACCCGTGCGCGTGAGGCAGAGGTAAACAAGAACCCAAAAGTAAGATTCAATGTCGTGGATGACACCCCGTACGACGATGTAACGTCCGAAGCCGGGGTGGTATGGAAATCCAGGAGAGACGAGTTCCCCGCTCATGAAAGACTTCGTGCCCTTTGTAATCACATGAGGCTTCGACACGTACAAAATGCTAATCTGGACCTTACTGTGCGCATCAGAGCATTATCTGATCCATCGCCCGTATCGGGACACGACCTCTGTCTTAGGTTCAGCAATGAAAAACCATAAAGCAAATCCTGCACTAACACGTTTGGGATCGGGATCAGGCTCAGGTACGATACAGTCTGGCATCTGAGTGCAGCATCAACTTCTGTTCGATAGATGCTTGAAGTTCGGATACGTACATTCTCCCACATATTTCGGGCTACGGCCAGGAAATTGAGAGCGTTGCGTAGTGTGAAGTCAGCTAACAGCCTCAATGCGGTATCCTCCGTGATAGTCAGTCCAAGTTCGTTCTTGGCGTTCCTGAGGAGGCTCGGTTTATCCTGATAATTGTCTATATTTGCGGCAGGGAACTCGATCCACTTCTCGAATTCATGACTGCAATCAAGGTCAATGAGATACCCCACTTTACCGTCTGTCTCTCGGGCGATGATGATGTTGCTTGGGCTGATGTTTCTGTGCAGAACGCCGGAGAACCACATGTCTCTATGCCCTGCTAAGAACGGTCATCTCAATGAAGATGTACGCGTAAGAATATTCGTGCCTTCGATGGCGTCGCGCACGGCGGTAGCCAGAAGAGAGACGTCCCTGGTACGGTTGACGATGGGATTACGCGTTGACATAAGGGCGTACTTCACTTCTGGGTATCGATGCTGAGAGGTATGCCCCGTCGAGATGGCAAATCCCAGTTTCCGATTTCTAGATGCGGACACGTTGGTTATTCACGTCCGGATCGTTCTGTATCCCTTCCTCGTATTCTCGTCGCAGATCCAATTCTGAAGGGCCGCTCGTCTTAGATTCGTCACGCGCACACGTCGAACGCGATGGTGTGGATAAGGATCCGGTGGCAACGCCGACGGCAGAGGGGGCGGGAAGAACCGAGTTGGGAAATCGGAGGACCGAGGAACTTTGGTGAAGAACTTCTGTTGGCGTGAATCGTTCTGGACCGAGCGAAGTTGTAGAATCGTCCTTTCCTAACAATCGTCAACGGCGATTAGACTCGCAGGTCGCCTGCCTATGTTCAATAAGATACCGCCGAGCGTGAGAGTTCCCGTAGTCGTCGTAATCGGGGAGGAGGTCGACGTGGGAAAATGCAGCAGTTCGTGCCGACAACAGCGGAGACGGGTGCAACTTGCGTACCTGGCCGTACCTTTCCCTCGTTGTGTCTCGCCCGCGTCCTTTCGAGCCTAAACACACGTAACACACGTAAAATGGTGTCCTTGGATCTTGCGGAAAACGATGGAGACAATCGACGCGTACGTGACGCCTCGAACAGGAAGCTGTCGAACGGCCTCGCTGATATCATTGATGAACTCATCTCATGCAGCTCTTGACATTTCCTGTGCATACCAAGTGCATCCCTCGCTCAAGCTCAGAGGCAGAAGTCGATCGATTTGGTCATCGTACAGATGAATGAGGCAATTTCCGGGAATCTTGGGAAGGCGTGCCTGGCGCGTTAGACGCCCGTGAATCAGCGGATCTGTCAAACGGCAGGCTACCGGTGCAACACGCGCCAGATGCACCCCATACTCACCGCCTGGCTTGTGTCATATATATGAGAAACACCTGGTGACCATCCCCACCATCCTTGAGCTCTTCCGACGACGATGGCGCTCCCGCCCGGTCTCCAGCAAGGGTTCGCGAGCCTCAGCTTGCATCGAGGAGCACCCTACGACCCTCGGTGGGTTATTCGTACATGATGATGCAGGCTGGAATACTGATCGATTCTTACTGCCGTAGACTCGTTCAAGGAGCGCACGCGACGCCGCCATCGGCTCCGTCTCTCTACTCGTCGGGAGTGGTTCACTCGATTGAACGCACGACCCAAGACCACGCGTCGTCATCGTCTCAGACAAGCACCGCGGCCCCAACACCTCCCCTCGTGGGCCGACGAGGACTCTCAGCGCGCGAACTGTACGCCAGTGCATTGCCGGCGACGCGCACCTCCGTCACTGCGCGCGATCTCTACGCAAGCGCTCTGCCAGCCACGTCTGCGCCCACGCCTCCTCCTCAAACGGTGAGCGCTCTGCATATCTGAGACCGATTCATCAGCGCTGACGCGACAAATAGCATGCTCCACCCAACGTAGCACGCGCACCTGCCCAGATCGAGACGAGTTCGCCGCAGCCGATTACCACATCGAGCGCCAGCACCGGAAACGATCAGTTTACACGCACCCAATCCCGAACATCTATCGCCCCTAACGCAGCACCCGCGTCCGTTGACAGATGGCCACCTCTTAACTCCGCACCCGCAAGCCCACCACCGGCTTCAAACTCACCCTACGCCGCGTCCCCACCACCCCTCGTACCTTCATCTTCGTCCGCCTCCTCATATTTCCCTCCACCCGCCGACGAACGGGACGGTACTTCAGACCTCCCGCCGCCCACCTTCGAAGAGAGTCTCTCCTCCTCCGGCTCGGTCTCCGTCCCGCCCGAAAAGCACGCCTTCTACGTCGCGAACCAGGACCCGGACGGCCACGCCCCACAGTTGGCCGTATTGCAGCCTTCAACGAGTGATGCGAACGCTGGACCGTCAACCGTTCGCCCCCTCCCGACGCCTGGCGCGCAAAGCCAAACCCAAGCGCAAGCGAGCACCCCGCCTGTATCAGGGCCCACAGCAAACGGCCAAGCCCCGACTACGAGCAGCCCCTCGCCGCCTCCAGCAGCCTCTGAAGCTATTACTGCAACGCCCGTTCCCGCACCAGCTTACGCGCCTCCCCTGCCCTCGCGTTCCGGGCCCTCATCGTCGTCCCCTCCCCCAGCGTCGTCCCGCCCACTCGGCGCGCTCGAGAAACGCGCGATGCACGCGCAGCGCATGGTCGTCGTCAACCAAACCGATCCTGATCCCGCACCCGCACCCGCACCCGCACCCGAGCCTCAAGCGCAAACGCCTCCGGAAGCGGAGCCCCGTGGGTCAGGTTTTCTTCAGAAACGCTCGATCCACGCCGCACGGCTGACGGACCCAGCGCCCGCGCCCGCCTTCCAACACGGCTCTCAACCGCAACCTCAGGTCGAACCGCAGTCCCCTCGCACGCCAGGAGTCCTCCAGCAGCGCTCGATCCACGCAACGAGGCTCTCCATGTCGTTCTACAGCGCGGACGTCGCGCAGTCGTCCGGCGCCTCTCCCGGTTCCTCTCCAGCTCCGCCCCCGCTCCCGACGCGCAGGACCGGATCCAGCGCGCGTCCGTCGTCGTCGCACTCGCAGTCAGGCTCGTTCGCGTCGCAGACGCCCCCGACGAGTCCGCCGCCGCTTCCCCAGCGCTCCCAAGGCGGCCCTCCCTCGTCTCCGCCCGCGGACTCGCGTAACTCGCGCTTCATCACGCCCTTCAGATTTCCCGCCTCTCCCCCTGCGTCTGCCCCTCCCGGACCTATATCGGATCCCATGTACAGCAGCGCTTACGACTCGTCCCGAGCGTCGCCACCAGCATCTCAGGACGTGGTACGTCTCTCGTCTCTCGTCCCTCACGCCTAGACTCAGATCTGACCTCCATCCTCAGCCGGCTGCGCCTGGTCTTCTTCTTTACCCCACGACCTCGACGCGGATCACCAACGTGCCCGACTTTGCCATCACCAGATCGCAGCACCAAAACACGGTCACCGCTCCTGTCCCGCCACCCTCCGCCCCGCCCGTCATGCAACACAGCGCGCCAGGGATGAGCCCGAGCCCCGGTACACCCTCCTTCCAACCGTATCTCCAACCCCAAGCTACCGGTTCTCCGCCGCAATCCCAGTCGCCCCAGACGACCGACCGCGGCCTGCTATCCGACATGGGCAACGCCGTGCGCAGAAACCCCAACCTCGTCGGCGGCCTCTTGGGTGGCGCTGTCGGCCTCATGACCGGCGCGTACCTCAACTCGAATGATGGCAGCGGGATTACCGACGTCGTGAGCAACGCTGCCGCAGGGATGTTTTCTAGCGGCAGCGACAACAGCGGGATCGTCGACGCTGTGAGCAACGCCGCCGCGGGCATGTTTTCCGGCGATAACGACAACAGTGGCTACACGTACGATCAAACGGACTATTCCACAGGTGGTGGAGGAGGAGGAGGCGGGCTGTTCAATGGGCTGGGGAACGTCATCTCGTCTGTAGTTGGTTCATCGGACAATTCGGGTGGTGGAAACAGCGGCGGGATTTTTAGTGGTCTCGGCGACATGGTCTCGTCCGCCCTTGGCTCCTCGGACAACTCTGGAGATAACAGCGGCGGTGGCGGTTATGACCCGTATTCGCAGCCATCCTACATCGACCAGCAGGAACAGCCCTATTACGGCCCGGACCTCAGTCAAGACCCAAGCGCGGGTGCCTATGGCTATGGTCCGCAGGGCGACATCGTGAATAACACCTACGACCAGTCCTACGACCAGACGTACCAACAGACGTACGACCAGTACATGCAGGACTCGCAGCAAGGGGCGGACCAACAGCAGCAGCAGTTCCAGCAGCAGCTCGCGCAGATACAGCAACAGGCTGATGAGCAGCAACAGGAGGCCCAGCACGAGGCGGCGCAGCAGCAGCACGAGATGCTCGCGCAGTTGCACAAGTACGAGGAGCAGGCGGCGCGGTTGGAGGAAGAGCAGCGGCGCGCAGAGGCGCAGCGGCTGGAAGAGCTGATGAAGATGTCTCAGCAGCTGCAGCAGCAGGCGAACGCGGCCGCGGCGCACGAGCAGCAGGCGGAGATGCAGAGGCTGGAGGAACTGATGAAGTTATCACAGCAGATGCAACAGCAGGCCGCAGAGACCACGGCGCAGAATGGCGGGGTCGGCGGCGCGTTCTCCACAGGCGGAGGCGCCCCGCAGGCGCAGAGCGGCTCTGGGTACGGCGACGGCGCGTATCCCTCTCAGAACGGCCCAGGATATTCTCAGCCTGCACCTTCTAATGGCTATCAATCGACGAGCTATGGCGGATCAAGTTCGATCTCGAGCAACTTCGGCCAGTCACAGACAGGTGCTGGTTATCAGCCGACGTCTTACGAAGACTCTACTACCCCTGCTTCAAGTTTCGGCGGGCAGGCCGGATCGGCGTCGTCCCCTCAGCATAATCCTTCTCACCAGTCGCAACCTTCGTCAGGCGGGCATCCACCGTCCTCTCACGGCGCTCCTTCGCCTCCCGGGCAGAGTAATTCAGGAGGAAGCCAATGGACGCCGAACCATCCTGGGACCCACAACACGCATCCGTCTGTGCAGCACCAGCATACCGGCCCTTCGGGGGCACATCATTCGCCGCAGCATCCCGGCCATCCTTCGCAGCCTGCAGGTGGGACTGGCTACCAACCGACCAGCTACAACGCGCCGCATCACGGAACCCAGCAACCCCATAGCGCTCCCGCCATCCCGAACCATCAGCCGAACCACTCGGCCTCCCAACCACTGCACCCCGCCGGCGCCAGCCCCAGCTACTCGCCCTCTGCGTATCCTGGTGGACATCCGCCTGCTCAAACCCATGCACAACCACATCGCCCGCATACCAACTCATACCCAGGCCCTCAGGGCGCACAACATGCAGGCGCCGGAAATGCTCATCACACGACCAGTCCCGTCTCGAGCGCAGCGCTATCGCATACACACACACCGCCTCATCCTCAGCACATGAACTCTTATCCCCAGTACAACGCCCCGCATACGACACAGCAACATCATCCCCCGGCCCACCTCCAGCAGCATCCGCACGCTCAGACGCCTGCTTATCATCCTCATAATCAACCGCAACACCATCCCAACTTCCAGACCCAACACCATCCAAACCTTCAGGGTCAGCATTATCCGAGTTTCCAGGCCCAACACCATCCAAACGTCCAGGGTCAGCATCATCCGAACATTCACGCTCAACATCATCCGAACGTCCAAGCTCAACACCATCCGAACAACCAAACCCAACATCATCCCCAGACTCAGACTCAACACCATCCGCACGCCCAGTCTCAGCACTACCCACACACACAAACCCAGCCGCACCGACCCCCGCATATGCACGCGCAGTCGTACTCGCACCCCACGACGTACCAACACCCACCCGCGAACGTCCCCAAGCCGGACAGTACGCTGAACCAGCTCGGAAAGCTCGCTAAGGTCGGCGCACTGAGCCTGCTGAAGACCGCTGTCAGGCGAGATATCGCGTGATCCTGGTCCTCCGGCTATTTCGTGTATCGAGTATTTTGATTGTACTATTACAACTGTGTACGGCAAATAATCATTGGGCTACATTCGTCAGATATTCGATATCAAGCAGAAACACGAGCGAAGTATCTATCATGGGGGGATTCGTTCGGTACATGTCAACTAGGCTCGGCGATTGCAAAGAGATTGAGATAGATACGGAATGCGAGGTTAAATGGAAGCCACTACGCAGACAGCTTGGGGATGACCTTGATCATCTGCTCGATGTTCAAAAACTGGACCCAGCTCTCGATCTCCTTCTGGTTCTCCTGCCACACAAACTTGCTCTCGCTCGTCCCGCGGAAGAAGGCGGTCGCGCACTGGTACGACTCGGGCACGAGCTCGCCCTCGCGGACGACGCCGAGCTCGGCGCGGAACACGCGGAACTCCCAGCCCGTAAGCGGGTGGCCGTCGCCGCGCGCGGCCTGGGTCGGGATGTTGAACTCGAGCCGGGACCAGTCGAAGCCGAGCGGCTGGCCGATCGCCTGGATGTACGCGCCCTTGAGCGAGAGCAGGATGCAGAGCCGGCGGAGCGCGACCTCGTCCGGCTCGCCGCGGAGGAAGCCGAGCTCGAACTCGGTGAGCTGTGACGAAAGGGGGGGAGGGGGGAGGGAGGGAGGAGGAGGTCAGTGCTCCGCGTGTAGGACGATCGCGGTGGATGTGAGAGATGTACCTTGTGCGCCTGGCTCTCGACGTAGGCGGCGACGGGCGCGTCGCGGGGTTCGGGCGCGATCATGCGCATGCCGAGGCCGACGTTGACAACCTCACGTTGGCGGCCTTGCACCATCGACATGGCCACGAGCGAGCCTTCGCTGGCGGTCGTGTAGCCGATCATGGACCGTAGATACTTTTCGGGGTGCATGCCCGATGGATCCTACAGCCACAACACTCTGTCAGTCGGCGTCGTCGACGTAACGTAACGAAGGGGAGCGCAGACCTGTTCTATCCAGTGTTTCCCGTTGGGAGTGACCCGATCCCGCCACTGTGCTCGGGGCACTCTTCGATGTCGCATCATGAGAAGGGGCATCATCTGACATAGGACTTGCCCTGCGATACACCTCGTTGAGGTCGATGATGGACGATGCCAGGAGGAGGTGGCTCACGCAGTGATTCGTTCGAGTCCGGGGCATGCTTGATTTCCGGTGCGCCCGGTATGCACTCCTTCACGAGCTTATAGCATTCATCGTATTCCTGATATCAGCAGGTTAGTTTCGTCCGTCGATAAGCATGGGGCAATCGGCAAGATGCACACCTCGCGCGTCACGTCTCGGCTGAGCGACAGCATCCATACTAGGAGCGGACAGTCCATCGACGCTTGTTCGGATCAGTTGAAGGGGGGCGGCGGTCCAGGTAGATACGCGCGAGCGCAACTCGTCGGCTTTTCAACAAAATCGGGTCCTCAAGTTTCAACGTGGCCCGAACGCAATCATGAACAGCAGTACGGAGGAGTGGCCCGGCCGAGGTTCCACAAAAACACAATGCCTGCCCGATGCAGCGTTGCGTGCTGTCCCCACACAATTCGGCCAGAGGACAATGAGGAGAGAAAATAATGCTAGCTAGCACCCGTCGTCGTCGTCAACCGGAGAGGAGAACATGGCTGCTCGAGCCATGTTTACGCGCTACAACAAGGCGAACACGAGGTAACCACTCTCTTCGGTGGGCGCTCGCACGGTCAGAAGCTGTGTACGCCAAATCGCGATCGCTGTCCCCAAGAGGCGCTTTGCTTTGCGGCACACGAACACAACGACCCAAAGGTAATAAAAAAACAAAGAGGCTTTCGGTACAGCATTACGACTACAGCTTAAGACGGATATTATCAACGAACCAAGAGAATGGATGGGAGCACTGGGAACAGGATGTATGGATATGACGCGCGGCGACGTGAACAAGTGGTGTTAAACTCGGTATGTGTATGAGGATTTCGTGGAGATCGTGTATCGCCTTCCGTCCGTTGTGACTTCTCCTACACGACCAGGCGAGGAGCGCGACAGTCCAGAGAGAAGGGGAGGGTGGGTGGTATTGTCCGACGCAACCGTCGTCGTCCTCTGTTATAGGCGCGTATGCGCGCCAAGGGAGTATATACCTGCCATATCGGAAAAGGTCACGGATGAGCAACGGTTCGCTCCTGAATCAAAAGCCGAGCCGCTCACCTTCCCCAAAGCACCGGGCCTACCGCGGCGGCTGATCCGAGATGATGCTCCTGATCGACATCGCCCTCCCCCCGCGCCCCTCCGCACCCGGACTCGCCCTCCTCCTCTGTCCTTCCTCATACCCCCTCCCCTGCCCCTGCCCCTGCCCCCTCCCCTTCTCCTCCTCCCTCGACCGACTCCGCCTCCTCCCCCCCTCCATCCTGCTTTCCCGCGACAACGCCGGAGGAGGCGGCGCCGACCCCGCCACCGGCGGCGGCGTCGAAAACGGCGTCGGCGGACCGCTCGACTCGCCCTCGCGCATGCCGATCGCCGGGTCGACGCTCATCGTCGTCCGGAGCGGCGCGAGCTGGATCCGCGCCCCGTCGTACTCCGACGCCGCGCCACCGGGCATCCCTCCCCGCGCGTTCCCCGCGCCCGCACCCGAGCCGACGCCCTGCGCGTTCGTGCCCGGCCCGTGCGCGCTCCCCCACGATCCATAGCCGTGGTGCATCGGCGCCTGCTGCCCTGGCCCCTGTCCTTGCGACTGCCCCTGCTCCGACGTCGGATTAGACTGCTGCTGCTGCTGACCATGGGGCGGCGGCGGCGGCGCGGTCCACTGCCCTCCCTCCGTCGGCGGATGCGGCGGCGGCAAAGGCTGCGCGTACGGCGGCGGCGGGTACGGCCCGTAATGCTGGTACGACGGGTGTATCGGCGGGCTCTGCGAATACGCCGGGTACGGGTGCCCGTTCCCGCCGTTGCCCGGCGCGGCGTACGGAAACGGCGGCGGGATCTGCTGCCCGTACGACTGCTGGGCCTGCGACGACGACGACGACGACGACGGCGGGGAGGTCGACGTCGACGTCTGCGGTTGCGGCTGCTGCTGGGACGGCTGCTGGCCGGGACCAGGACCAGGCTCGTATCCTTGGCCGGAATGTCCCCCGCCCTGGCCGGGCGGCGGTCCGTGCCCGTACGCCGGGTGTTGCTCGTAGTACGGCGGGTAGGGCTGCGGCGGGGGCGGGTACGGGTACCCCGCGTAGTGGTGCGGCGGGTGCGGCGGGTACGGCTCCGAGCCGCGATGCGTCATCGGCGGCGGCGGCGGCGCGTGCGGGTACTGGTACCAATACGGGTACCCGGGTACGCTCGGCGGCGCGCCCCACCCACCCGGCGGCGGGGGCGGGTACGGCGAGGGTGCGGCGGCGTACGGGCCTGGCGCAGACGTGAGCGCGACGCCGACGGTAGGCGGCGGCCCGGGGTAGTGGTGCACGAGCGGGTTCTGAGCGTGCATGGGCGGTGCGCCGGGGTACGGGCCCGGGGCGGGCGGGTACGGATACGGCGGACGACTGGTTGCCGAGTTGCTGCTCCCGCTGGCTCCTTCCGCGGTCGGCGACGTCTGAGTCACCGTGTTGCCCCCGCCCGGCGGCGTAAGCGGCGCAGGCGGTCCGGCACTACCGCCACCTAGGGAGAATATGAGTGTCAGTGACCTGTCACATGTCAGTGTATAAAACAAAGACGGCGCACCGTGCTGGGGCGACGTAGTAGGCGATCGCGGCGCCTGGATAGGCGAAGACGGTTCGTCGCTGTCGGGATCGTCGAGCCTCGTCCGCTTCGCGTCGCGCTTGCGCCTGCTAGACCCGCTCTGGACCCGGCGGCCTCTCCGGGCATCGTCGACGTCGCCCTCGAGCTCTTCCGCGGGCACGGGTGCGGGCAGAGGCTGCGGCGCCGTACCGCCGGCGGGGATGGGCAACGGGAGCGGCGGCTGCATCTGCATCTGCTGGTCGGTGCCGGTGCCTTGGCCCGGGCGCTTGCGGATACGGATATCCTTCCGGATCCGGATTTTGATACCTTGGTCGGCGAGGGAGCACGAGAGCGTGGTGGATTCTGCGAGCCGACGGAGGGGTGGGGGTGAGACGAGGCGACCACATGGGCACGGGAAACGTCACTGACCTTCCATTCCCGGAAACTTTTTGGCCGTGTACACGTAGAACGGCGCCGAGAATATGGACTTGCAGTGGTGGACGTTGGATCTGGGGACGTGGTCAGCAACGAACGCCATGCACAGACACACGCAGCCGCCAGAGAATAACGGCAAATGAACGCATATATGCGCTCAAAAATAGAAAAGGGTATAATAATAACAATTCGGAACCACGCATATATGACGGAAGGAAGGCAAAAGGAAGAAGAGCGGCACGACGACCTCGGCTCTCCGAGCAAGCAGCAACCACAGCCAACGGGGATCGGCCAGCAACACACACCGATACTCACTCGGGCCTGGTCAGGTCGTCGTCGTCCAGAGGAAATCTACATCTTCAAAAAGCGGTTCCCGATGTGCGGATCGGAGGAGGGGCAGGGGCGAAATACTCACCCGACGACCTCGAATAACGAGAGCTTGAGCCGGTACGAGCCCTCGGTCCGGACGGAGAGGTCGGGGAAAACGAAGAAGCCGGCGTCCTGGTTCCCGTTCTCGGTGTCTTTAAGGTGGTAGAGAGAAGAGACGACGGAGCCGGTGGTGACGCAGGTCTTGCCGTCCTTAGATCCCGGCGGGCGGGGTCAATCTCGAGAGCAAGCGATATGCGATGGGAATGCACGCACCTTGAGCCAGTGCAGTTCGGTGTCGTCGTCGGGCTTGGCGAGGCTGGCGAACATGAAGTAGTATGGGTTCTGGAGGAAGCTGTGGGCGTATGTGAGCGATTCCCGGCCCGTGTCGGGGTCCGGGTCGTGCGACGGCCCCGCGCCGGACGAGGACGAGGACGCGGCTTGCTGTTGCTGTTGTTGCTGTTGGCGCTCGTGGACGCTAGGCGGAAGGTACGGTGGCGAGTGGGGTCGGCGGGTCGCGCGGTCGATGACGCGCAGTTGCACGATCGGGGGCGGGTCGATGGGTCGTCGATCGGCGGTGACTCCAGGACCGACGGCGTGAACGTCAGGGACGATGCGCGGTGCACAAACGATGAAGGGAGGATACACACCACCGACGCCGCACATGCGGGCCTGCTTCGGTTCTTGGCGCATGGTGAGTTCGTATTCTCTGTCGTCGAGGGGCGCCGGGATCCAGGTGGTCGGTTTGGTCGGGATCGGGAACGACGGCGAGGGCGGGGGCGACGAGTGCGAGGAGACGGAGAGCATGGCCATGGCGGGCACGGCGTCGACGAGCATGAGCGGGACCATGGTCGTGGGGTGGTGAGGAGGCGGAGGAGAGGGACGGGGAGAGCAAAAGAGGGAGATCAGTGAGCGTATTCCCAGGTACGAGGCGACACGGGCGAGAACAACAGAACGAAAGAGCGGATCGGCGTTGGAACGGTGGGGGCGAGCGCGTCCCACGTACGGCAAACTCAGACTCGGGAAACGCGGGCCCGGGGGCTCTCTCATCCTGCGCCCAGGTGGCCGGCCGGCGCGTGAAGAGGAAAAGGAAACTCACAGTCTGTCCCGGTCGTAGGGCTGGAGCACCATCGGCACGACCTGCAGCGGCTCGCCCGCGCTCGCGTCCACGTTCGTTGCGCCCGACATCGTTGGTCTGTGGGTAGTTCACGACTGTGAGCCCGGGAGCATGTGAAGGAGGAAAGATGGGGGAGGGGGGGCCAGCCGCTGGGGTGTCTGTTATCACGCCGCCGGAGTGCGAAACCCGAGCCCACGGACCCGGCGAGCAGCGAGCAGGGGGCCACGTGACCTGCCACCCCCATCCCCGCATTCGCGCTCCGCCGCACCCTGGTCGTCGGCGATGCCCACGATGGTGGCAGCCTCATTCATCCGGCGACGTCCGCGCCCTCCATTCGGCAGTAGTGTCTGTGCTCCAACTGCTGGCCGACGTTCACGCAAAGCTCGCCCCTTTCCTTCCAACTGGCGTTTTCTCAGAGGCGAGAGTCCGGATCCCCGGCAGCCCGTCTCTCTATATCCATGAGCCGGGACTCGTCATCGCGCGCTCAATAAGGGCCAGGGCAGTCACGATCAGTGGCGCACCGCGCTCCCGGCTCGCGCTTGCCCACGTTTGTCCTTCGGCGTTGCGCAGTTCACTTCGCGTGAAAAGCTCGCTCGCACCGATCGTCCGGCACGGCGTCGATAGCCGCGTTTGGGGGGTTCAAAAAAACCAAACGAGCTATATACATATATATATAAGGAGCCGCAGCCCTTGTAATAAATATCAATCGCACGCGATGTCTAGCGTCAAATGGAAAAGCCGTGAAACGCAACTGAAACCCAATCCGTACATACCCCGCCGCCCATCAAGCAGAACGTCGCGCAATCGCATTCGCATGTACGGCGACAAACGTGGGCCGACCCGCACGCGCAACGCCAATGCAAAAACGCAAACCCAAAAGCACGGCAGCATCAGCCTGACCGAGAATTAGAAAGAGGGGCGCGCGGGGGACGAAGAAGGAAGCAAGCCGCGTCCCCTTCGCCCACGAAGGTTCGTCAATCAATACCAATCGCCAGCGGCTTGGGGCCCTTCGATCGCCATCCCATCGTCGGCGTAAAACCGAACTCAACCGACACCAGCAGCTGACCGCCTACCGGCAACCCTCTTCTTTCGTACGCCAATCGAAAAACACCGAGCAACCAAACGACGCACCGCAATTGGAGCGCACGTTTGAGGAGAGTTTCCCCGGGAGTTCGGCGCCATTTCTCTTCATGCGTCTGAAAGTGATTCTCGAACGGCATCTCGCATCTCGGACCGCTGATAGCTCACCGTGGGGTTGATCCAAACGCTCGCAGAAGCTAAAGCGGACGGGAGCGATCCCCAACCGAACACGACCCTCAGCCCTCAGGCCCGGTCAAAAGTCGCACGGCGTGAGTCGGCGGTGGATAGCGCAGGGCGGCGATGTGATTATTTCGGCGGCGCAGAAAGGCGCGGCAATGCGAGGGCGCGTTCGGAGTTCCCGATTAGGTGCGGCCCTCTACTCTTTGGTACAACGTCCGTTGTCTCCTCGCTCTGAGCTGCTCGGTTCTCGTACTCTTTCAATCTAATCTCTGCAACTGTACAACGACAAGGAATCTCGCCTGATCACGTGTTCGTTTTTTTCTTTTCTTCTGAGAGTCGGAAGAGTCGACGAACTCCAATCGTCTCTTTGTCCTCGACCACATCCATCCCCTTCTGGCGACTATCGGCTCTATGTGACGGTTTGTAACCATGGTAACATGCTCTTCCCTCTATTGACCCATGGCTTATAGGGTGCATGTGAGAGAAGATTGTCGTGTTTACCGAGGTGCCTGTGCTTGCCCAAGAAGTCTTCATGCCGCTCATATGCACCAATTCACTGAAGCCCACTTCACGCAGATTAATCGAATAGCCAGGGAACTCCCATGGATACACGGCGTTGGATTTGTGATCCTTAGATCACAAATATTAGTGCATAGTGAGTACATGTCTTTTGGTCCCTTATATGTGCTCATCTCTTGGGGCCTAGGTCAGCAAGTCAAGCAGGTACTCCCCTCGGGTCGTAAAACTCATGCATCCCAGGTTTTCCACATATATGCATATACACAGCTTCTCGCCGCCCTGGATCGCACTAATGCTGCAAGGAATAACACCAGCGCGTCGTACGTGCCTATTATGTTCCATTCCACTTACCTGCTCACGTTTGCCTTTGCCACAGGCTTTTCTCCGCGGGCTGGGCATCCCATAAGGCATAAATCACAGATATCGCACAATGGTTTGCATGTACGGATGCACCCCAGCCCGCACGAGTCGTGTGGATGAAGGCGCAGCTTCAGACACTTCCGGGGACGATATCGACGTGGGTAAGTACCCTTTGATGTCACACTGTGCACTGTTTGTAGCCCGGTAATCGTATAGCATATATTGTAAATTGCAATATATGCGCATTATAATAATATGTGGTGGAATAATCGAGCGGCGCGAACAGGCGCATATTGGCGGATCTCGTCTACGTGGGCTGCCGCCGTTTCGCGCTGCTCTGCGCCACACCACACTGCACAGCGCCGCTGCAGACACTTTCTTATTTCGCTTTTCCGGCGCCAGCGTGCTCGAGGCAGCGCTCAGCGGCGGAATTTGCGTGCACCGCTCCACACTGCTCATCGCAGTTCTCCGCCGTTCCGCGCCGTGCGACTTTTGACCGGGCCTCAGGGTTCAATCCTCCGTTCAATGAAAGTTTGCTGCCGAACGATGAACCGACAACACAAGACGTGCAAACCACCGAAGGATCTACATGCCACAAACCCCCCGGCGGTGATCATGCAGCAGCATCGACCGCGCACCCGCACATGCACGCATCTGTGCCTCCCATTCAGTTCCGTACCCGCTCGTGCGGCTCCTGCCAGGGTACCCCTAAAAGCCGTCACCGCATCAACGACCCCGTCCCGCACTCGAGAAGACGGCCCGTCACCACCCACTCACCCAGCTTCTCGAAGATCTCGCGCTCCGTCGCCCCTGCTATCCGTTTCCCTGGTTTCACGATCTCGATCCAGTCGATCGGGGAGCAGTGGACGGGCGGCGAGACGTACCTTGGGTCATCTTGACCCTCCGATCCCTTGGATCGCGCACCACGTTGGCGAACAGGCCCCGCTGGTTCAGCGACCATCCCATCTTGTTCGCCTTCAGCCTCATCGAGCGGTTAAACTGCCAGAGCGACCCCGGTCGTCAATCTCCCCACACAAAAAAACGACAACAGAAATCATAACGCACGATATCATCGCCCTGCGGTTTAACGAACGATCAACTTACCATCCGCACAGCTAGTCAACCAGACTGATCGCTCACCGTATAGTACAGCAACGCGGCTCCACGGCACTCCCAGGGCACCGTCAAAAAGTCGATCCTGCGTCGCTTTGCGCCCTCGACGTTCGGCAACCGACACAGCCCGCGGTAACACCCCTCGAGCCCGTCCAGCTCGTCGTAGTTCGGCACCGCCAAATCCTCCGTGATAATTTTCGCTGCAAAAAAATAACCACGACGTCGCACTGTGAGCACGATCCCCCCCCCCCCTGCCAATACGATGCGGGACGTACCCTCGCGCAACGCACGGAGCAGGCGGCGCAAATGCCTATAAGGTGACGTCACTCTC